GTCAGTGACACACTAGCAGGTTAATTTATTGTGCAAAAACAAAACCTTGTTACTCCGCATGTGGAGAGGTAAATGAAAAACTACGAAAAGAATTAGAATAAATTACAGCTACATATGATTTGGAAGAAACTGCTGGCTTTTTGGTGTTTTTGTACACTAAGGAAATTTTGTGGATAAAAATTAAGGCCAGTGTTGAGATAGTAATTTAATCACCATCAATGCCTTTTCCTTTTTAGAAGGAAATCAGGAGTTTGCTTCCAAGATGGAGAGCCCATCAGATTCCTCATCCACCAAGATGGAGATCCCATCAGATTCAGCATCTGCCGAGATGGAGAGCCCATCAGATTCCTCATCCACCAAGATGGAGATCCCATCAGATTCTGCATCCGCCAAGATGGAGAGCCCATCAGATTCTGCATCCGCCAAGATGGAGAGCCCATCAAATTCAATCTCCACCAAGATGGAAAGCCCATCAGATTCAGCATCCATCAAGATGGAGAGCGCATCAAATTCAACCTCCACCAAGATGGAAAGCCCATCAGATTCAGCATCCACCATGATGGAGAGCCCATCAAATTCAACCTCCACCAAGATGGAAAGCCCATCAGATTCAGCATCCATCAAGATGGAAAGCCCATCAGATTCAGCATCCATCAAGATGGAGAGCGAATCAGATTCAACATTGACCAAGATGGAGATTCCATCAGATTCCTCATCCACCAAGATGGAGAGCACATCAGATTGCACATCCATCAAGATGGAGGTCTCATCAGATTCTGCATCCACCAAGATGGAGAGTGCGTCAGATTCAGCATCGACTTTACCTGACACTCTTGAGAAGAGGGAGACTCCATCATCATCCCAAACAAATAGTTCAGGAAAACAAGTATGAAAGTCTTGCTATCCACCCCCATTCTGTGTTTCAAAGTATTCTGGTAGTGGCAATTTTAAGGATACTGGAATGTGAATTAACATATAGCCTTTGTCTAGGATCCAGTCTTTACCAGGTTTTCTTGAATAAGTTATATTCATTTTGTTGAATTTCTTAGCAGGTTCTTAAGATTCTTCAAATTTGATCTGTATAGTATTCCTTAGGGGAAGTCTTTGATGGCAGGTCTTTTCCTAAGTCTAGAAGCATTTTTAGTGCTGTAAGGCAAATACTAAGTGGCTGATGACTGGGAGAAATGTCTCAGGCCTATTTTAGGAAGTTAACCTTGAAGTAAGACTAAAGGAGTCTCTGGAAAATAGATATTGGTGATCTTGCTTGAGATTTTTGGAGACAGAAGACCACCCAGTGTACCTACTGTAGAAGTATAAAGTCTTTATTTCTAATTAGTTGATTGATTTCAAGAGTGTTTTCTTAGCTGGGCAGTGGTGGCACAAGTCTTTAATCCCAGCACTTGGAAGGCAGAAGCAGGTGGATCTCTTGAGTTCTGAGGCCAGCCTGGTCTACAAGAGCTAGTTCCAGGATAGCCAACACTATACAAAGAAGCCCTGTCTAGAAAAACAATGTTTTCTTACCATTTTTAATGTTCTGTGTCTTTTTCAGCCTATGAGTGGAACACTTAAAGAAAGGCTAAAGAAAACAAGGGCTTCGTCTCATTCCTTTTGTAGCGTGGTGAAGCGACTTAAGGTGGAGAATGAAGAAAATGACGAGAGCGCACCAGAGCCAGGGGTGTCTTCCACAGAGAAAAGCTGCTTGGGGGTTCAACAAAGTGTGAAACACACAGACAGTGAATCTGAAAAAGATAGCTCGGAGAGTAAAAACACATGCAAATCTAAGTCACCTGATACTGGGTCACCCAGTGCCCTCCAAAATGATTCTGTGAGTGAGCATACTAAGGAAAGATTAAGGGAAGAAAAAGCAAAATTGACAAAGCAGGTTCAAGAGAAGGAAGAACTTCTTCGGAGATTAAAACTTGTCAAAATGTATAGAATAAAGGTGAGAAGAATTTTAGAACCATTGAATAATTTTTACATAAATTGCAGTAATTTCAGAATTTGGAAATCATTTGGTCTGATAAGCAAGAAGCCAGATAGCCAGAAAAGAAACCTATCTTACAACAGCTTTAACTGAAGTAGAAGTAATTGATTTAGAGTGAGGTAGATGAGCCCCGGTCAACACAAGCTTTTGTTCAGTACACATTTGAAGCTTTTTGGCTTTAATTTCTAGCCAGTAGCAAAGTTAGAAGTATATATTGTTAGGAAATTCTCTGGGAACAGAAAGGAATGACAGTAGAACAATAGCCCACAGATACAGTATAAAGTGCTTTCGGGAGTGATCCTGTATCTCTGCGTAAAACGTAAGGAATTTTATTTGAGAAAACAAGATTTTAGGTTTCAGCTCCCGTAGGTTGATGTCAGTAGAGCATGGATGTTTGGAAGGGTGTGACGTCTTTATCTGGATAGTTTTTGCCCATATAACACCTCATTCTTCCCCAGAAACATGGAATAAATGACTGGACAGTGTTTCTTATTTGTGCTTTTGAATTTTTGACTTTTCTAAAGGTGACTTATTTTTTTTTTTTTAGGTGACTTATTTTTTAAGGTTTAAAATATTTTTAACTTGAGAACAGTTTGAGGTTTACAGAAAAATTAGGAAGCTACAACATGGCATTATATCTTAAAAGTATAGTAGTAATACAGAAGATTCTGTATTTAATATGCAAATTAATTCATACTTTTTTTTCCCCTCAAGGTTAAGATTTGCCCAGAGGTTGCAGTGCCCTTTATGCCTGGGGTATTAGCATTTACAGCTAGACAGGAACTAATTTAGCTGCTTTGATATGGTGTAAGTTAAAATGCATGACTATCTGGTTATTGATTGACTTGTTTTTTTCTGTTTCAGAATAACCTGGCTGAGTTAGAAATGTTAATAAAGAAGTGGAGGAGGTGCAGCCAGCGGCTGCTGTATGAGCTACAGTCAGTTATGTCTGAGGACGACGAGAAACTCAGCATCACCGAGCTGATCGACTACTATGGGGTAGATGAGAACGTTGTGCACTATAATAGAAGTGAAGAGGAATTTACAGGGGTTTGAAAAGTGTGTTTGTTTTCTTCAGGCTTTTTTTTCTCTCCCTTTTGTGGTGATGGGATCATGCCCAGGGCCTCAAATGTGTTCTGTTTCTGAGTATATTCTTGTTCCCCTATGGAATATCTGTGAGAATATTAATGTGAAAAGTTTAAGTGTTTTAAAGGGAGGAAAGATGTAAGCTATTGTGGCTTAGAGAAAGGTATCTTGAACAGTTTAGGATATTCTGATACATAAACAAATTATAAAATGAAGCTTAGTATTTTGGATATGTTTGGTAAAGAAAATATTTAAGTATTAAAAAATTAAATGATGTTTAAAAGGGAGTTTGGATAATTCTGGAAACCAGGTTTAATACATTGATTTTGTGGCAAAAGGTTTTATAATCAGTGTTAAAAAATAGTTTATTGCATGTCTAAACCTCACCTGGCCTAAATGTAACCTGCCCCTTCTCAGTTTATGAATCTTGTCTTCAGTTGCTTACTATATCTTTTTGTCCGCTAATCTAGCAAGTAATTAAACATATATCCACAATTTTTCTCCAGATTGGTTTCTTATTTTCCTCATTTATTCAAATGGCCATCTGTTTCACACCCTTATTTCCCATGTGGAGGTGTTCTTGGTGTGAGCGATTCTCCACGGTTGCCTTCTTAGCTTCATCTGTGGTGTTCATCTTTGGAAGGGTCCTCAGCCAGAAGCCTGCCAGTTGTGTGTGGAGGAGTGACTGAAGTTGGCCCCGTTGCTGGGAATTTAGAATGAACCACTGGCCCCGTTGCTGAGAATTTAGAATGAACCTAGTGGGAAAAGCATGTTGCTATTGCCAGAGCTATGCTATAACCTTGGGAGAAGCCAGGCTGCCGCCTTTAAGTACAGCAGGTCTGTGCACACTGGTAGATGGAGGGAGAACTTTATGGGTCAGTGTCTTCCCTGTTCTATTTGCCAATTATTCCTGAAACCTTCACGATTTCTGCTTTGGGGTCTAGAAAAAGTATTTATTAGTTTGTAAGTGGCTGCTATGCTCAAGCCCTCTAAGAACTTACTTTCAGCCACCCTCCCCATTCCCATTTGATCTCTTGGTGTTGATGCAACAGGGGACTCAAACCTGTCACACCCCCAATACCACATACCATGTAAATTCCCTCTTGTGAGTCTAATCTTCCTGTACATAAGGCTGTGCTACGCTTGACCTAACTAACTGTATCACTTGTTGGTAATGAATTGTAAACTACTATGCACATAATTGCTGTTCAGCAGAAGCTGAGAGGTGTTGGCCCCATGAACACTCTCGACAGATGAGGTAAAGCACTGCACCCTTCCGAAGCACCTACCAACAACTAAACACAGTCTAGCAAGAGTCCTCCAAGCCCCGCTCAGGCCTCAAAGCTGAGGCAGCTGAGGAAGGACCACAGCTAGAGTGGTGATAAAGCAAACGGCATGGGCTGTTTGGTCTGTAGCGACCAGACTTAGCCAGTGGAATTGAGGCCCGCCACCGCCCAGCCCAAATTTAGATTTTTAAATTGCAGAAAAGTGGGGCATAGACCTCACTTGGAGACTATGATAAATGATCCTGATGCGGCCACTCTGGGATGCAGCAGACCGCAGGCTGTAGAAGGGTGAATGGACTTTTGTTTGCCAGAGTCTTACTACAGAATTAGTATCATCTACATGAGTAGAATGAACTATTTCAAGGAAATGAGCACTTGTTTACTGAACCCTGTTAGGGTGAAGAATGAGTTCTGCTACAATAGGTAAGGAAAATTAAAAATTTCCAAAAAACTAACAAATTTTCTACAAGCTTATGTCTTGGGAAAAATGATTTGCTTTGGTTTAATTGGTAAAGGCTCCAAAATTCTGGTAATTTTAATTGAACAAAATAAATCTTGAGTGTTTTCTGGCTGAAAAACACTGTTCTTGAATGAATACAAATATACAAATGGTATTTTACTCATTTATTAATGTAGGACAAATAGTTATATACTGATTAACCTAAACTTAATTTATTAAAAATGTGCAGCTAAGAGGTAACCTACTTAAATTCCCTGATACGAGAAAGAAAGTCATTTTTATCCAAGTGACACTATTTTGGAGTAACTAGTTTGCCTCCTGCTCTGGCTGGTGTTCTACATGGGAACAAGGGCAGGGAATGTTTTCATTCTTAGCCTTTCAACTTCAGCCTGCAGTATTGAAATCTGCTCAGCTTGCTGCTTGGAGATTTTCGTCAGCTTCTGTTTTTTCAGCAGGTTTTCATACTGTTCTTTGGCAATCTTTTCACAAGTCAGTTTAGACCCTAATCCAGAAATGGAGAGAGGAATTAGATGAGTTACTGCCAACACTTTCAGTACAGAAGCAACACCTAAGATCATGTGCGGAAGAGATGCTGGTAGCTTTTTGCTTGTTTTCGGATAGCAGGCTGCTGGTTAGAATACTAGTACCAATCACCTTTAACTGAAGAAGAAAACGCTCACCCATTTCATTGCAAATGTCTTGTCTCTCGGAGACAGCTACTAGTTCTTCCCGCAGATTGCAGCTCAGCATGTAATTTGCTATGTCTTTCTGATTATTGTATCTTCCCAATTTTTTAAGTAATTTTTTGCAGTTTTCTACGTTCTTCCTGTGAGTCTGAAAATTTTGTTCCCATGAAACCCCAAGAACAAATTTGAAAAAAAGTTATAAACATTGGAGTTTTAAAATATTTTATCATCACTGAGATAACATACTATATCCCTAGTGCCTGTTGTATGGTATGTCTTTTTTTGTTAAAAGACAGAATGTTAATACTATACTTTAGAAACAAATTTATACTGTCACATTTTAAAACCTTTGCTTCCATTTTATGTGTTACGCAGTAAAACCGATTTTGTTATTGAGATATACAAAGAGGAAAAGTTCAAAATGCCAGGAAAACTGCCAGTTTTTGTGTTGCTCAGATCTAACTAATGTAAAAGCAAACACGCATTCATCTACATGTATTCCCAGATACCGATCCTAAAATCCAGAGAAATGCTGTAATCCGCCAAGTCAGCCTTCTGGACCTCAAGTTGTCATGAACATCAGTAAGTTATCAACTTTCTCTTAGGTTCTGTCTGAGTTCATGGCTGAATTATTTGCCCACACGATTCACAGATGTTTCCATTCTAATGATTGATATGTTTAAGACTGACCTTATCTATAACATTAATCGTTTGCTCCATTATTCCAATCTGAATAGCAATCAGATTCTCGTAGTTTGGTTCATTTAGGTACTTTAAGAAGGGGAAAAAAAAGAGATATCACATACATGTAACGATAATTTATTTCTTTTAGTAGGTAACTATGAATGGTTTTGAAAACTATAGTTTCATAATGAATATCAGAGTTAAGACTGATTTGGCCTTTGTGCGATGATATTTACGTGTATTTAGCCATCAGCACACTCACCTATTTGCCATTTTTACTTACATTTATTCATTCAGTGTCTCGTTTGGGTCACGTTAATCATGTTCTAGTTAAAGATACCAAAGTAGATACAAAGACAGACATTACCTAGCTAGCCTTCAAGGAAAAGAAAACACATACAAATAATTGGTTACCAGGCTACCGGTATGTCAAGCGTTAGTAAATTCAAAGGCAGTTTGTGATGGAGTGGAATTTTTCTAGGCTTGGGCAATCAAGAAAGGCTGTTGAAGAAAGTGGCATAAGTTAAAACTTGACAAACTGGGTAGATAGGACAGAAGGAGGGAAGGGGCAAGGAACAGAAGAAGGGAAGAAATAGGAGGAGGGGGAAGAAGATGTTTCGGGTTGAAGAGCCAGTGTGAGAAAAGGTGAACCATCTGGGTGCGTGGGAGATTGCTCAATTGATAAATGCTTGCTGCTCAAGCATGAAGATCTGAGTTCGGATTCTCAGTACCCATGTAAAGCCCTAACCCAGCACTAGGCCCTGGAGCTGGCTGCTCAGCCAGTCTAGTTGAATTATGAGGAACATTCCTGAGAAAGACATCTAATGTTGGTCCCTAGCCTCCATACATACCCACCTCCCTCCCTCCCTTCCTTCCTCTCTTCCATTTAAGAATATTGATGGATAAGAGGCATAGTGGTATCTGTTCCTCTTATTTGCCCTAAAAGCAAGTTGAAAGACACTGTCCACCATTAAGGACTTCTTAATGCATTTGGTAGTTAAAAGTATTATTTAAAATATCTGAGCAGGGCACCGATGTTGCTTGACTCAAGTAGGACCTCAGTATGGCAGCAGTGTACAAATAACTAAATGGGTTCTGAGAGGGGAGGGAAGAGCGAGAGCGAGCACCACCTCAGGTCAAACAGTGGCAGAAATGGGATAAAGAAAAGAGAACTGGATAAACTGGGAAAGACAGGTATAGTAGAGAGACACCCAATTTTAAGTCAGAGTGAGTCTCTAGAGAGAAGAGGAATAAGCGAATTAAGAAAAGAGCCATGAAATGAGCAAATTAAACCTCTGTAAGAAAAAGAACTCACGTGTTTACGGATCTGTTAGGAACATACCTGGCTTGGAATATGCTTGCTGTCAGGGAGGCTTCCTACTAAGTGACTGTTTGTGAACAAATGGATGAAGGAGATGAACGTGGGGGTGGGGAGGATGGAGCCTTGCCTTTTGACGATCTCGCGAGAAGAACAGCATCTGGATGTCCCAGGCCTTCTGATTCAGATCTTCCATTTCCATTTCCATTTTCTTGTGTTCCCACTCGATCTGATAGATTCCTTTGTGGACTTCTTTACTTTCCATCATGCTGGCAACTTTCTTTTGTCCTTGAGCCTGAAAAGGTACACCAGCAGTCACACTGACTGTGTATTCAGAACTGAAGCTGGTTTCTGTGGCTCAGTCTGTGTGAAACCTCCATGTCTTCGCATTGATTCTCTGGATAAAGCACTGGCTAACATGGCTAGGCACACCAGCATCAACCTGGTAGCTAGCAGTAAAGGAAAAAGTCAGATATGACACTTAAAACACTCTACTATTTTGTACTTCACTTGGAATAACGAATATTCAATATATTCATATTAGGTTATGTATTCGTATATTCAATAGTCGTGTATTTGTATAGGTTACTCAATAACCTATATGAAATTCAGGGATATTTTAAATTAAACATTTAAATTAATTAAATATTAAATGCATTAAATTTTATCAAATATTTAGTTAAGTATTATTTAATATTACGTTTAATATTTAACATCTCAATATAATATCAATAAAATTAAGGAACATCAATATAAATTATTTATTTAAATTAAAAATTGTCCTAAGATTACTAAAATGAAATTACTGTGTCACGAAAATGAATTTATACCCACATGTGGTAGCTTCTACCTGTTATTCTAGGACTTGGAAGGCTATGACAGGAAGATTGTCCCAAGTATGAGGTAAGCTTTGGTCACATAATAAGTTCCAGGCCAGTCTAGACTGTCTTGTCAATCAGTTGATCAGTTTATATAAGAGTCCCACCAGTTACCACTTTTCATTCCTTCTCTTTTTATTCCCTTTCCAAATTCTAGCTTTTTGAGTGCATGCCACTAAGCCACTCCCCACTGCGTCCCACCCTTTTATTGTTTTCTTCTTTTGGTCATAACCTGGTTTCTGAACTCCTTGGATTTCCTACCTTTAATGACCCTTTAAAACTGTATTTCAATCACCTTTCCCCCATGCTCTCACAACTTCATCTGGCTGTCAGCAGCTCAAACATTCTAAAGTTTAAGCATTTCTCTGCTGGGAAAGCACATTGGCCCAGGAGAAGGCATGCTTGGGTTGCTGCAGCCAGAGAGGTTGCTGTTGGCATCTGGTGAGCGGAGGTCAGGATGGTGCCAAGCAGCCTACAAAGCACAGGGCAGCCCCCATGGAAAACAGTCTGCCCCCACCCCCAGCAACATCAAGGCTGCTAAGGCTGGGAGTCACTGTTTTGGTGTTGTGGGATTTACTTTACTTCCCCATGTCATGTGACCCCACCCTCACGAGGGCCACTCCATCCTCAACCCTCTTGACACTGTGCACACATCTCTATCTACTCCTTGGAATCTTTGTTCTCGGGGTGTCTAGGGGACAGAACCCTAGTTTTCTCTACTGCTATACTAGGAGCTCCACCATCTCCTTGCCTGGTTCCCTCCCTCTACTGCATCTTTTAGAGCTCCATTGGAGGTGCAGACACAAGCCCACTATTTTTGGTCTACCTAGCTTCTTAGGTTGTCTCGAGCAATCTCCTGGTTTAAATGGCCTGTGAGTGGATATCTGTATGTAACAGTCCATATGCAGCTAGTAACATATGCTCTACAGAGAGCGCATCTCAACTCTGAACTCTGTCAAGTTGGACATTCCACTGGAATGTTTGAAATACATCTCAAATTAACCAAAGCCCAAACTCTTCACTCTGTGGCTTCAGCCAAAGCTACAGCTGCCCAGTCTTCCCACCATCAGTTAGTGATACTATAATCTATAGCTATCAGCTGCTCAGCGTACAATTTAAATAATTTTAAGATTTTTCTGCTGGGCAGGGGTGGCACATGCCTTTAATCCCAGCACTGGGGAGGCAGAGGTGGGTGGATCTCTGAGTTCGAGGCCAGCCTGGTGTATAGAGCTAGTTCCAGGACAGGCTCCAAAGCTACACAGAGAAACCCTGTCTTGAAAAGCCTAAATAAATAAATAATAAAAAATTTCTGAGACAAGATCTTGGTATGTGATCCAGGCTGACATTGAACTTGTATCTTTCAGAAACCAAACAAAAGAGCCCACCACAAAACCTGTCAACCAAGAACTTAAGAATCTTGTAGTTACAGAAACCATGTTTCAGAAATGAAAGCTGGCCCCTGTAGTCTGGCTACTCAGGAGGTGGAAGGATCCCAAGTTTCAGGTCAGCCTAGGCAATGTAGCAAGACCTTGTCTCAAAAAACTTAACAGAGGAGAAGACTATTTTTAAATGAAAGACAGGACATTTTGAGACGCATTAAGTGGCTGGAGAGCTCCCATTGTTAGTGGACTTCATCTGTAAGAGATGCTAAAGGAACTCCTGCAAGCTGGAATAAGAGAGAGTAGAAGAAACACAAAGCAAAAGCGATTAAAAATACTGCCTAAGAATATGAATGCATATGTAAATGTAAAATCCAGTCTGGTACCTAATTCTCCTTTTCTCTCATAATCAAAAGACAAAGGCACGCCACAGTCACCATGGATCAGTGATGATGAGTACATTCTGTGGAAAGGCAGAATGAACACAGCATAGGGGGAGGGGCAGAGCGTCGGTGGGGCAGAACTTTGGATATTGCTAAAGCTAAGTCGGCATTAATTCGAATTTTCTTGTTACACAGTTAGGGAAAAAGAGAGCCTGCATCAGCAATTTATGTGCCAGAAAAAGAACAAGCTAACGTAAAAGCTGGCAGGAAGCTAGAGTAAAATGGAGATAAGTGAAACAGGAAATAGGAAAACAACAAGAGTCCATGAAACTGAGAGTCGGTCCTTTGGAAAAAAAATTGATTATATACTGAGAGTTATATAAACAGTATATAACTAAGATATATTAGAATGGACAATTAGCCCCATTGTCTAGAATTTTACGTCCCTTAGAATCATCTAGGGAGATTTTAAACAATATGTACATGCTGGGCACATTTACAGATTTCTGTGTGTGACTCTAGTGGCGGCTGCTGAGACGAAACACTGATGTAACTGAATTAAAGTTACTGCCTTGGTCAGGTTACCATTGCTGTATGACTAATGCCATCTTGGGGAGGAAAGAATTTATTTAATTTATGGTTCCTCATTAGTGTTCATCATCAAAGGAAGTCAGAGCAGGAACTCAAGCAGGGCTAGTGTTCATCATCAAAGGAAGTCAGGCAGGGCAGAAACCTGGAGCAGGAGCTGACACAGAGGCCATGGAGGGGTGCTGCTTACTTGGCTTGCTCCTCGTGGCTTGCTCAACCTGCTTTGTTATCGAACCCTGGACCATCACCCCAGAGATGGCCCCACCCACAATGACTGGGCCCTCCCCCATCAGTCACTAATTAAGAAAATGCCCTACAGGCTTGCTACAGCCTGATCTTATGAAGGCATTTTCCCAGTCGAGGTTCACTCTCTCCACTGACTCCAGCTTTGTCGAGTTGACATAAAACTAGCAGCACACTTACCATGGGAACGAGACACACTATAAAACATTTTATGTAAAAGGTAATATGTTCAAAAACTATAATTACCCGGATCACAGAATTCAAGTCTTCAATTATGTTCTTATTGATGAGAATTGCATCGGAATATTCCAGAATCAACTGGAAATTCTCCAGTTCTACTTGTCCTTGTTTAAGAAGAATTTGTATTGTCAAGTTCACCTGGAATCTCACTTTCTCCTCCTGTAATCTAAATGGAAAAAGACTTCAAAAGAGGTATTTGTAGTATATTTAGGCTTCAAACTTCACTTATTAGCTGAGAAATGAACTCCTAAGCAACCGAGGGAATGCACCCTGAGTGGCATGAAGACTGTCTCCCCAAAGACACCGCTCCTAGAAGCCCCTTTAGGTGCCTCCTCACTTGATCTGGAGTTCTCAAGACAGGGTTTCTCTGTAGCTTTGGAGCCTGTCCTGGAACTAGCTCTTGTAGACCAGGCTGGCCTCAAACTCACAGAGATCCACCTGCCTCTGCCTCCCGAGTGATGGGATTAAAGGCGTGTACCACCACTGCCTGGCTTGGAGTTCTAATTGGATTGCTCAGGCAACAGTAGGGACAGAATTAGTCACACTCTTTTACTGTAAGGAAAAAACTGTAGTTTTGATTTAATGAAAGGAATTTTAAAATGAAGTAGAAATACTTTGAAAGGCAAGTCTTTTAAAATTATGACTTTATTGGTTTGTTTGGGTTTTTTTTGTTGTTGTTGTTTTGTTTTGGGTGTTTTGAGACAGGGTTTCTCTGTGTAACAGTCCTGACTGTTCTGGAACTCACGTTATAGACCAGGTTGGCCTCAAACTCATGGAGATCTGCTTGCCTCTGCCTCCAGAGTGCTGGGATTAAATGTGTGCCCACCACCACTTGGCGATTTTATTGGTCTTTGGTAATATAGCAGCAATATTAAGTCTATATACTAATTATCAAATCTGTTGCCTAGTTTGTATCCCCCCAATAACTTAGATCTAGAAATGATGTGTACTGATGAATTTGGGAGCATCTCTGAGGTATTTATTCATGTGGGTATACATACGACATTTCTGAAGCAAAGACTTCTATACAAAGCACTCACTAAAAACCACCATGAAGACAAACACAAACCTGGTGGGTGTTTGTGGAGAAACTTGTCTGGAAATCTGCTTGGTTCCACTCAGTCTTGAGCCTGGAATTCTCCTCTGGCAGAGTCAGGCTCTTTGTGTTTTTATGACTTACACAAAATTTTATGATTCCCCCCCACCCAAAATTTGTTTCTTTGTGTTAAGAGCACACATGGCAAATTCTCTTTTGAAACAAGTCTTGTGTAATAAGGCACACTCTATAAAATAGAACATTTCAGCACGGTGTCAGGACTAACAGGCAACCAGCTGTGAACCAGCTGTGCAGGAGGCGTGCTCCTTAGTGATAGCCCTACTTGATTGAACCCAACTCAAACTGTGAATATGAATGAATGAGTCCACGAGGTTCGGATTACCGGAGGAGCTCCTGGAACACCTTTTCAATCTCATGCTGCACGGCCTCATCGTCCTCCACTCTCCTCCGGAGAAAAGTCGTCATTTCCTGGAGACCAGCAGCCTTCTGTTTGACCTGGTAAAGCCAACCACCAATGTGTCAGGGCTTGTGGGGACTTGATTGGAGACAACGTCTGTCTTTGACTTTTCCTAACAAGCCTATCTTTCTCAGAGATTAATAAAAGTCTAAATCTCTGCCAGAAGGTGAGTTATGTAAAACATGACTGGCACAGTCCACGAGAAATTTAAAGAGTATCAAACTGGCCTCTTGCTGAAAAGCATGTATGCAACTGACGTGTGTGTGTGTGTGTGTGTGTGTGTGTATCATGTACATGTCTATACACCATTTTTAAATCTGTTCCCAATACTTTACATGAAATTCTAGAATCATAGACACTTAGGGACAATTTGCTGATTCGATGTATGTGCACTGACTTTAGAGATTAGGAGAGAGGAGACAGAGGCGTCAGGAAACAGAAGGGTCACTTCACAGCTAAGCATGTTCTCACATCTTTACGTTACTATAGCCCCACCCCGTCTTCTGTCAAAGGATGAGGCTGCCTCTGGTGAGCTAAACACATTCTGTGCAAAACGAGGTCACGTCTAACAGTGCTGTCCAGGGGAAAGCGCTGTCAGCCACACATGTAATTTAGATGTTGTCATCATCACATGATAAAAAGTGAAACAGAACATAACTTAATTTTACTAATACTCTTTATTGAACACACTCTCTCTGAGATATTATTCTGCTGACAAGCAATGTGGGAATATTCACGAGACATTTTCCATTTTATGGTAGTTCTGCTAAGCCTTGTGTGTCTCCCACTCAAAGCCCTTCCGGGTACTGCTCACATCTACTTCCAGTGCACACTAACTGCTTAGCACCAGGCCATCATTTTGGACCCTGAAGATTTATAGCAACACAAATAATACTACTTGTTTTGTTATGTTATTATTGATATAACTAACCCAGCAAGAGGATCTTAAAACTTAGTTTTCGTGGATGTGCTGACAGATGTGATATTTGCTATTAGTACACTTAAAATAAAATTTAAAATGAAGTTATATACTTTGTATTCATTTTCCACTTTTGCTCGTCTGGTTGTGCAGAAATGTTCCCAGACGAAGGGGTCCAAACCTTCTGGCATGTTACTGATATTGTCCAGTTCATCCATGGCTTTCATTAGCTGGGTAAAGTTCTCCTTATTTAACTTGCCAGATCCTGGTCGCTCTCCATAAGGAACAAGACTGTTCACATCTGCATGTGTTTTCTGTTTGTGAATCCTGGTATTAGCAAGAAAAGATCATCAACCTTTCGTATTCTTACAAATCCCAAAAAAGAAAACAAACAAACAAACAAAAAAACCACTGTTAAGTAACAGAGTATTAGCCTAAGTCTGACACTGTATGGTAACTTCCTGTGTTCCTTCAGGGTTGGTGAGTGGGTGACTCCAGAGACAAGCACCCCCTTTGTTGTTCCCTACTCTAGGTCCCCAGACATGCCCTGGACTTAGAAGCATGCCTCATTGTTGCTGGCACCGGCAGCTTTACTCATGCTAGGAACCCCATTTCTTCTGTGGATTGTAGGCAGGCAAACAAACACCCAATAGCAGTGTGTGTGCCCCTGGGTCTGTCTGGCATAGCCACGCCTGGCATCTTTTCTTCAGTGGAATATGCCTGGACATATGTACCTGGGGAAAGGTACTCTTTGTCTGTATCAATAACTTAGCTTAGTTTTCTTGGGCTGTGGCTGGGAAGGGAAGAGGGTCACAGAGACCTGTCCCAGGCACGCCCCTTGGAGATACTTGACAGTGTACAGCCATAGCGATGGGTTCCACCCATATCTCAGGTTCTGGGAGAAGTTACTGGCCCAAGGCCAGCTCTGGGTCTGAGAAACAGTGGAATCAGATTTAAAAAGTTCTATTTGATGACCAAGTGTTTCCCCTGGGTTTATAATTAGCACACCTCTAGCAGACCCGGCAATGGATACTGTAATCTCCTCACTCAAGAGGCAGAAGCCAGAAGATAACTAAAAGTTTGAGGCCAGTCTTGACTACACAGTAAGCTTCAGGCCGGTCAATGCTACATAGTTAAGACTGTCTCAGGAGATGTAAAGTAAAACAAAAAAACCAAAAAAGTGCCCCTGAGCTAGGGAGCCAGCTCCGTCAGTTCTGAGCAGGATAAACATCTGACCTCAGCCCCAGACACCCACCATTGTGGTACACACTTGTAATCCATCCCAGCATTGGATGAGCAGAGCCTGGGGCCTTGACCTCAGCCCCAGACACCCACCATTGTGGTACACACTTGTAATCCATCCCAGCATTGGATGAGCAGATCCTGGGGCCTCTCTGGCTAGTCAGTCTAGGAGAACTGACAGGACCCAGGACAGGGAGGGAATCTGTCTCAAAAACTAACGACAGCAACAACAAACAACTCCAAAGAGTAGAAGGCAATTGGTGGGATCACCCTGACTTACACACACGCATGCACACACACAGAGACATATACGCATAAACACACCACACAGAGAGACAGAGGAACAGAGAGAGACAGAGACAGGAAGACAGAGAGAAACTAAGATGTGAGACAAGTCCTAGGCTAAATTCCCAGCTTTTCTGGGAGCCTGCCCAAGGTGAGAGCCTGAGTTTGTATCCCTCACATAAACTATCTCACGCCTTTGTGACAAACAGCACCCTTCTTCTGTACTGCATCTGTTTGAAAATTTCAACTTATTATGTTAGCAAACTATTCCAATACTCCTCCCAGCTTAGAAACATTTCAGAATTCTAGCAAATCGTTGTTTTGTGCTTTCTTTTGCATTTTTATTTTAAACTTTATTATTAAAAAACATTGCAAATAAAAACTTTGTAGTGAACATAGTCACATGAGATTCTCTGGGGATCAGATGTTTGTGGTCAGATATATTGGGAAGACAGTGCTGACTATTCCTGGGAATCCAAAGGCCTAAGTTTGGGGAGGCTCAGCAATGAAGAACACCACTTAGCTGCAGAGACCGGTATTTCCCTCCCTCTCCATGTGCTTGATTTTATAAGTCCGTCTCATGCTCATGCAAAACTCCGATTTACACTTTAAAGAGGACTTAGGTTGTCTAGGAATATGTCTTGGGAAAATCCGTGTGCCAGCTATGGTTTAAGGCTTTTCACATGTGAAATAAGGACACAAACACTTAGCCACTTTTAACAGTGGGCAGAAACCATTACACTTCATTTTCTGTCATAAGATTCCAGCGAGACCTCAGGACGTTTAGATGATTATTTCTACCTAATTGGGAAAAGGTAAAACTTTATAGCTATGTTACTTTCTGATGTGTGTTTACCAGTTTGTTGATTTTTGTGCATGCGCTCACATGTACACATGCTGTGGTGCACTGTGGAGGCCCAAGGGCAGCTTGTTCTCATCCCACCACGTGGATTCCAAGGATACCACTCAGCTCACCAGGCTTAACCCTGCTATGCCACCTCTCTGGCCCTGTCCTCCCTGTCCCCAACATACCATAGTACAGGAGAAACAAACCTTGGCCGGCGTTTAAAAAGTTTGTAGAGTATGTCCACCTGGTGACCAGAAATGTCAGAAAATTCCTTTTTGAAGCTGCGATCCAGAATCTAAGGATAAACACATTGCGTCCAGGATTGCAGACACAGAAGTCCCTCATTGGTTAACACAACCTCTAAGATGCACACGGTGTCACTGGGACATTAGGACCTGGCTTTTACAGCTGTTGGAGAGCATCCACTCTCTAGGCAAAGACTTCCTTAAAGGGCTGTGCCCAGGGAGCCTGCCAGCACACCAAAAATGCTACCTTATAGAACAGCCTTTAAAAGCATCTAGAATAGTAATGTCCACAGATAATATTTATTCAGAAAACACGCAAGTCACTGTTCAACCCATTTCACCTTCTTCCTTCTCCACCTCATTTGTTCCATCTTGTTGTTATTCGGGTTATTGCTTCTGTCACACACTGCCGGCTCTACTACTAAGTTGCTTTTATGAGCAACTCATGGGTCCCACAACCATACGCTTGAGAACAAACTTGTGAGAACTTGATGGCCTCACTTATAATATTTTTCTACAAGAAAAAGTTTAAATTAAAAAAATATTGTTCTAACACACAGATTTTACAGAAACGTATAGCCATCCAGAATGAAGTTCACTCACAACTAAAGATGACAGAAAGAGAACACTCCATGAAGGAATTAATTTATGCCCTGTCTACCGCCCCACTGCTAATCCCAAGTGCAACAACCCTGCCCTGTCCAGGGGATGAGCCCGTGACTCACTTTGTCTTCTGCCACCAAGTTGTCATGGTGCTCCTTGAACACATCCAGGTCTCCTCTAGCTTTATGGATGGCTTCTGCAGTCTTGCTCTACAGGAACGGCAGGGACAGTTAATTGGAACTGGAGAGTCCTCAGGTTAGACAAAGCTATAGGTGTTTTTAGCAAGAATAAGAAGCCTCACAGGATGCTATAGGGCGAGAGCTAGCACCAACACGCGTTATCCAGCCGCTCTGAAATGGTCTCCTCCTGTGTCAGAGGCATCTAACAGCCTGCAGGGGTCTTGTGATACACTTCAGATACAGTCTGCTATGTAGCCCAGCTTTCCCTTAACCTGTGCTCCTCCTGTGTTCGCCTCCCAAGGGCTGGATTATAGGAATGAGCCACCATGTCTGGTAAAAAGTTCTTGGCAACTATTATAAACAAACTTTTTCTTTTCTTTTGGTTTTGTCTTTGACACAGGGTCTCTCTAAGTAGCTCTGGCTGTTCTAGAACTCGTTATGTAGACCAGGCTAGCTTTGAACTCAGAGATCTGCCTGCCTCTGCCTCCTGAGTGCTGAGGCATGTACCACCACTCCTGGCCAGATAAACAGACTAAAAAGTGAGTACACAAGCCATTTATGATGCAGCACACGTGTGCATACTTGGCTTCATCAACAGTATCGATGCAGGCTGACACCTGCTGAAACATTACGTATTAATAATCAGCATTAATACCCATCTCCTTAATAAACTCTATCCATTCATGTTTCTACCTAGCGTTTCTGAATATGAAAGTTTTCATTCTATAAACTAACCCATCACTTCAAGGTTCAGTGACATTTGGGACTACCACATGGTCCAGAGAGAACAATACTCCCTGGAGAATGGCCTGTGAACAACTTCAAGGATTGTGTGCTTTGATCAAGGTCCTACAGCCAGCCTGTGGTTAAAAGCTGTGTTGTTGTTGTTGTTGCTGTTGTTTGAGACAGGGATTTTCTATGTAGCCCTGGCTGTCCTGGAATTCGTTCTGTAGACCAGGATGACCTCAAACTCACAGAGATCCCCCTGCCTCTGTCTCCTGAGTGCTGGGACTAAAGGTGTGTGCCACAACTGGCTGGTATTAACTTCAGTCCGAGAAGTCTTGGTCTTGTCTTCTATGTCATTTTGACACTACAGTGTTCTGAATCTGAGCTGCAGAATCACATCGGCTAATAAAGAGACTGACATGGGTCCTTTATCTGGTCGTCTAGCAAAGTCCCAGACCTGGAACCTGCTCTGAGCATGGCTGAGTATGAAGACTACGGGGCAAAACAGCCAGACATCACTGTGATGGGACTCGCTTGCCTCTTCAAGGCGTTCTTCTTGTCTCAGAAGATCGCTTGATTAGAGTCGAGTCTGTGACTCTGATCAAATAAGGCTCTAGATGTGGAACCTGTGAGCGGCAGAGGACGCCCGAGAGGCCCGGACTTACTTTCTCCTCCTGCTTCTTCAGAAGGTAATAGTTCAGGAACTGCTCCCTGGAGCTCAGTTCTTCGTCCAGCAGCAAAGAAAACACAAGGTTGTTTATTTTCAGCTCCTCCTGTGGAAATATTAAGAGAAAGAATGTTGAAGGTCAACATTCCTAGTGGAGAAAGAACGTCCTATTGGTGGTCGTAGACTTGATGCTAATCAGACAAGTTTATGAGGGGAGGAGTCCCTTAGGTGAATGCCCTGAAGAAAAGTCATGTGGGGATTCCTAACTAGTACTTGGCTCTGTTCCCTCATCCGTCATTTTCCTGTAAGCAAAACACATACACAGAAAAATACTTAACACCAACAAATCATCCAATGAGTTATGATACAGGCCAACACTCTTATTTTCATTACTTGATTAAAAATAGTCATCTTCTCCAGCCCAGAACCAGGCGTCATCAGAGGCTCAACCCCGACAGTGACTACTTTGCCACTTCAGGCACAACAAACTCGCGTGTTTCTGCCTCAGTGTGAACGCCTGGCACAGTAGCATAGCTCATCCATTAGCAATATTTTGTCACGTCTTCTAAATCTCTGAGAATCTTCGTGTCCTCTTATGTCTCCTTCTCGCCTTCTGTAGCAATTGGCAGTCCGTAGTTTTGTGTCTCCTCAGCTGAGTGCAGGTTATAAAACTCCCAACTCCCTTCTAGGCCTTGAAAACTGGCAGCTGGATCCAGAGGCCTGGTCAGACCTTGGCTGAACCCTTTTGGCAAAACCGTGGGCTATTCTGTGTTCCCTGGGCTTATACAGTACTGTGCTCTGTTTTTGGGGGTTGTAGGTCTGGATGCTCAAAGCACAAGCCCAGGATATCTATTGAGAGCGGCAAAATGATCATTGCCTGCCTTCACTTCTTCCATTTACTAATTGAAATATGTTATTATTTATTTATATTTTATTATTATTATTATTTTTGAGACAGGATTTCTCTGCATAGCTCTGGCTGTCCTGGAACTCACTCTGTAGACCAGGCTGGCCTCTAACTCACAGAGATCCACCTGCCTCCCAAGTGCTGGGGTTAAAGGTGTGTGCTACCACCACCTAGCTTGAAATATTTTATAAAGAGATGCTCCTACTATCATTTTCTTGCCTAGGGGCAGGAGAGTCAGTCCGGATATTGGGTACTTTACAGTTTGGGACACTGTCCTTGTTGTTGCTGTCTGAAGGTGACAGATGTTGGTGCTGACTATTAACTTGAAAGGCTCCAGGGTCAGCAGGGAGGGACCTCTGGGCATGACTGTGGGGAATCATCTGGATTACCTCTGGAGGGGAGACTCATCTTGATTGTGGTGGGGGTCACTTACTAGGTAATGGACCGCAGGCCACATAAGAGGAGGACGAGGCGTTGGCAGCACACATGCTTCTGTTGCTGCTCTGACTGGACGAAAGGGGATCATTGCTTCAGACTCCTGATGCTTGGGCTACCCTGCTGTGGTGGACTGTCACTCAAAACTCTGAGCTGAAATAAACTCGCTCTCCCTTTGTCAGAAGATTTTTATCAAAGCAACAGGATGGGAAACTGAGACAGTGACCAGTGGGCATTTTCTTCTTCAAATGTCACAAATCCAGGAATTTGGAAAAGTTTGAGGAGTTTCAACAAATTGCAATAACAATAAAAAAAATACATAACAACAACAACAACAATAATAATAAATAATTATTGTTGTTATCATTGTTGATACTGGAGACTTACATATACACGGCAAGTGTTTTACCCCAGCCTTTTATTTTTGATTGTTAAATGGTATTCTTTAGAGCAGAAGTGACCGTAACTCCTGAGTCCTTTGGACATTTCTTGGTAGTCTGGTCCCCCTTTATCATGTGAACAAGAAGATATTCTAAGCATGTTTAAGAAAACTAACGGCGTTATTGAAGCATTTTTCATAAACCACAATATTTCACCCCTTACCATGTACAATGATGCTTTGGCACATGCGCAGAGCTATGTAGCCGTCACTAGTCAAGTTTAGAGCATGCGTCCATTCCTAATTTATATCCATCTCCCCCAGAATCTCTCGGAAGCGCCCCTCCCCCCACAAACAGCTACTCTCCCTAAAGTGAGCAGGAGAGAGAGGAAGTGGAGCAGAGCCTACCTGACTGGGGGCGAGGCAGGGAGGGGGTTGGAGAGGGACTATGGAGAGGAGGATTGGGGCAGGGCCTCAGGAGGGACTGGGGAGGGGCCCACCAGCGTGCAGGGCCTCAGCACCTGGTCAGCATGCGGGTCAGAGCCTAAGAGCGATGGATGACCCACAGGCTACTTGAAAGGACAAGATCCAGAAATGAAGCTTTCATGTACCTGGTTGACAACCATCTCCGCCTTCACTCTTCTTTCGAAGAGTCTCTTCAAGTGCTCGTCAAAGTTCTGGGTGCTTTCTTGGATAGAGTTTTGAAGTTTCTTCAGTTCAGTTTCTAAAGACTAAACGTGAGACAACAGAATAATTAAATGTTTGTCACAACTGGTGTTTGCATTTTACCTCCTGGAAGAAGCAGAGGGAAGGCAGAGAAGTACTACCTGAACCTCAAATGCTGCGTGCTTGGAACTTTTACTTTCGTTTTTCATTTTATTTCCTTTTCTGCGTGTATTTGTGTGTGTTGTATATGCATGTGTGCATACCTGTGTGTGTGTGTGTGTGTGTGTGTGTGTGTGTGTGTGTATGCATGTGCCTGTATACACAGATGTGAAGGCCCGATGATGACGTTGGGTGTCCCGAGTTATCAAACTGTTTTATTCCTTTGAGACCACTAACCCTGAAGTTCACCCTTTGTGGTGGGCTGGCTGGCCAATGAGCTTTCAGGATATGCCTGTGTCCATGTCCGCCCTCCACCCCTCTCACTTCCCCAACCTGGTGCCACAGCCCTGGGGTCACAGATATACACAGCCAGGTCTAGTTTTCTTAAAGTGAGAACTAAGAATTTGAATTCAGGGTCTCATATTTGTGTAATAAGCTCTTTAACCAGGATACGGAGCTGTCTGCCCAGCCTGATGTTTGAAAATTACATTGGAGGAAAGTAATGCTAAAGATCACTAATCAGGTAGGCCTAGTAAATCGAACCGCAGCAAATCTTTCCAGAAAACAGTTTACACATACAACATTTCGCCCTAAATTTTTTTCTTCCTCTCCTGGTTTTGAATACCTTGATTTTTTAATATTATACATTTTGTTTTGATATTTAAGTAAAAATATTTACGCGTGTGTGTTTGTGTATGTGTGTGTGTGTGTGTGTGTGTGTGTGTGTGTGTGTGTGTGAGAGAGAGAGAGAGAGAGAGAGAGAGAGAGAGAGAGAGAGAGAGAGAAAATGTATATTTGAGTGGGCAGGTGCACATGGAGGCCAGAAGAGGGTGTTGGATCCCTTGGAGCTTGTGCTCCAAGCATCGTGCATAGCCTGATGTGGGTGCTGGGATCCAAAGTCCCATCCTTATGACTGAGCACTAAACACTCTTAATCTCTGAGCCATCTCCCCAGCCTTCTGGACTTGATTCTATATTACTGAAAAATTAGTTCATGGTCCAGTGTTAGGGAAGAAGATGGGGTGTGTGAACTGAAACAAGATCAGCTCTAAGTAGATCTATGTGTCCGTGTGAGAGAACCAAGTGGGGCAAAACATGGAAAACGTTTGAAAAATCCAACTGAGATTGAAGTTAACCTCCGGGGGTGAATCTGTATTTTGTGTTTGTGTTTTGTTTCTTTATTTGCTGCATGAGAGCAGGTGCAGAGGAGGCAAGGGTACCTTGCTTGTTAGTTTTCTGTCAGCTTGGTACAAGCTAGAGACATCTGGGAAGAGGAAACGAATTGAGGGGTTGTCACCATCACACAGCCTGTAGACAAGTGGGGGGGGCGTTTTCTTGATTAGTGACTGATGTGGGAGGGTCCAGCTGACTCCCTGGACCCACCCTGGACAAGTGGTCCTGGGTTGGACAGGAAACAGTCAGGGAGAGTCATGGAGAACAAGCCAGCAAGTCGTGTTCTTCCTCAGCTTCAGCTTCTGCTTCCAGGCTCCTGTCTTGAGCCCTGACCTCCCTTCATGATGGGCTACAAGCTGTAAGATGAAATAAACCCTTTCTTCCGATTCAAGTTGCTTTTGGTCACTTTTGGTCATGATGTTTTATCGTGGCAATAGAAAGCAAACCAGGACAAACAATTGCATTGAATCGAGGCTGGGGCTTCACCAGAGAGCTATCATGGCCGCTCAGGGAAGTGAGGGCGAAGGCAGTAAACTACATTAAAACATGGAGAGAACACAGTTTAAGGGTCACTGCTTGTCCTCGTGTTTTCTGTTGCTGTGATAAACACTGCGACCAAAGCAGCTTGGGGAAGAACATCAGCTTACATGTCCTGGTCACAGTCATCAGGGAGGCAAGTCATGGCAGGAACTGAAACTGGGGCTAGGCAGGGGCCATGGAGGAAGCCTTCTACTACCCGGGATCACCTGCCCAAGGGTGGAACTGACCTCAGTGGGGCTAAGCCCTCCCACATCAATCAAGAAAATGTCCTATATACACGCCCACTGGCCAATCAAGTGGAGACATTTCCTTAATTCAGGAAATCTTTTCCCACTTGAGTTTGTGACAAATTGACAGAGCTACTCACAACTCCACCTTTCACTCTTTAGGCAACTCCATCCCTACCTCTCTGAACCATGACTTCTTCCACGATTAGCTCTTTGGGTTCTTTTGGCTTTTAAACTTAGTTAAAAATACAAGGGAGAACTACAGTGAATAAAAATAATAGCCAAGCAAGAGATTCAAAGTTGCTGCAAAAGACAATGCCATGATAAAGCTGGTAAGTTGTACTATCCTGTCTTGAGTGACGGTGTGGTTTTACGGCCTTCATAAAAGAATAATATTTGCCCTGTTATATAACACCAACATTTTGGGGGGTTCTTACTATGTAGCCCAGGTTTCTTAGACTCTCCTTGATGAGCCTGCCCTACCTTCCAAGTGCTGGGATTGTAGGAATGGACTATCATGCCCGATTACCAACAACTTTTATGTCTCTTCTACGGTGTGAGACATTTTCATGTGGGGATGTTTCTTTGAACTGGGAGACCATACAAATGGAACTACATTGCAAAGCCCTCAAATAAGACCTGAACTATGTGTCATGCTGGTTGTAGTTTTCCCTTCTCAAATCCTTTCGATGAGATTGAGACTGAATCAGCCAGAAGCACTACTGAACTCTAATGGCTGTAGCCCAAACAGAGCGAGCCCTTGTAATGTCTTGTGTGTGCTAGGTGTTCCTTAAGCATATGGGAAGAGAACAGAGGATCAAACGAACAGTAACCTGTGGTAAGTGTTGACATCAACAAGAATTTAAAAATATTATGTATTTCATTTTTTTAAATGTCTCCAGCCCTCAGTTTTTTTCTGTTCCAACCTCTAAGTTCTCATGGGACTTTAAGTCAAATCATTATCCCTAAGTTCTTAAAGGCATTAGGAAAATTTGACCTAGAGAGTCTAGAGATGTTTTTATTAATTTTCTGTTCTTCTAACCTTTCTGTACTTATCTCTCTCTTCATTTAGCTCCTTGACTTTTTTCTCATACTCTTTGAATTGTTTCCTTTCTTCTTCACTCCACAAAGCATCAGATTTTATCATGAAAGCAGGTTGTGGGATCACCTGGAGGCACAAGGAAAGAGCATGTTCTCGCATATATAAGCATCAATGGAGCACTACTGTGAAAACCTCCCAGCGCAGGTGACAGTTAAAAAGGGAAACATTAAGGGGGATAACCTGAGGCTTAGACGGAAGGATGTGGGAAAGCCTTACAACCGGGTTCCTATGATTCTGAGAGGATGGTGGTCATTTTAGGGTTGCCCAGACTCTTAAGTAACAGACTCAGATGGTGCTGGTATCTTTGTAGCTTGACCTGCAGGAAGACCTGGAATGACACGTCCCTGGTATGTTTGAACAACTAACTGTAGGTGATCACTAAACACTAAGCTTACTTGTTTCTTCTTCTTCTTCTTCTTCTTCTTCTTCTTCTTCTTCTTCTTCTTCTTCTTCCTCCTCCTCCTCCTCCTCCTCCTCCTCCTCCTTCTTCTTCTTCTTCTTCTTCTACTTCTTCTTTCTCCTCCTCCTTCTCCCTCCTCCTCCTTTTTTCTCCTCCTTCTTTTCTTCCTCCCTTCTTCTTCTTCTTCTTCTTCTTCTCCTTCTCCTTCTCCTCCTCCTCCTCCTTCCTCCTCCTTCCTCCTCCTCTTCCTCCTCCTTCCTCCTCCTCCTCTTCTTCTTCTTCCTCCTCCTCCTCCTTCTCCCCTTCCTTCTTCCTCCTCCTCCTTATCTTCCTCCTCCTTTTTCCTTCTTCCTTTCTCCTCCTCCTACTCCTTCTTTTCCTTTTCTTCCTCCTCCTTCTGGTGGTGGTGAGTGTATGTGAGAAAGGAAGGCAAATTTGTTGTTGGCATCTTTCTAGGTAACTGAATACTGAGGGTGGTAGAATTTCTAAAACTGAGTTTTACAGGAAACAAAATGATGAACTTTAAGTAGCTCTTTCTATCTCATTTCATCTTCCCCAAAGATGGCCAAGTAGCTCACCATTCTCAAGATGTCTTCCTTCTTGACTTCCAGAACACCTCCCATCATGTCCATCAGGCCTCTCTGTCTTGCTTCGGAGGCCTGGGAGAGAACCAGGATCAGAGAAGGTAATTAAAATAGAATAGACAGTTAACGACAGTCAACAGAGTTAACGTGTCAGGCAGCTGCCCGCCTGCCATTACAACGATTACATTTGGGACTTGAGAAATGCCAGAAACATGAGGAGAGAACAGAAGGACAGCAGGCGAGATCCAAATGACCTCTGGACTGTGACAATGCATGGGTGTTTCTAAGATGGAGAGGAGGGTTGGGGCACCACTGAGCAAAGCCACATACCAGCGCCTGCTGCTGTTGCTCCATTTCAAAGGGTGTGGTCATTTCTGTTTTCGATTTTTGCCATGGAGCAAGGAATTTTTGAAATGAAATCTGAAAGAGAAAGTATAGACTTTTTGTTTGTTTGTTTTTTGCTAGTTTCTATAAAAATATCAAGTCATATTTTCCTTCCACATTCTGGGAAAAGTTAAAAGATATTAAAGGAGGGGGTTTGAAAGAGCATTGCAGATTTTCAACCAGTTTTCTGCTGTAGGATGAAGGTCTAAAATGAGAGCAAGGAAAAATGGGTCCTCGCTCATCTCTTACCTCTCGGGTGCTGACTCCTCTGAGGAAGAATTTTGCTTAGATAAAGGCAGAATGGTGGGAATTAGAAGAATCACATAACTCATACCCAAAAAGATAGAGTTCCTAAAGTTAAGAGCCTGGGGCGGTAAAGGAGCCCTGAGCCAGAATGTGCAGTCAGAATAGGAAACTCACTAGACAAGGAGGAGGTGAGAGAAAAGCTCTGTTGGCTTTACTCGCATTACTGGTGTGGGCAGCCTGTGTGTGGCCCAGGCAGAGCAAGGGCATCGCACATCTGGCAGAACAACTGTTCTCCCGAGTGTAGAATGGCTTAGAGCTAACACCAAGCAGAGCTGGGGATTCACTAACATTGCAAAAGTGATTGTCAGGACAGGGGCCTTAGAGGGTGGCAGGGTGAGGTCTCAGGATGTACAGCAATAGGCAAGGAAAACGACCACACAGGTGGAGGGGAAGAGACTGTCCTCTGAAGCATGGCCACGGACAGTGTTCAGATCTCAGCTCTTACTCATCACCTGGGAGACTATGCTCAAGCTACTTCTCTGTGCCTCGCTTTCCCCATCTGTGAAATGGGATCAAGCTTGTCTAATCACACATGCATCCCAGTCTTGCTGGGGCCCTTAGAATGGTACCCAATGTCTAACATAGATCACAAAGAGTGTCACTTCTACCCATGATTATCTTTCATTCCCCAAATAATTTCAGTTTATTTCATATGAGCCAGAGATTTCCTTTGTGTATTTCCTCTGTATTTTTAATTCTAAAAAGATGGATATGTAGTCCTTTCTAAGCACTTTGGCTTTTTATTTTCAACTGCTTCTGTGGACATTGGAGACCATCCATCCATCATCCATCCATCATCCATCCATCCACCCATCCATCCATCCATCATCCATCCATCCATCCATCATCCATCCATCCACCCATCCACCCATCCATCCATCCATCCATCCATCCATCCATCATCCATCTGTAGTAATATGAGTGGCGGGGCTGCGTCCCCAGCACCCCGGCTGCCCACATGGCTAGCTTATGCTCCGAAATAATTACATGGAAATGGTATTCTTTTAAACACTGCTTGGCCCTTTAGCTCTAGCCCTTACTGGCTAATTCTGATATCCCGATCAACCCATCTCTAATAATCTGTGAGCACCGGTCTTAGTGAGCACCGGTCTTACAGGGAAGATTCTAGCCTACGTCCATCCTGGGTCGGAGCTTCATCGCGTGTGTCTGCCCAGGCGCAGGGAGCATGGCGTCTCTGTCTGAGGCGTCTTACCTCACTTCCTCTTCCTCCCAGCATTCTGTTCTGTTTACTCCACCCACCTATGTTCTAAGCTATGAGCAGCCCAAGCAGTTTGTTTATTACTTAACCAATGAAATCAACAGATTGATATATGACACTCCCACATCATCCATCCACCCATCCATCCATCCATCCATCCATCTACCCATCATCCATCCATCCATCCACCCATCATCCATCCATCCATCCATCCATCATCCATCATCCATCCATCCATCCATCCATCCCGTCTCCCTGAGGCCTATATTGCTCCAAATGACCTTGAAAATTACCCACACTCCATCCGCTTCAATGGCCTGTTGGGGTTCTACTTCTAGTACCTGTACCCAAGGAGCTCCTTTTCAGGCATACCTGGCATTGGAACTAGAGTCTCACTGAGATGAACTGTCCTCTCTAGTAGAAGAGACGTAAAGTGGAATTGCCATAGGAGGTTAAACTGCACAGAGACATGAGCTGAAGCTGAAGACAGTCTTCTGGACACCCCACAACGTCCCAGCCTTGGACTCCTGATCTCTCTAGGTTTGATGTTTAGATCGTCCCTGGATCCATGGGATTCCTCTTATTGCTGTCCTCTGTAACTAAGTGCTGTCTAGCACAGCTGCTTCTAAAACTAGTGCAGACAAGAGGATGGACAAACCAGAGCTAGGAAGATCTCCTAAGACACGGGAAGGGATAAGATGGCTGGCCTGTACCTCATCATCTTCCACAACAAGGGCTCTTTCTGGCTTCTCACAGTCTTCAAACACTGGTTGCCAGACCTTTTCTTCCAGTTCCAGGTCTGTAATAATTTCTTCAATTCTAACATTCCTTTCTTTCACGCGTGCAATTTCAATCTCTTTTTGTTTATAGGCGGCATCAAATTCGCTGTTGAAAGCCTTTTTTACCTTGTAAATGATATCCTGAAATATCAATAGGTTACTGAAGACGCATCATGTCTTATGTCTTTTCTGGTAACACAATCCAATATACAACTCTAAGATCATTCCAGAAAATATCATTTAGGAAGGTCAAAATTGTCTTCCCAGACTGGTATTTACAGCAAGTCATTTCTAGGTTTAATAATATACAGGGGTAGCTTGCTGGGTTTGGATTAAGGCCGCAGCAATATTTACACCCTAACTGCCTCCTTCCTAAGATGTGAGCTGTAATTCAACATGTAGGTCTGCTGGGAAGTACCAACGGGTGCTTGGAAGCTTATTGGACAGTTCTATTTTTTTTTGCATGTCCTTAAAAATCTACTATAAAAAATTTTAAAGCAATATACAGAACTCAGCACCTCTTCCTTGGAAATCTGATGGAGGAGATGCGGAGAAAAGAAGCAATGATGTTTGGAGAGTCTTGCAGAGAAGGACCACTGTTCCTGTATGCTTCCTTTATAGAGTTAAGTCATTCTCAAATAGAAGGGGGAAGATGAATAAGCCAACTAGGTCAGCCAATAGCTATGGGGATCCAAGTGGATTGCCCCAACTCAACCCAAGTGCTTAAGGTTCAACTCAAAGTGGCAACTCTAATTCAAACTCAGGTTTATGTTAAGTCAAAGTCTGGTCCATCAGTTTCTCCCACTAAAGATGAAATCATGAAAGTAGGCTGGGCATGATTTTAACACCTAGGACTATAGGTATTTGGGGCTCAGATGACCTCCTTAAAGATAGACAGCAACCGAAAGAGGGGTGATTAAGCAGTTCTGTGTATAAATAAACAGATATGCCATGGGTAGGAGGAGGAGAAGAGAATGGGAAGCAAGGGCTGAGCCCCATGGAAAGGGGGACAGAAACTGGAGACACAGCTGAAGAACTTTGGAGAGTGGGAATAGCTAATGGAATTTCAAATGACTTACAACCTTAGCTATTGATTTAAACAGGATATTCACTAGAGACTTCTCGTTCTAGGTGTATTCTGAGACTGTTTCCTTTGGCAGAAGTCAAGGAGTGGGAGCTAGCAGCCAGAGGAACCTCATACTTATTTTAAGGTCATTGTATTTCTCTGTGTTAAGTAGACAGATCACATCCTGATTTTACAAGATCCAGAGTGATGCATGGGTTACTGGGCATGTGGAATTGAAGCGTTTCTTTGAGTCAACTAAAGTTCTAATAAGAACGTCTGTTGTGTCTGCTAAGGAAAACCATTCCCTAGAAACCTTGGCATCGTCAAATCCAGTTTGAATGGGTGGGAGTATCTTTTGCATACAAGCTCTGTCTGTAAGACATGAAAGCTAGTCATCTGTGTATTTCTCAAAGGTTATAGAGGTATTACTTGACTACTGCTATGTTTCTATGTGAGCCCTTGAAAGGAACATTGTGGGGGAAATGTCAGAGTTTTTTTTTTAATAAAAAAAAAGAAAGCCACTCACTTTTAGTAATATAATTTGGTTGATTTTCTCCTCTCTGGAATGAAGTTCCAATTGACTTGTCAACAGAGACGTATCTGCCCCAAAATCAGTACTCAAACTACCAAGCATGTAGTTGGGCAGGCTGGTGTCTTTTACTACATTTTCTTCATCTTCTTCTTCTTCATCCTCCTCGTCATGATGCTTTTTAAGCATAGTGGCCGAAGACTGGACTTCTACAATTTCCTTCCGTAGCTAAGCATAGGGAAGAGATGACATGTAGTTCGTGCAATCAGAATTCCACCAAGGGCAAGTTTTAGGTGATTTAATTATTTCAACAATCAGTGTAAGAGCTTAAATTGTCTTGCCAACAATTTGGCTCAATAGGATGGATGCTGAGATGGCTACAGAAGAGAATAAAGCTTCAGAAACTGACTCACTGTAAATCAAAAGAATAAAAGCCACCCTTGCTAGTCCATAGTATTTACGTTTCTGTGTCAGGATGATACCTGCTTGTAAATATTCTGAGTTTCTCTTGGTACTTAAACCAGAAAAAAAAAAACTTCTCCTCATATTTTATCAAGGAACTTGTTCACATGGGATTAGAGAGTGTAAGTTGATTTAAGTATGCCTTCATTTTATGTTTCAGAAAAAGAGGGGGTACAAAGTTCTGGCCAAAACTAAGTTATGCCACAGGGACACTTTTTACTGCTTTGATGGAGACTGTTGTTTAGAAATTGTAACTGGGATTGCTTTAGGGAAATCATAAATTTCATCAACATAGATTCAGTTTCATCTTTGGTCAATGACCATAAAGCATGGTCCCTAATGTGAGGGAGGACAAAGAAGGGATTGTAGATCCAGACAGCCTCTGAGCAGGATATGAGAAGCGCCCAAGGTACAGCTTTAAAAATCAAATTCTCATATTCAAAGACTAATCAACATATAGGCTATAGACTCCTTTTTTGCTATTTGGATATAGGATTATATATTTATGAGGATACAGCCTATAAATTAACAAGGAATATAAATGTACAATATATATAAACTTAATATTAATTTAATCTCAGCACAACTCCACATGATGGGGACTGTCCTAGCTAGGGCTTCTTTCCTTCCTTCCTTTCTTCCTTTCTTTCTTTCTTTCTTTCTTTCTTTCTTTCTCTTGTTTTGGTTTTTCAAGACAGGGACTCTCTGTAGCTTTGGAGCCTGTCCTGAAATTAGCCCTTGCAGACCAGGCTGGCCTTGAACTCACAAAGATTTGCCTGCCTCTGCTCCCGGAGTGCTGAGATTAAAGGTGTGTGCCACCACCGCCCAGCTCTAGCTAGGGTTTCCATTGCTGTGATAAAACACCATGACAAAAGCAACCTGAGGAGGAAAGGGTTGATTTGGCTCACACTTCCACATTACTGTTCATCACTGAAGGAAGCAAAGACAAGAACTCAAGCAGGGCAGGGACATGCAGGCAGGAGCGGATGCAGAGGCCACAGAGCAATGCTGCTTACTAGCGTGCTCAGCCTGCTTTCTTCTAGAATCTCAGGCCACCAGCCCAGGAATGGCACCACCCTCTGTGGGCTGTTCTTTCCCACATCAATTGCTAATTAAGACAATGTTCTACAGCGGGTTCTTATGGAGGCAATTTCTCAGCTGAGGTTCCTTCAATTCTGAAGACCCTAGCCAGCGCGGGGACCCTAAATAAATTACATCATGTATGTAAACACCCCCCCATGTTTAAAGTGGTACCTTAAGACACTCTGCCTCGGTCTTCTTTTCCTGCAGAACTCTGTTCAACTGCTGCAGCTCTTCTTCTGTACGCGCTTTCATGGGGAAGTTCTCAACCACATAGGGGATATGGAAGCACTCGGGTGGAAACCAAGATGGATCAAGTTCATTTCTACTATACTTGTGGGCATCAGGGGAGCATAGGGGATGTTTCCTTTCATTAAAATCAATCCAGAGGTTATTACACAGTGAGAGGAGCTGACCCCGGGACCTTTAGAATGAAGCGGTGTAGCGCTGTTCTTATGGGCATGACTTTTGCATAAAACAGCAAGCTTTTGTGAAGGGATTCGTTCTACAGCAATGATTCTCAAGACCAACTTTCCCCACATCCTCCTCTCCTGGATACACTGGGAGTGTCTCAAGACCTTTTCTATTGCTACTTTAGTAGTCTGAAGGTGTCCTTGTTAGTAGATAGAGGCCAAGGAGGGTGGAAAACATCTGTCAGGACATAGGGCAGCTCTGGCAAAAGAATTGTCTGCCCCCACCGATGCCGCTCACGCTACCCAATTCCATACGTGTGCGGTGGCTTTATCACCCACGTGGGGATAGGAAGGGAAAGGCATATTTGAAAGAGGGAAAAGGTGCTGTAGTACCTATTTAAGGACACGCGCATAGAGCGAGATGCTTGATTACCCAATGTGATTAAGAGAATAGCCATTTAGAACATGCCACGGTAAGCAGAGGCATGAATGCAGTGTCTTGTCTGCCTTTTAATCTGTGTAGAGCATGGTTAGATAGCCTTTTGGGGTGGCAGGCACTAAGAGAAGGGTGCGGGGCAACACGGGACAGAGGAAAAGGTACTAAGGGCAACCTGGAAGTGCACCGTCTTCGAAGCGCATGAGACTGAGCAGAGGGGAGAATGAATCAAAGGAAGGTGTGAGAACTGGTGGAATCCGTCACGGGCGGTGCCAAGGGATGTTTTAATGAGAGTTCTCATCAGCTGGGATTCTGTGCTCGGGGTCACGTGTGCATTACCTTCAGAGCTCGGCCCTTCACAGCCATGGAATTCCAGCACTCCTCCCGGATGAGCTCAGTTAAATAGCTCTTGGCCAAGTTATGCATCTCCACATCTTTTCTTATCTTAAAGTAAGGGAAAGATCAAAGTGAAAATATGGCTGCGTAGGAAAAAATATGTTATCACCAGCTCGCTAGCTAGTCAGAGATGCCCAGTTAGTGGGAGTGTTTTTACAGAATTTCCCACAGCTGCCCTACACTGCGGTGAACTTCTGGGCCACGCAGTCCTATTCCCAAGGCTTGGGTCAAGGCTTAGATTCCCTGCCTCGAAGACTGTTGGGTCAATATGAAGGCCTGTAAGGGAGGCCAGGTGACAACCATGAACAAAAGGGGCTGTGTAGACAGACACGCACTAGGGGTAATGAAAGCGGAATGACTGACCCAGACAGACCTGTGGAAGTCAAGTGCCATGTCTTCCTGGGTTCTCTCTGTACAGACACATGCACATGTGTATGTAGTACACGCTAGAGGACGACGTCAAGTGTCCTCCCTCAGAACATCATGTTTGAGACAGGATCGCTCACTGTCCCAGGGCTCTCCATGTAGGCTAGGTAGCTGGTTTGTTGAGTTTCAGGAACTTCCTCATCTCAGCCTCCCCAGTTCCAGGACTACAGAGAGAGGGAGCTACACCCAACTTTGTTTTGTTTTTAAGTCTTTCCAGTCCCCTCTCCCTGTTTTATCAAAAGACTGAAACCTGTATTTTCATATAATGCAACAGGATATTCAATGCTAGCTTCATTCCTGTCTGCACATATGAAGGACCAGTTCGTGGCCTGTGTCTGAAAATTTTTACTTAATTCCTCTTTTATTTATGTTTACAATAAAATAATATCCACTTATCTAGGGAACTGGATTATTTACTTTTTAAAAATTTATAAGCATACATGTAGCTTCAATTGGCTTTATTTGCTGATATCCCATAATAGATAAGCAATTAAGTGTCCCTGTTTAAGAGTCTGCCCAAAAACACAGTGTGAAAGTGAACCACAGCAGTTCTTGTTCCTCAGATTCTTGTCTACCAACTTCCTTGTGTTTCACTCTGATGGCAGGATTATTTACAAACTGGTTAAAAATAATCTCTCATGTAGTGACATTTTATTTGTATTTCATTAAATGAAGCTTGCCTGAAGATCAGAGTGCAGAGCTAAGCCACTAGAGGCCAGGCAATGGTAGCACACACCTTTAATCCCAGGACTCAGGAGACAGAGGCAGGCAGATCTCTGTGAGTTCAAGGCCACTCTGGGCTACACAAGGTTGACCCAGAAACAGATCCAGGTGTTGCTGGCTCACACCTTTAACCCCAGTGTTTGGGAATCACACATCTTTAAACGGAGCACTATGGAAGTGGAGATAGGAGTGTTATGGCTGGGCAGAGAGAGGAATATAAAGGCTAAGAGATAGGAACTCACTGGAGTGTGGAGTCTGAGGTTTGGTGGAGACACAGTGCAGTCTAGGCAGCCTGAGGATCGCCCCTTTGGTCTGAGCATTGGTAAAGGTAAAAAGGTCTCTCTAGTGGCGTACAGCTTTGCTTTTCTGACCTTCAGCTTTAGCCCCTGTATCTGACCCTGGGTTTTTATCATTCACGCTACACTGACTGGAGCACTAGGGTCATTGAGACCCCTGACTTGGGGGTTCCTCTTCTTCTCTCAAGGACTCATATTTTACACTCAGATGTGCTAACAGTTAGGTGGGTTTATGGTGCCAGGTGTTAGTGATTCTCTTCAGGAGTTAAATCTGGGGTTGGTATTTCTTCCAAAGACCAGAGTGTTGGGAGAGTTACATGGGAAGAGCCTTTCTCGGCATCACTCTGTTTTACGTCTCTCACGTCCCCCTTGGGGACTTCAGGGAGGCCCTTTCATACCTTTGCCACCTCCTCCTCGCTCTCATCGTGAAGCCTCTCCAGCTCCTCAAGGTCCAGGCAGAATTCCTGTTCCTCTAACTTTGCAATTGGTTCCACTTTTTTATTTTCTTCCATCATGTCCGTAATCTGAAGTTTGAAATACGAAGGCGTGTTGGTGGGTAAAGAGTGGAACACTAGAGCAGGTGGTGTGCTCTCTGGACATACTGTGAGATAAGGAATTCCATTCTAGGCTTATTGTGGTTATCAAAGTTTTAGGAATCTATATAGAAATCCATTCATCTAATGACAAACAGCAGCTTGTCTCTGCGCTGGAGTGGATTCCCTGAGGAGACAGATCTCTGGGCAGGAAGGCCAGGAAGCTCGTTGCTTCTGGAGAGGGTTATAGAGAGTTATGTTGGTTAGGCTAATTAAGGTAGGAAGATTCTTGGAGAAAGTGAGTGGCTGTGTTCTCAGGAATGCATATGTAAATATGTCAAGAAACGGTAGAAGGAGGCCGTTTGGAAAGATGGAGGCACACAACAGAAAAGGTAGGGAAAGCACAAGAGCCATGGTGAAGGGCAGTAGGGCAGAGGCCGCTTTTAAAGGAAAAAAGTCAGTGTCTAACTTTGAAGAAAATAGGTATTAAAATACCACGTAAAATGGGGCATTTGGGGGAAGCAGAGGGAGAACACACTGTTTGTTTAACACTGAAGTGTGATATAGCTAAGTTTTGACCCTGTTAGAATACCCTGGAAACCTCCTCATATGGTGTGAAACAAAATAAGATGAAAATGTAATTTTTGATGGAAGGCTGGTGCATTTCAGTGCATGCAGCCATGCACTTACAGTTCGAGAAAGCTCCTTGATTCCTCTTTTGATCTCTTTTCTTTTCTGTGAAAACAGTCTGACCTCGTTTTTGATGGCCTGAAATGGAGCAAGCACCTCACTTAGTAAGGCGGGAGAAGATGACGGGAGAATGAGGAGTTACTCTGATAGATACATAGGCAGCATTTCTTTAAAAGGGAAATAGAACATTGGCAAAGACTATAAAATATACAGGGGTGGGGCATGGCTCACCCAGAAAAGATTTGCCACACGATTGAGAGCACCAAAGTTTGGATCCCCAGAAACGCACATAAATGCCAGGTGTGTACGGCAGCCCGCCTGTAATTCCAGGCTCAGAAGGTGAGTCCCTAGAGCAAGCTGGACAGCAACACTAAGCATATTGGTAAGCTCTGAGTTTGATTAAGTCCCTGCTTCAGTGAGTAAGGTGGAAGAGTGGTAGAGACTATCCCCGACATCCACCTTGAGCCGCCACATGGACAAACATATGCACATGAGCCAGCACACATACATGCACACACGCACACGAGCCAACACTTGAATATGCATTCAAGAAAGAAAAAAGCAAACTATGAAATCATATCCCTGTGATACTTGCTTAAATCTAGTTGTTTGAAAATGACCACCGAGACACATCAAACTGATGTCAATCATACGAATTGGAAATAAGTAGTGATAAGCAAATAGTGAACAACCGACAAAGGAGCACTAGCCTAATGTGCCCCTTGGCCTGAACCTGAGTGAGACTGGGTCCAGACTTTACCTTCAGCCTGGTGCTCACTTTATAATGTCCTCAGCCAGAGTAGCCTTTCTGTTTCCAGCCCACCCTTTTAAGACAACATTCCTCAGAACACAAACATGGAATCTCACGGGTCCTCCTTGGTTTTGGCTTTCCTGGATACTTTTGTTGGGTTTCTGGTTAAGTATATACATATATTTTTATTTGGTTTTTCGAGACAGGGTTTCTCTGTGTAGCCCTGGCCATCCTGGAACTCGTTCTGGCTTAGGTGTGTATTTGCTTTTAGGAAAGTCATTTGTACAATGCAATGTACTGCAAGCTGTGTCTCATATAACATTCTAACTCTCCCCCTAGGTTTCCATAGAAACAGAATGCAGTGGGCACATCACAGAGTATTACTTCAAACCTGTTTCATGTTTTATAAATATCTTCTCGTGGGCTGAGTATGGTAGTGCATACCTTTAGTCCCAGCACTCAGAAGGCAGAGGAAGGTGGATCTCTTGAGTTTGAGGCTATCCTGGTCTATGGAGCAAGTTCCAGAACAATCAGATTGATACAGAGAAACCATGTCTCAAACAAACAAACAAACAAATACCTCTTTACTTTTTTGTTGGATCCAAGAAATTTCCTTGTCAGAATGGATAGCTAATTCCTCTTGTGATGAGTCCAAGCTCAGCTTTTTCTAAGAGAAATTGGAAGGAGACAGAAAGGTCTCACAAAGTGTCAAGCTCTTTTCTCACCCCACTTCACTGAACCCCATTTGCACTTGTCCCACTTAAAAAGAACCACAGACACATGCCTGCCTAGATGCTTTAATCCTCACACCTCTGTCCCAAGAAAATAAAGATGTTTTAAAGACTGATTGTTGTGGAAATTACTTTGACTATGTAAAGATATGTTTCATTTGTTCATGCTGCATTTGTTTAATGATGTAAGGATTGCATTTGTTTCACCTTGTCTGCCTAAGGCATCTGATTGGTCTAATAAATAGCTAAATGACCAATAGATAGGCAGGAGAAAGGATAGGTGGGGCTAGTGGGCAGAGAGAATAAATAGAAGGAGGAATCTAAGATGGAGAAGAAGAGAGAAGAGAATGGGAAGAATGAGGGGGATGTGCCTTGCTGTGGGATAATGCTCTTGTACCCTGTAAAGATTTGTCACTTGTATTGGTTTAATAAAACGCTGATAGGCCAGTAGCCAAGCAGGAAGTAATAGGCAGGGCAACCAGACTAGGAGAATTCTGGGAAAAGGAAAGGCTCTGTCTGTAGTCACCAGCCAGATGCAGAGGAAGCAAGACGAGAATGCTTCACTGAATAAGGTATCAAGCCACGTGGCTAAACATAGATAAGAATGATGGGCTAATTTAAGTTGTAAAAGCTAGTTAATAATAATCCTGAGCTAATAGGTCAACCAGTTTATAATCAATAAAAGCCTCTGTGTGTTTTGTTAGGACTGAATAGCTGCAGGACTGGGAGGCACAGAACTCTGTCAACAGCTACCAACCAGTCAGACAGAGATATCAGGAGAGATATACAGAAGGAAGAGTCCTGAGGCAAAAGGTAGAGAAAGAGAAACAGGTTTATTTACGTTAAAAAAGCTAGCCAGAAATGAGCCTGGGCTAGCCTGAGCATTCATAACTAATAATAAGTCTTTGTGTCATGATTTGAAGGTCTCCACACATCATATACCAAGCAACTTGTCCCCCTGTCCTGAGTTCTCTTGCCCCTCCTCTTTCTTATGGAGAGGCTAGTCCAGCGAACATTGCTTCCCGACCCTTCTTATTCTACTTGTCCACTAATCATCTGCTTGTGTGCTTATGTTTCCATCTCTCTGAGCTCCAGCAGCCCCATGGGAATATCAGAAAAAAAAGTCTTCGCCATCATGGTGGTGTCTGTCCTAGGTCAACACTTTGTAGGCACCCAATCGTTATTTGTTGAACCCCTTTCTGCTCTGTTGTGATAGTTTTTCTTTTGTGGTGGGTTCATATATAAAAATGTAATAGGCAGAGGCAGGCCAATCTCTGAGTTTGAGGCTAGCCTGCTATATAAGCGGGTTCCATGACAGTCAATGCTATACAATGAGACTTTGTCTTAGAAATAAAGACAAAAACAAGAAAAAACCAACCAACCCATAACTGGCAATGAAAGTGTACAAACCCCAAGCAATGCCCATTGCTTCAGGATGCCCAATCAGACTATGTGAAGGTATAGAAAGGTGTGCAGAGTTTGAGAGCAGACAACTATTTCAGGGGCTTCCTTAAGCTAGCTATATGATATTTTTAAGTGAGCTCATCACAATAAAGTGATTTTTACTTAATTTGAAAAAGTATTTGTTGAAAAATAAAATAAATATTTCTAGACATACCCTTCTTAAATTATGAATATGATATGAAGTAGAGAGACTGCTTTGACCAAACACTAATATTGGTTAAAAAATTTTTTTGAGGAAGCCCAGATCTTATAGTTTAAGTGAAATTTGAGATATAATATTTGTGATCCTTTTAAGAAAAGATGAGTTTTCTAACAGATGTAGCTTATATTCTAGTTGAAAAAACACTGGGTAAGAAGAAATAGTATGCCAGGTGGTAGTGGCACACACCTTTAATCCCAGCACTCGGGAGGCAGAGGCAGGCAGATCTCTGCGAGTTCAAGGCCAGCCAGGTTTACAGAGCGAGTTCCAGGACAGCTAGTCCTGTTCTGTTACACAGAGAAACCTTGTCTTAAACAAACAAACAAGTAAAAAAAAAAAAACCCTGAAAACTTCCATCTTATCTATAAAGAGGGAGAAAGTGAGCTAGCTACACCGGATTCTGTTGGCTCCTCTTCTTGCTTCACATCTTGGGAAACTCCTGATGTGACTAAATATTCATTTTCTTTTTCCACCGTTTTGCTCAGACTGGCTATTAGTTGTTGGCAGTGTTCAATGATCTCATTTGCTAAGTTTGCTCCAAGCCGCCTAATGAGAGAGAGAGAGAGAGAGAGAGAGAGAGAGAGAGAACACAGATTCATACAATCAGTTTAAGATCATCACACTTAGCAGTGTTCTTCCCAGACAACTACAGAGAAACCTGGGGAGTTCTCCACGGTGACCTTCAGTCACTGGACCTCCATTTCTCAGAAGAGGATCCTTTCATGTACCTGACCCTTCTTGGGTGGTCTCCCCTTATGTTGTCCTGTACCTTCACCCAAAATGGCCTTTGGCCACCACACAGAAGAGCCAGTGCTGTAACTGGGCCCCCAGAATGCACCAGGATTCATCATAAACATGATCTCATTATTTGATTTGACCCTCACAGCCGAACCCGACAGGTTATTTCCATGCCACACCCTAAGGCATCTTGAACTTCACACTTCTACCACTGGGAGGGCTTGGAAAAAGGCCTTCCTGGGCTACTTACTCCTCTGGTTAGGTTCTCTTGTTACCTAGGAAAGTGGGCCACCAGTTGAATTGCCTCCATTAAACTGGCCTGCGAGCGTGTCTCTGGGGCATTATCTTGATTGCTGAGGTAACAGGGCCCAGCATACAGTGAGCAGCGCCATCCCTTGGTAGGGCGGTCTGTGCCATATACACAAGCTAGGGGAGGCTAGCCAACAAGCAGTGTTGTTTAAGCTCCCGCCTTGGCTTCCCTCATAGATGGACTACAACTACGCAAGCGGAAATAAATCTTGTCTTCCCCAAGTTTCATCTGGTGTCTTCCCCAAGTTTCATCTGGTCGTAGCATTTATCAGGGCAACAGAAAAGCAAAGTAGAACAGGAGTTGACACTCTGAGGCCGTTAGAGGGGAGGGCACCCGGACAGGGATTTCTAACAGAAGCTGCAGACTGCCGACCTTGAGCGACACTGTTCTAGACAACTCAGAGCAGTGTTTCTCGGCCTTCTTGATGCTGCAAACCTTTCACAGAGTTCATGTTGTGGTGACCCCAACCATAAAATGATTTTCTTGTTGCTTCATAGCTGCAATTTTGCTATTGTTATGAATCATAGTGGAAGTAATTGACATGCAGGGTACCTGGTATGCGACCCCCCCCCCAAGGGGTCATGACCCATGGGTTGCAAACCACTGACTTAGAGGTTTCATTGAAGATGTATGGGTCACAAGGCTCCTAAGTCCTGGACCAAGGTTCCAATCAACTTTGTTTAGTGTGGGAGTTCAGGTGGCCTTCTTTTCTAAATAGAGCACCTACTCTTGCTGTGGCTGGAGACACTGTTTATTCACTGGTTGGAAAGGGCAGGCTATGACTTATTTGATGCAAATTTCTATTTTTTACTCAGGGTTTTCCTGTATGAAATGGATATGATGATGGCCACTTCCAAACAGGTCCTTGAGATAAGCAGCATCCCAAATGTTATGATACAAAATCCCCATGGTATTCACTTTTCCATGATACCAAGGAAAGCCAAGTTTTAAAGGTACGGTTACTGAAGTAAGTGATGTCCCTCAGTGTCTCCCATGAGACAGCCTTTAAAGTCCAAGCTGTCTTTTGGGTGTCACATTGAAACATAGGTTGAATCAATTCCTGGAGATGGCCACAACTCCTCCTAGAGCATCCTTTCAAATACAGCCAACCATCCAAAGGCCACACTCTGGACAGCTCCTGGGGAGAGGGGAGCTCTCACACTTAGGGCCATTGAGGCTACTAAGAGCCTTGGGGTCAAGTTCCTACAACAAGAAGTAGCTCCTATCCCTCAGAACTTGATCTCACCCATCCCAGTTCACACCTATCCTTCTAGATCCTTCTTTCAGAGACGATGGTTCTGGCCATGTTTCTTCCTCATCACCCTTCTCCACCCTGGGGCTCCCACAAGGCTCCTACAGCAAGCACGGGGTGTGTGCCCTCTCCTCCCGGATCTCTGCGTGTAACAGTCTATCTCTTGAGATACTGGTCTTCTGAGTTTAAAACACCACAGTACACCGCATTGCTGCCTGTGCGCCGTACGTACTTCCACTTGAGGTAGACGAGGGTGCCGTCATCTTTCCCGTTCACCAGGATGTGCTGGCCATCCATGGACATTTTTATGTACTGGATCCCGTGCCCCTGGTGAGAATGACTCCGACACCGGGCAAACGTTTCCTTCATGGTTTTAGGGATAGAATGGAGAAACTATAAACGCAATTCTCTAGCATTTTTTCCAGCATCATATATACTTTTGCTAATGGGTAATTTTGTTGCCCTTCTGATGACATTTTAGTCAGTACAGAGGCAGTTCTTGACAGAACACAGTACCTAAAACCCCTAGTTCAAACAACATTGATTTATTTTCCCACTACTTTGTGTAACGTGGAAGGACAGCGATCAGAACCAGTGGCTTAAACCAGGCAATCAGCCACTCCGTCAGCAAACTTGCTTAAAGCTGTGGAGTTAGAGGAGGGACCTTAAGGGAACACAATTAGGATGCCTTCAAGAGTCAGAGGTCCATGGGCAGGCCCGTAGGCGGACTCAGACAAGGGTCTCACTGCCCTCTCCTGCTCTTTCAGAAGGGATGAGGGCAGCAACAACAAGCCAAGCCCCCCCCCCCCCCTGCCAGAGTGGCGTTGCAGACAAGCACATCATTTCCTCCCTTGAGTCCCCAGCGGGCAGGGAGCAGGTTCCCTAACTTCACCACGGAGCGCTGGACGTTCAGAGCCTCTCAGGAAGTCTCCAGGGAAAAGCTTAATAGTAGGAAACTGGACAGGAGCCCTTCTGCAGTGCCTTGCCCATGCTCTGTGTGTGCTGTCTGGGGCTTCCTCCTTTAGAGGGGCAGGCCGACTGGAAAGACTCTTAAAGATCATTAACATGCTCAGTGAGTCAAGAAAAAGGAAAGAAATTGGGTCAATTTTCCTAGGAAGCGGATTCCTCTTCCACGCGTTTTGTTTCTGCCTAAAATCCATGTGCATACTTAATGCTGAGAAATTATTCCTATTTAATCACAGGTATGTATGGGCATGAGCACGGGAGTATGTGTGGGCATGAGCATGGGAGTATGTGTGGGCATGAGCATGGGAGTATGTGTGTGCACAGGAGTATGTGTGGGCATGAGCATGGGAGTATGTGTGTTCACAGGAGTATGTGTGGGCATGTGCACAGGAGTATGTGTGTGCACAGGAGTATGTGTGGGCATGTGCACAGGAGTATGTGTGTGCACAGGAGTATGTGTGGGCATGAGCACGGGAGTATGTGTGTGCACAGGAGTATGTGTGTGCACAGGAGTATGTGTGTGCACAGGAGTATGTGTGTGCACAGGAGTATATGTGGGCACAGGTGTGTGTGTGGGCATGTGCACAGGTATGCAGTTGCTCATGGGGACCAGGGCATAGGATACCCTGAGACAGAGTTATAGGCCCTTGAGAACCATTCAGTTCAGCTGCGGAATCAAACTCAGGTCCTCTGGAAGAGAAAGTAGAACTTTTAAGCAGGGAATCATTTATTTTTGTTTATGTGTACAGGTGTTTTGTCTGCATGTATGTATGTATACCATATGTGTGTCTGGTGTGTCTGGTGCCCACAGAAGTCAGAAGAGGGCGCCAGATCCCTTAGAACTGGTTGTGAGCCACTGAGTGGGTGTTAGAAACTGAGCCCCAGTCCTCTGCGAGAGTAACAAATACCTTTAGCCACTGTTCGGGTTTTTAACACCACCCCCCCATCCCCTGATCATATATATATTTTTTTAATTTACCAGACTGAAAATATCTCGGACACAGAGAAATCCACATTTGGCTATTGTCAGGAGCCATAATCCATGTGAAGACATGGAGATCATTCCAGATCCGTACTGTTTGGTTTGGACTTTTTGGTGTGGCTTGAGTACGCAGACACCAATGTGATTCTGCCAATCAAAGCAAAGAACAACATATGGAAAAGATCAGGCCAGTGGCAACTTTGGTTTTGTAGCTGTGCAGTACATGAGGGATTGGGCTCAAGTCTGAGAATGCTGTCCTTGGGAAGCGCCTATGTTTGTACCGTGTATTAATTACGTCTCTACAAATAGAAGCTGATTCTGCCGGCCAAGGAGCATGTTTGTTTGTTTTGATCCTGGGATCAAACCCAGGCTCCTATGCATAATAAGCAAGTACTCTTAACCACAGAGCTACACCACAGCTCAGCCAGCAATGGCTTCTTTATATGTAATTCTGCCACTGAGGATCCAAGCCTACACTGAGGGTCTTTGTTTTCAGCCATTACTTTTATATACTGTTGAAATAAGAGCGGCTGGGCTGCATCCCCGCACCCGGCCGCCTGCACGGCTAGCTTTACCCGAAATAATTACACGGAGACTGTATTCTTTTAAACACAGCTTGGCCCATTATTTCTAGGCTTTTCTCGGCTAACTCTCACACCTGGACTAGCCCATTTCTTATAATCTGTGTAGCCCACGAGCTGGCTTACCAGGAATGATCTTAACCTGCGTTTGCCTGGAGTGGGAGAATCATGGCAACTCCTTGACTCAGCTTCTTTCTCCCAGCCTTCTGTTCTGTTTACTCCTCCCACCTATGTTTTAACCTATGAGGGCCAAGCAGTTTCTTTATTGCTTAACCAATGAAATCAACAGATTGATATATGACACTCCCACATCAATATACCATCACGCACAAATCAAAATGCAAGTTGTCCATGTCCTCACTCTGCGTCCCATGCATCCCTGTCTCCATCTTCAAAAATGACCTTCCTTTGGTCTCAGATGTCCTTCTCAACTCCATCCCATCACCCCTGTTCCACATCCCCTGATCGCCCTCCTTCCTTAGGGTGAACATATTATTTTTCTGTATCCCAATCTGAATCTTCCTTCAAAGTCCAGCATAAATATTGCTTTGTCGACAGTTTTCTCGAATCTTCTGTTACCACAAGCCACCTCTTCTTTTTCTTAATTTCTGCACCTAATACTGGCTACACCGAGAGACAATAACTGAGAGAAGATAAAAAATAGTTTAGAGAAGCATGGGATAGAGTCTCCTCCCAGCGACCTGAAGACGGGCATCAGTGGGAGGCTGAGTGCCAAAAGCAGCATGCCAGACACTGTGCTGCGAGGAGGTGATCCAGAATGGAGAAGTTTGGAGAGACAAAGGAACACGACAGAGACATAGATGAACGATTTTGTGTGATTTTAGTTAGGGCCTAGGTGGAAAGCTTCACTGCAAAGTTTGCACCGTATGGCCACTGGCATCTGTGACTTCAAGGCACTAAACAAATACTCTGTCACCTGTATGTTTGCCTGACAAGATGCTGTCTGTGGCGTAAGGGTCACTCAGCTGTATTCGTGATGGGTTAACCAGTAACTCCCATGCGGCTAACTGAAGGTGATGCTGGTCGAATCGGTCTGCCGAGGCAGCCAAGAGGGCCTTGTCTAATAAACGTGACCTCAGTCTTGATGGCGGGAGTCTGGCGTACCTTCTCGGGTATCAGATAGCTGCAGATGTATGGCACATGGCTGCAGAAGCCATAGATCTTGTCGCCTTCAAAGCCGAGCACAGCGGAGGACAGAGGGTGCTCCACCTCGTACAGGAACTTGTGGATGAAGCTGTCCTTCAGCCTTCCTCTTTCATCAGAGATGGCGCTAGGAACTAAGACAGGGAGAAGAGGAGAGCGCCTAAGGGCCTGAGATTTCACGCTGGAAATCGTGGGGACAGTTATGAAACGCAAAATGAAAAATTTGAACAGTTGAGTAATAGGAAAAAGGTTACTTGGTGATTTAAGAAAATGTTAAAACAAGTGACCTCAACCAGAGCTACTTGACACTTACAGCCAATAAATGACACATCATAGCCTTTTATTTCAGAAATTATAAATTATAGCCAGTAAATGATACGTCATAGCCTTCATTTCAGAAATTATAAATTATAGTCAGTAAACGATATGTCATAGCCTTCATTTCAGAAACTAGCTTAAAAACTAACATTAAAATAGACACAATACCAGGATTCTTTTTTTCTTGTTTTTCTTTTGTAAAGGTGTTACTGGCCTCAAACATGCAACAACCCCCCTGTCTCAGCCTCCTGAGTTCTGATTCTTCCCTCCCTCCCTTCTCCTTCCTTCCCCCACTTCCTTTTTTACTTGAGACAGGATCTCACTATGTGCTCTGGTTGGTTTCAAGTTTGCATACAGATCAGGCTGCGTTGTAATTCACAGAGATCTGCCTTGTCCTGCCATCAAAGAGCTTGAATTAAAGGCTTGAACCACCATACCCGGCATTAGTTTTTTTTTTTTCCAGATTCTCAATGTTTTCATGAAAGTATTTTGAGTTTTTTTTTCTGATTTTCTATATTTGCAAAATTTCTAGTTAGATAAATTTGTCATCTGAGACAAAAAGAATAACTGTTAATCCAGAGAGCTAGTTTACCTACACTGTAAAGCATCTGAATTTAAATATGAATATTTTAAACTGCAAAACAAGAGCCATTGCAAAATGACAGATCAGCTTGGCTTGGCAGCTCATCTTGTTTCTTTTTACTTACCAAAAAAAAAAAAAAAAAGGAAGGAAGGAAGAAAGAAAGAAAGGAAAAAAAAATCAAATAAACATTCCTGAATCCTGAGGCAAGAAGGAAACTCCCCATCTCACACTGCTTAGACTGCCCCCGCCCCACCCTCGCCCCACCCCCGCCCCCAGTATTCATTTTTTAAGTTATTTAAACGAGGGCAGCCACCTCTTTGCCAGAACATTACTGAGCCAAAAGAAACTAGAAAATCACCACAGCAGCACCTCTGGCCAGAAAGAGGGGCTGGAGGGCTGGGCTGCTTGTTTGTGTCACCTTCTGAGAGCCTGGTAGGCAGGACGAAGTACTCCAGCCTGCTTCTTAGTTCTGGAAGTGGGGATAGCACCAGTACTTCCACCACGTCCGACATGGGGAGGGACACCGTGGATATCTGCAGAATGTCTTTGTTCGTCCCTGGAAGAAATGGGGCTCTGGTTGACTTTTTTTTTTTTTTTAGAATTATTTATCTTATGTATATATGTTCTTGTCTGCATGTACATCAGCCAGAAAGAGGGCATTAGTTCTCATGACAGTTATGAGATGGCTGTGAGCCACCATGTGGGTGCTGGGAATTGAACTTAGGACCTTTGGAAGAGTAGAGAATAGCCTGTTCTCTTAACCACTGAGCCATCTCTCCAGCCCCCATCTCTGGTTGACTTTAAAGGCTCTGACACCATTCTCATTAAGATATAATTCTACTTTTCCCTAATTCTCAGCATGATATTTTGTTAATATTTAATATTTTACACACACACACCCCAAGTTGTATTTTCCTGTGTCAAAACAGGAACACTGTTCTTCACCCATCTCTAGTAGCATATTTTATTAATTGATTTTTACAGTGACATTTAAGCGAGAGCTATGGGACATTTCTAAAGAACCGCTAGGGTGTTTTTCTGATTAGATGTCTGAATGGCATTTTCCAGCCAGGTGGGTTTAGACCTTCTTGTGTCCAACAGTCCGCCATCTTTGCTCCTCTCATCTGCACCGTGTGCCCATGACCTGGCTCTTTCAACAGCTATGCCAGCCAGTTCCAGGGCTCTTACAGTGGGCAGCCTCACACACTGGCACTCTTGGCGTCACTACCTGTGTAGTGGAAATGCACCTGGTGCTGAGTTTGGTGCTCAGGACACCCTGCTCACTGACCGGGCCATGCCTCATTTCCCTCTCACCTGACACTGGACAGTGCGGCCAATTTCCTCCTCTCTGCAAGGCATGCAACAGCGTGTCTTCTGTCTTCCAGAACAAGACTGGGAGCACCTCAGAAGATTCACCTGAATGACCTTATCCTAGATCTCTCTCTCTCTCTCTCTCTCTCTCTCTCTCTCTCTCTCATTTCCATCATCTCCCTTCATCTCCTGGCATCTCTGGGAAGCCAGGGTCAGCCTCGGGTCCCCTCTGTGATTCTGAACTCAAGACAGCAGACACACCACCAACCACTGTTTTTCATTTCCTTGTATCTTTTTTGAAGCCTTCTCTCCTTTCTGCGAGAGGCCCCGCCTTCAGCCGGGGACTTTCCTTGCTCTTGACAGTGTTCACATAATCTTTCAGTCTCTGTAAATTTACCATATCATCTTGCCATGCACCGACTCCCTCCGCTTTCTCATCCATTCCCTCCCTGACCCATCTGTCTGTCTTTCAGGACCCCTGCTGACCGAGCAAAACGCAGGGGACTCCTGAGCCTGCCTAACTCATACTCTCCGAATTTTCACCCCTTCTGTCTTCTTTGAGCTGTTTCTGGAAGGATGGTGCTGGCCCCTCACTGCTTGGAAAATCCTGGGTTTTCCTCTCTGCCTTCACATTCTGCTTGCGGTTTCAGTGAGAGGTGAGGAGGATTTCTGTTGGATTCCCAGCTTTTCCTCTCCTTATAATTTCAAAATGTTTAGACAAATTAATCCAGTACTAATTAATTCAGTAGCTGATATAAGACCATCAGTTGCATACCAGACAACTCTAATATTCCAAATTTCTCTAAATACAATATGGGGATTTAACTTCTACTTGAAGTATCCTTTTTCAGAAAAATATGATGTATGTAATTGCTTTGCTATAATTCAGAATTTTAGCTTTGAATTCTTTGGCAAAAAGTGACCTAAAATTTAGACAAACAGGTGTGCTGTAGGGCATACCAGTGTATCCGAAAATCTTAAATGAGCTCGAGGGTCTGGCATCAATAACAAAGATGTTCCCTTCGACTGTACCGGCCAACAGGAAAACTCCTCGCTGGTCATAGCTAGGAGAGAAGAAATCCAATGTCAAGACCATACTTGCTTCATCAGCTTGGGGTGGGGGGTGAGCTTGCAGGATGCTGGACCACAGAAGCACCAAAGTGGCCACTCTTACAATGCGTGGCTTTTACTTATGTATTCATTTATTCTATGATGCTGGGGTGGGACTGAGGGACTTGTGCATCCAGGGCAGGCCATCTACCAGTAGGCTACATCCCCAGCCCTAGGGTTTGTGGTTTCTGATCTTATAAAAACCTACATTTACATGTTGAGGTAGTCATTTTCCTCTGAGCCAATGCTACCCCAGATTTAACTTACAAATACATAACCAAGAAGACTCAGGAGGGCTGGAGATGTAGCTCAGTGGTAGAGGGCTTGACTAGCACACATGAGGCCTAGGGTTCAAACTTCAGCACAGAAACAAAGCCAAACTAACATCCAGTCAACCAAAACATGCTCAGGAAAGACAGGCAGGTGCTACATGGTAAATTGGTAGAATGCATTGGCGAAGGTTTGCCAGTGATGGCTGTGACATTCCAGTACTTACAATTGCCACATGGATGAAGGGAAGGAACATACTGAAACATTTCTACAACTTTCTCTAAATAAAAAAAGCTGGAACAATATGAATCGGAGAAGGAAAAAAAAAAGGAAAAGTTCTGGGAAAGAGGCAGCCCACACAAGAAGGCATAATTCAGAAGAGCAGGGGACAAAGAGGGAAGTCACTCCAGCTTCTCTGTGCTGGAGCCCACCGAGACCAGCAGGGACAGTTTAGACTTCATGGATAAACTGGTTTCATCTCGGAGATACAAGGTACATTCATCACATGCAAAATAAAATATGCCAAACATTCAAATGGATTAAAGGATAGAAATCACCTAATCATCTCAATGACACAGAAAAGGCTTTGGCAAAGTTCAGTGTCCTCTCATAATAAAGGCCTAACAAGTCCAAGGAACTCAAGGAACGAATCTGCATATAATAAAGACTACATATGACAAACCCATAGTCCAAATTCTAAAATCTGGGGAACATTGAGAACATTTCTACTAACACCTGGAAAGCGAAAAGGATGCCAATCCCCTCCCCCTCTATATAATGCAATTCAAAAGTCTTAGGACAATAAGACAAGAGAATGAAATAAAAGGGTACAACTAGGAAATGAGGAAATCAAAACATCCTCTTTGCAAGTCACATGATGGTATACTTAAACAACCCTGTGGACTCTACCAGAAAGCTCTTTGATTAGGTAACACTTTTAGCTAAGCAACAATACAAAATCCACACAAAAATCCAGTAGCTTTTATGTATACCAATAAAAAATGCTGAAAAACAAATATGGAAAAATATCCCATTCACAATAGATTTAAAAAAAGAAACCCTAAGAATAAACCTAAGCATGGAGGTGACAGACCTCTGCAATGAAAACTTTACACACCCTGAAGAAAGACACTGAGACATTAGAAGATGGAAGACCGTTCGTGTTTATGGACAGGGATCAGGGTTGTGACAACATCTTCAGGTGTGACATAATCCTCGTCAAAACGTCTGTGACTTTCTTTACAGAACTAGAAAAAAAAATCTTAAAATTCATATAAAACCATGAAAGATCCATGAATTCAAATAGTCATTTTCAAATACATTTTTGAGAGAGTATTCCACGTCCTTAGATATCAGGAAACTGCAACGAAGACTTCTTTGAGATTCTACCTCATCCCAGTTGGTATGGCTATCATCAAGAGAACAAAAGCAAGCAAGGATGCAGGGACCCAGCACCCCCGTTTGTTGGGAGTGGAACTCTAAACTTGTGTAGCTGCAATGGAAGTAAGTATGGAGGAGGCTTCTAAAAAAACTAAGAGCCGAAATAATGTACGACCAAGTCTTGTATAGTAGTTTCCCTGGAGAGAGTCACATCTTCCACCTTGAAAGAAAACTTCTGAAAACCCTGGGTGTGGAAAGGGGTATTTGAGTATTTGAAATAACAAGATACTTCAGACTGGCTGTTTCCATGAGGGTGAAACAAGGTCACCTAAGCGAGGGTGAAACTTTCTGGACTACAGCAAAATTTGTTAGGCTCAGGCAGTAAACAACTCAAAACAGCTTCAGGAAGTCTCTGAAACTGACCAGGTTCACTTGGTCCCTCCCTTCCAAAGCACGTGTAAGCAGTAAGTCCTGCTGAGAGACTGGATCAAGCTGAGCAGTCCCAGCAGCGGAAGGAAAGGCCAGGCAAGCTGCCTGGAAGAGGCTCAGACCATCTGAGCCGCCCACAAAGAATACTCTCCATCCTGTTGAGCTTCCTACAAGCTGTGCCCCAGGTTTCCAGCTTTTGCGAGCTTCCCCATCCTAGGGTGAGCTTTGGTGATGTAGTCTTTGAATCATTTCTGCTTCCTATAAGTAACCCTCATCCATAGTCCTGTAAGAAATGCTGCTGGTTGGGTTTTTGCTTGTTTGTGTGGTCAACTTGACACAGGCCAGGGTCATCTGGGAAGAGAGAACTCAACTGAGGAAATGACAATATCAAACCGGTCTGTGGGGGCATTTTCTAGATTAATGATTTGTGCGAGAGGGCCAAATCCACTGTGGGTGGCGTTATCACTGGGCAGATAATTCAAAGCTGTATAAAGTAGCAGACAGAGCAAGCCAGGGAGTAGCATTTCTCCACTATCACTGTTTTACCTCCTGCTTCTATTTTCAGTAAAGAAAAAGTAGAAAAAAAAGAGGAAACAATAATTTTAACAAAACATGAAACCATGACATCTTTAAGAAAATGGGTGGAACTGGAAACTCTTACGTTAAACTAAATAGACCAGACTCAGAAAAACAAATACCACATCCTTCATCTCATAAACAGATTCTAGATTTTAGCGCGCGCGTGTGTGTGTGTGTGTGTGTGTGTGAGAGAGAGAGAGAGAGAGAGAGAGATGAAACTAGAAGAGTCCATAAGAGAGAAGAGGGATCCTAAGGAGGGGAGGAAAAGGAGATAATGAAACATGAAAGCAGAAAATGGATCTTGAGTGGCAGCAAAAGGGGGATGGGAAAACGGGAGCAGAACACAGGTGGTGAATGACAAGCAAGTATAAAAAAGTTAGCACAAATCTCATTGCTCTCCATAATAATGTAAAAACCAGTAGAAATACCTTTGAGAATATTGCTTCAAAGGATTTGGAGTAATTTGAATGTCCATCAGGATTCTACTGTTTGAGAAAATGACGAGGCGTGCATGTATAATGGGGCTCCACGCCACCAGACAGAGGAATGAGGCTGCCCTTTGATGTGGAGGCTGAACATTCCCCAGTGGGGCTGGGGAGACAGCTCAGCTGATAAAGTGCTTGTCCCTCAAGCATGAAGACCAGAGTTCGAGCCTCAGAACCTGCCTGACAGAAAGCTGTAGTGGTCTCTGTATATGATCTCAGGACCAAGCCACCTAGCCTAGCCCAATCAGTGAGTTCCAGGCCCAGTGAGAGAACCCATCCTCCCCACCCCAAACAAGGTGGATGGCATCTGAGGAAATACCTAAGGTTGGCCTCTGGCCAGCATGCTTGCATGCACACCGTCGTGCGCCCTCACACAAGAGCACACACTCCAGTATCTCTCATTATTTGGCGACCATGTAAGTGAACAGAAATACTGGTCTTCATGCTTGCGGATAAAAATGTCTTTGTGAAGAGCGACATCGGAACCCGGTAATAGGCTGCTCCTGGGAGCGAGGTGCGTGTGAGGCACTATCTACTATACGTGCCTTTGTGCTTCCAAACGCTGAACCGAGTGAACGTTCAAAATAAATGAAACGTGTGGAAATGAGAAAGCAAGGCTGCATCGCTGGAGCCCCCATCCAGAGCGCCCGGTGAGAGCGCGGCCACGAAGGAGATGCTTACGTCAAGATCTTCACCGGTGACTCGGAGAGGAAGAGCGTGTGAATCACCCGAAGGGCCTCCACGTTGTGGACGTCCAGGAAGTATAGACAGCCATCCACTGTCCCCACGACAGCCGACCCAGAGGAAGGGGAGCATGCTAGAGTTGTTGCCTGTGTAAGATAAACCCCAGAGAATGAGGCCTGCCCCACGTACAAGGCACGTACCAGGCGGGAATGTGACTCAGGTCTGCAGCGCCAGCTCTTAGCGTGCACCAGACCCTCTGTTTCATCCTCCGCCCTGCCCCACCCCACCTCAAATGCTTAGAATTTTTGAAGAGCTTGAAAGCTTGCAATGGTACTTATTTCTTTTCAGAAAGTCAGCATTCCTGAATCCGACTAACTGCGTAAGCAACCACGGGAATATCTCGGAGGTATTTTATGCTAAAACTAGAATGATGGAACCTAAAGAGAAAGCTAAGCTGTGGGGTCACAGGGAAACACGGGGTCCCTAGTGTCTCAGAAACATGGTGTGCACTTAAAGACTCTAAGTCTCATCTACAGAAGGATGCAGAATTGGACTCAGAAACCCAAGGACATTTGTATTGGGGTTTGAGAAAGAAAAAAAGAGGGCAATCCATCCGGGAATTTGTCGGCTGCTGTGAGGGCAAAGACAAATAAGATAGAGTTGGGGACAGGCTGGTGACAGTGTCCAAATGACTCTTGGAACAAAGCCGTCTTCTAACCAAGCGAGGTATTTTGTTTTTTTGGCATGAGTTTGTGGGTGCAGTGTGTGTGCGTGTGTGAGAGCTCACATACATCTGTACATGTGTGCATGTGTAGACCAAAGATGGTCATTAGCTTTCTTCCTCGATTGCTCTCCACCTTATACACCGAGGCAGGGTCTCTGGCTTGAACCCAGAACTTGCTGACTCAGCTCGTCCAGCCTGCCAGCTTGCTCCACTGGGGTCGGTTTGTGCCTCCCACACACCGGGAGCACAAGTGCCCATCACACCTGCACAGCATTTACATAGGTACTGGAGGTCCTGTTTCTTGTGCCCACACAGCAGGCATCTCAACTACTATGCCTCCATCTCTCCTTCCCCTGGCATGTGCCTTTAGGGGGCGCCTGATGTGGGAAGGTCATATGTCTATCTGTTGCTTTCATTGGTTAATTAATAAGGAAACTGCTTGGCCTGATAGGTCAGAACATAGGTGGGTGGAGTAGACAGAATAGAATGCTGGGAGGAAGAAGGCAGTGAGGTAAGACGCCATGCCTCTCCTCTCTGGTCAGACACGATGGAGCCAGCGGCCAGACACTTATTTATCGGGTACACTTACGGGAGTTCCCAGCCAAAGCTTGCTTGCACAAGTGCAATCCTCTATCCACAAAATAGAAACTTCCCCTGAATTTGTGAGCGTCTGCGGAAGGAAGAAAGGTAACAGAACTGTTAGACTTTGCGATGGAAGCACGTGCTAATCGACTAGTATGTTAACATGGGGAGGGGTCAGTTAAAAGCTTTGCTGTTGGTGCAGTTTATTAATAATTCATAAATTCAACTCAATTCTTATTTTTAGAAGAAACGTTAACTGTTACCTTTTTAAAAATCCCCCTGTTTTCTTCTTTCTCTCACCCTCTCTCCGGCTCCCTGAAACATATATAACCCAGGCTAGGCTTGAACTCCCAGTCCCCCTGTGAAATATCCCTCTTCACTGTGTGAATATACATCACTGTGATTGGTTTAATAAAGAAGCTGACAGGCCTATAGCTAGATAGGATAATGTTAGGTGGGGGAACGGAACTAAGGGAACTCTGGGGAGAAGAGAGGCAGAGTCTTGGGAGTCAGGAAGAGATCATGAGATGCTGAGCGAGCAGGATGGGAAGTAGATAATGAGGTAAACAAGCCTTGGGGCAGCGCATAGATGATAGAAATGGGTTAAGTTATAAGAGCTGGCTGAAAATAAGCCTAAACTATTGGTCGAGCATTTATAATTAATATTAAGTCTCTGTGTAGTTATGTGGGAGTGAGCTGACTGGATGGAAATCTCTGCCTACATCCCTCTGCCTCCCTTCCCACATGCTAGGATTACAGGCACAAACTATCATATGTGGGGTCCTTTTTAAAACAATTATCTTCAGCAGTTGAGGGGCAAAGGGAGGCGGATCTCTGTGAGTTTGAGGCCAGCCTGGTCTACATAGTTCCCCACCAGCCAGGGCTACAAAGTAAAGATATATTCAGTGGGCACTTGCTACCAAGGCTGATGAGATAAACTTGATCCAGGGACCCACATGGTGGATGGAGATGACCAACTCCCACAAACTGTCCTCTGATGCCCTCATGTGAGGGCATGCATGTGCATACACACACACACTCTCACACATGCATGCACACACACAATATGTAATAAATAATAAAAATGTAAGAAATAAAATAAGTTATTTTTAACAATTTTTATTGACTTTTTATGTACCCCAACCCTGCTAATTTCTTAGTCCTTCCATATCCACCCTTATCCTAGCTTACCCCAAAGAAAAATTTTAAAAAGTATTAACTGAAAACATATCAAACCAAACCAACAAAAAACCCACTTCGCTCCTCTATCTTTCCCACCTCTCCAACACGTCTTCGTTCATACAGTGTGGACCCTCTTGTCCATTCAGCTTTACTTGCGAATGTTCACTGCAATGAGTTGTTGGTCTGGCCAAGGCCTCTGTCTTCTGGCACAGCATCGGTATGGACCCTTGCTAAAACTCCTCTCAAAGATCCTGCTGCTGCTCCTAGTCATGGAGATCCTGTGGCTTTGGTCCTACAGAACCTGTCCCTTCATGCACTCACGCAGGTCATAGATGGGGTAGATGTTGGGGTGGGCCAACCCCAAGTCCTGGATGTGGATCTGGGTGGTAGCTGATCTGGCCAGCCTGGGCCGCTGGGACCACTACCCTCAGGCGAGGGGCAGAGTCAGCTCTTCAGTGTCCATGGCACAGGGGCCAGCTCTCCCATGCCCATGGTGAGGGGTGGGGCCCTCTCCAGTGTGGGGCCAGTTCTGCCCTGAGAGGCAGGACCATCTCTTGCAGGGCCAGCGAAGGGAGGTGCCCGTTCAGCATAGCTCTTAGATTTCAACAGGTATAGTTTTTTTTTGGCTTCCTGTAGTAATAGGAGCCACAGATAGCAACACAGACCCTGGCTGCCATAGGGCTATGGACACAGACATGACCCTCAGCTGCAGCCTGGGTCCAGATGTCGCCATGGCCCAGAGGCAAGCAGGCACCCACATCAGCCTGTTCCTCATCACCTTTGTTTCTTCAGCTCTACTTCTCTCCACAGCAATGAGCCCATCTGCTTCTCTTTCCCAGTTCTTCACCATGCGATTGTTCATCATAATCATGTCTCCCTGCCCGGCACCTAGTGGTGCCAGGTGGGCCTGGGGAAGTCTTCAGCCCACACAGGGCTGTGAGAACCCAGGCAGGCCAAAACAAATTATCTTTAATATGATTTAAATAACACAACTATGTAAAGAAAAGTAAAATAAGGAACTAGAAAAATATGGCTTAGTAGTTAAGAGCACTGGCTGCTCTTCCTGAGGACCCAGGCTTGATTCCCAACATCCACATGGCAGTTTACGACCCTCTGTAACTCCAGTCCCAAGGGATCTGATGTCCCCTTTTGCCTTTGCAGGCACCAGGCACATATGTGTGCACAATCATACGTGCAGGTAAAATACTCACACACATAAAAATAAAATAAAATAAAATATTTTCACCATAGTCATACTTCAAATAAAAATCCCCCGGAAGCTCAATGGGATCATTGCCTAATGATAATGATTAAGCCTATCAACAGGAAATTATATATTGTTCTTTTAAAATTCTTTGACTTTTAGAGCACTCTTAGGACTATAGACGTTTTGAGCAGCAAGTACAGCGGATCCCCCGCCCACAGACACACCGAGTTCTCTGTGGTTCACAGCTTTCGTCAGAGTGGAACACGGGCTACAGCAAATATGTCCATACTGATAGTTACTGGGTATTGTCTATAGTTTACATCAGGGCACCTTCCGTCTTTGTGCTGCTCATTCTGAGAGTTTTGACAAGTTTGTAATGGCAGGCATTACAGCACTGTATATACAGAAGACGGTGTCTGTCTTAAAAATAGTCTCCTCCTGTCTATTCCCGGCCTCCCTCCCCACACTCCTGACAACTGCTGATCATTTTTACTGCTTGGCTTTTTCCAGAATATCCTGCTAAAGTCATAGAACATGTACTGTTTCCCACACTGGCTTCTTTCGCTTAGCACTATACATTTATGGCCTCTCCGAGTCTTTTGGCGGCTTGACAGCCTTATTTCTTTTATTGCTGAGCAACAGCATATTGTGTGACTGCTCCACGGTCTCTCCATTCACTGGGGGAACGGCACCTCGGTTATTTTCCGAGTCTGAGCCATGATGAAGAACGCTGCTATAAACACTCGCATGCAGCTTATTTTTGGATGGCATTATGTTTTCAGCCCATTTGGATAAATACGAAGAGGTATAACCACCAGGGCATATGGTGTCTGTCTAGTGTTGAAAGAAACTGACAAACCAGCTTCCAAATTGGCCATACCTACGTGCAGTGAATGAGCGCTTCAGCTGCTCTGCAGCTACCTGTCATTGCCAGCATTTTAGATTTTATACATTCTAATAGTCTTACTGAAACTTCATATGCCATGTTTTGCTTATATCCATGGGAGGCCTGCTCTTTTCTGAAACAGAGAGTAGGGGAATGTGGTAGGGAGAAAGAAGGGTTAGATGAGGGGCTTGGGGCTGGGAGGGGAAACTGCCATCTGATTGAGATGTAAAATAAATAAATAAATAAAAGTGAACAATTTTGCTCATAAATGGCAAAAAATAAGCATGAATAGACTCCACACTAAAGAAGACATATGGACAGAAATAATTATATGAGAAGAAGCTGGGAACATCATCCTTAGGAAATTGTATGTTGGAGCAATGAGCTGTCACTGCCTGTTAGGATGTCTAAAATCTAAAATGACCCGTGGTTTGCTCTTTTTGTGGTGTTTTCTCTGGCTTAGGTGTCAAAGGAAAGCCTTGAAGGATGAGTTAGGAAGGATTTCTTCTGCTTAGAACTTCTAAATGGCATTGTGGAGAAGTGGAGTTGTTCTTTCCCTTATCCATCTGGTTCCAGAACTCCCATTTTTTGGAACGTTATTATTAATCCAATGTCTTTGACATAGGGCTTTAGAATATCTCTTTCTTTGAGTGTGGGTTCTGAAAAACTCTGCCTATCAAAGACTTGGTCTACAGATACTCAGTTCCTGTGGATAGAAATTTAAGCTGTGAAACACAACAACTTTGATCCTCTAGTGCCCCAGGAGACCATTTCTTACCAGGAAATATTTGGTTCCAGGTGTGATGAAGTCCATTGCCTGGACTTTCCCATCACAGGCTTCTAGGACTTTATCTAGTGCTGGCTCTGCACCAAATGTGTAGGTATAAACAGTCCCCTGAAAAAGCCACACCAAGAAAAGAAAACATATAATAAATGTATATGTCATTAATTCAGTGGCCACTGTGAGCAACAAACACACTGTTTGGGACTAGGTGATGGGAAATCATGACCTAAACAAGGTCCCCGAGGAGCTTAAAATATAGAGATCTTACTTATTAATTTAAATGAGCAAATGATTGAATCAATAATACAACAAGAGTCAAACATGTGGGAGATAAGGTCAGGGATGGGATACGAAATCTGTGTTGTGAAGGGTCATTTAAAACATGCTGTTTAGGGTATTTACTCAGAATGAGAAACCACCATGGGCTATGAGTGACTAAGAGAAATGCTCTGTCTGTATCAGCTGCTGTGCCAAAAACACATTGTTCATCCCACCACACATGGAGAACACATTGTCCATTCCATCACACATGGAGAACACATTGTCCATCCCATCACACACAGAGAACACATTGTTCATCCCATCACACACGGAGAACACATTGTTCATCCCATCACACACGGAGGATACATTGTTCATCCCACCACACATGGAGAACATATTGTTCATCTCATCACACATGGAGAACACATTGTTCATCCCATCACACACGGAGGATACATTGTTCATCCCATCACACACGGAGAACACATTGTTCATCCCATCACACACGGAGGACACATTGTTCATCCCATCACACATGGAGAACACATTGTTCATCCCATCACACACGGAGGACACATTGTTCATCCCATCACACATGGAGAACACATTGTTCATCCCATCACACACGGAGGATACATTGTTCATCCCATCACACACGGAGGATACATTGTTCATCCCATCACACATGGAGAACACATTGTTCATCCCATCACACACGGAGGATATATTGTTCATCCCATCACACATGGAAAACACATTGTTGATCCCACCACACATGGAGAACACATTATTGATCCCATCACACATAGAGAACATGTTGCTCATCCCACCACACATGGAGAACACATTGCTCATCCCACCACACATGGAGGATACATTGTTCATTCCATTACACATGGAGAACACATTGTCCATCCCATCACACATGGAGAACACATTGTTCATCCCATCATGCATGTAGAGAAGCCTCTTAAAAACCTTCCTGCTTGTTTTTTCCTAGTAGTTCCATCATGTATTTTATGGGTGGGGGACTCAAGACAGGGTTTCTCTGTGTAGCCCTGGCTGTTCTGGGGTTCATTCTGTAGATTAGGCTGATCTCAAACTCAGAGAGATCCCCCTACCTCTGCCTCTTTAGTGCTGGGACTGAAGGCATGCACCACCACTGACTGCTCGGCCAAACGTGGTTTTTATTCTGGTCTTTGTTCATCGAGTATTTCCCATCTGCACTAGAGTTCTGATGTGAGGAGACTCATTACACAATGCGCCCCATCCTTTATTCCCCTCACACATTGTCAGGGTCGAGAGTAACTGTCTAATGATGTACCTTGTCCGTTTGAATCAGCAACATCTTGTAACTAGGGGAAAACACCAAATTTGCCACTGGCGCATCAACCTCAACAAAATTTTTCACCTGGTACTTGGAATCTTTGACGATGAATGAGTATATCATGCCGTCCTATAGACCAGACACAGGAGACAGACACAAGTCAGTCCTTGCCAAGGCATTTTTGCCATCAGACAAACCAAGGCTCAGGGACGATATTGCCGTTCCCTGTTTGAGAGACCATTTGTGTTTCCATCTAGAATGTATTGTCACCTTCAATTCAGACTACTTTTAACCGTGTCCTTGACTATGCAGATAGCAAGAGACAGAGTTTATATGGCTTGCGTGTTAATTCTCCGCATTTCAAAGAGCATTCGTCCTAAGTGAGTTTTGAGTCATTACTATGTACATTTTTTTAAGTACCTCTGCGACCCAAAGGTGGGAGTGTGTCTTTTATTTACTTTAGGTCTTCTCCTGTCCCCCCATACGGTGCTAGAACATGGCAGGCATTCACCGAGGATGGCTGGTCAGCCAGTTGCTGACTATAAACTTAACGGAATGATTTCAATAGGCATGCGAGCTCCTTCTACAATAGTTAAGAGGCTTGGGGAGAAGGCAGCCAACACTTTCTGGACTGAACCTCATTGTAACTAACGCAGACTGTGGCTTGGGTGGTGGGGAGATGAGCAAGCTGCTTTCCCCAGGCTCATTTTCATTCTTCAGCTCTGGCAGAGAAAGATAGTGGCCTTGAAGAAGATAAGAATCTCAGAGGCTGCAAATGCAGACTAAACACGCACAAAACGGGAGGCAGTTGTCTTTGACAACTTCAGGAAGAAAGGCGTAAATGGAGTTTAAGCATAGAAGACGCTCATGGCGGCTTCTGCTTGGTGGAACCAAATCATTCACCCTACTGTCTTTGCCTCACTGGTCTCAAGGTGACCGTGACAGAGATAAAGACAAAGCTAACAACGTCAACTAGACCTCCTGAGATTCCAAGGTAATGCTGTCACCAACCTTGACATTGATGACCCCGATTACAGCTACATGGACACACATGATCTGCCCACATTTAAAACTTCCTGGGACTGTGTGTCCTAGTAGATAAAAGCATAGGCCTTGGGCTCATGCCCCAGGTTTACTTCCGGGTCACCGCTAAAAGACGTGGTACTTGCACTTGCACAAGGAGCATGTCAAATTCCTACCAGATGAAGTTCTGAGAATTAATAGTACACTTTGTATGGTGCCTGGCACAAACTGTGGCTAACTCCATCTGCTCAGGCAAATGGAGATTAGTATTCTGAATCTCATTAGCATCTCTAACAGGCAAGAGACCTAAGCTCATATCTGACAACCCAATTCATTATTGCAGAATCAGGCACCATCTGGGCTGAAGAGAATTGGGTGTTTCTTTCCCCTGGGTGGGAGGAAGAGCAGCAGATTTTTAAAGCCCTCTTTGATTTATTTGCAGCAGCAGAGATATGATCGTTCATTACCTGTCTTCTCTTTTTGCATGTGATGGAAAGTTTTGCTGGTAATGTTTTTATCATAAAATTCAACAAGGAAACAATTGTAATTGCTAATCTGGAAGAACCCAACGTGCCAAAATATGACTTAGAAACACAAGCGGCAGCAAGGGGAACTCTGCGTTTTCATGACATCGAAGAAGTCTGAGAAATAGAATACATTACAATTCCAGAAGTGAGCACGCCGTCCTTCTGGTACACCAGTGTGAGCGGACTGATAAGTGGGCCTCCATCTTTGGGGAAAAGACAAAAAAGAAATTAGACATCATAATTAAGAGAGAAGTAACAATGAACAGTAAGAGCTGTATGGGAATGATTAACTGTAGAAGTCAAACAAATTGTGTTGGAGTTCTAGACTACCGACTTGTGGACTTGCATTAAAGAACTACATAGTAAATAGATTTCTGTTTTCAGAAAAGTGTTGCCAGAGATTGGCAAAGTCCCATGAAATCAAAACTATTTTATTATTGGACTGTGTGCTTAAGATTTGTGCATTTTATGGCATGTACATTTATATCAATAAATAAAACACATTAGGGAGAAAAGTTCTGCAAGAACTTTTATTAATAAAATATTAATAAATTAATTAATAAAATATTGTCTTTGCAGAGGAAATAACAAAACCATGTTTCAGTTTATATAGTGGTATGTTATTTGTGTTTTAATAAATAAAGCCTGCCTGAAGATCAGTGCAAAGCAGCTGAACCAGTCAGCCCTACAATCCAGACAGTGCTTGCACACACCTTTAATCCCAGCAGCCACACTAGTTAGCCATAGAGGCTGGGTGGTGATGGTACACGCCTTTAATCCTAGTACTAGAGAGGAATATAAGATGAGAAGAGACAGATCTCACACTCAGTCTCAGTCTGAGGATTTGTGGAGGCAGGATGGTTTATCTTTGGTCTGAGGTAGAGGTAAGAGCCAATGGATGCGGCTCTTAACCCATAATTGTCTTGCTACATTTGGTGCCCGACATTTGGGGTTCAAATTTACGAGAAAGTTGTTTGCCTATGGCTTTACAGACACTGGTATAGGCCGGAGCTACAAGTGCCTAGAGTCACTACCCTACTGGCTAGGTTTTTCTTGTTTCTCTCCTGGTGAACTCTCTGAACCCCCTTCTCGGGCTGCTGCCAAACTAGGTAGCTGCCTTGAAATTCAGTGAGGCCTATACTGTTCTACGCAGCAGCAATAAGCCTCATATCTTCACCAACATCGTCTGCAGATTTGGTAAGATCATCGGAATTCTTAAAGAGAGAGTTCTTTCCCACATTAAAAAAATGGAAAACATCATTACATTGGCAGGATGATCATATGCTGGACAGTTGGCAAATAGAACGATTAAATGAGAGGATGTCTAATTTAGATGGAATTTATGGAATGTCACTTATAAACATTATCGGCTTTATCATTTTTGTTTTATCACTAAAAAAAAAGTGGTTAATCTGAGTGCTAAGATACAGGCCTTAGAAAAACTTAATAAAACAGATCACAAAAATATTCAAATCCAGACAGAGGAATTTAATGGAGAACCAATTTCAGCCTTTCATTATAAGAGCTGAGAGGATGGGGACTGGAGAGACAGCTCAGTGGTTAAGAACACTGGCTACTCATCCAGAGGATCCGGGTTCAATTCCCAGCACCCACATGGCAGCTTGCAACTGTCTGTAACTCTAAGATCTGATACCTTCACATTTAAGGCATTCAGGCAAAACACCAATTCACATAAATTTAAAAATAAAGAAAAAAGATTTATTAAAGGTGTGGTGGCGCACACCTTTAATCCCAGCACTCGGGAGGCAGAGGCAGATGAATCCCTGTGAGTTTGAGGCCAGCCTGGTCTACAAGAGCTAGTTCCAGGACAGCTAGGACTGTTACACAGGGAAACCCTGTCTTGAAAAACTAAAACCAAACCAAACCAAACCAAACCAAACCAAAACAAAAAACCCAACTAACCAAACAAACAAAACACCTGAGAGGAACAGCTTAAGATTTTCAGACAACCAACCTTAATATATCCAGTAACCACACAAAAATTGCCAAATGGCAGAGTAAGAGCTGAACGGACCCCTGTGCTAATGTCAGATTTAAGGAGATTCAGTGAAGCAATAGTCTCATACGGCGTGCATTCACCTTTCATGAATGCTGAACTCCTGTTAAGTTTGAGAGAGAATTATCCCTAACAAGCCGACAGAGCTGGGTAAAGCTGATCTAGAGCCTGGTCCACAATTACAACGGAGGACCTGGTTCAGGGAAGAAGCTATTATTGGACAACAGAATAAAGCTAGAGTTAGGAAAACCTCCCACGATCAGATTCTTGGAGAATGAAATTACGCTTCTGTATGACGGTCACCTCTGGGCTGGTTTCAAACGCGTAATCCACCTGCCTCAGCCTCCTGAGTGCAGGGGTTACAGTCTCTTTAGTCACCACATCCAGTTGATAAGCACATATTTGAAAGCATTTATAACACACAAGAAAAAGAGTATACAGAAAAGGAGTTGTGGACAATGTTTAAGACAACGGGATTAAGCCTGAGTGTATAAAACACATTAAAAATGTGACAGGTATTCAGAGTGAGGAGCGTTGCTTTATAATTCATTCTACAAGTGCTTGCAGAAGGATTAAAAGGTGTCACAAGCCCCTCAGTGACCTCAGCCAGCTGATGGCCAAGAGGGAAGGGAGGCTTGGGGCCACTGTGATAGCCCAGGGTGAGGCTCTAAGTGAGTTGTATTGTCCATGGTACTCCAGTGTGAGCATCTAATGGGCCAGAAGGTTGGGGTGGGGCTAGGGCAGGGTCCACAGGAAGTGAGAGGCAAGAGAGCAATGACATCTCTAACAAAGGTAACTACAAACGGCAGCAAAAGAGCACAGGAATGGTGGGAAGTCTGAACACTTTTAAGTGGAAGGACCTGAAGATGGATGGAGCCGACAGAGGTTTGCTCTTAGAGAGTCCAGGTAGATCCTCTGTAGAGAGGAACAGGGCTGCAGGGACAGTCACAGTGAGGAGGGGCATGTAGGAAAGCTTTGCCAAGGAAGTGTGAGTCAGGGGTTGGGAGAGGGAGTCCGTGAAAGATACTGAAGTTGTAGGAAATCTGCAAGAGGGAGAGATACCTGAGCCAGACACTGGGTAATACGGAGAGGAGACACAGACCTTGGGTAAGATGGAGAGAAGAAACAGACATTGGGTAAGACAGGGAGGAGAAACAGACACTGAGTAAGACGGGGAGGAGAAACGACAAAAGAATGAGGAGGCAGATCTGTGAAAAGCCAGGAAAAAACACTGGGCAGTGAAACTCATCCCGAGACCAGTGGAAAACGAATTTAATGTGGCTTCTAGGAACAGGTGGGACATCAGGGCAGCATCGACTCTGAGTTGGGTGTTAAACGTAGGTCTTCCATATGAGCAATTTGATGGTAACCAGCTGTTTGCTTTGGGCTGGATGTAGATTAATGTCAGAAAATCAAGGTGTGAAAAGATGAGCTGGATGAGAGAGTGCACGGTGCATGTTTGAGTAGCTGGCCCCAGAGAGGTTCCCTCCCAGAGCCCTGCTTGGGTGGGGGTGGATTCTTGTGGTCCAGGCGCTATACTGGCCACCGCTAATGGAACCAAGAATGGATGGATATTTGATGTAAGGGAGAGCTGATAGCATGGTCCATGAGATAACAAACCACACGAAAAGGGTTTTAATCTGCAGGATGGCGGATTTAAAAAGACAGCTGCCACGGGAAGGGGGGTTGAAAGGAATGGGAGGCAGAAAAGGACATGATTAGCTGACCAAACAGAACTGGGGAGTCTGAGACTTTACTCCCTGGATTTAGGTGTCAGCCCCACAGCTCATATGAATGTGACTTTTTTGGCTTTGAGCTTACATGTGTGTGGTGGGAGGGAGGGTACGTGTGCCATAATTTGTATATGGGTATTCTGGGGATCAAACCCAATTGGCAGGCTTGGTGGCAAGTCCCTTAACTTGCTGAGACATCTTACGGGCCCATGAAGATGAGGAAGTTTTTTTTAAACCTTGTGTGTTGTGGAGTAGATGTATCTCTTTATGGTGTGCTGAGAATTTCATGATACACACATATAAAAACAGCATCGAAACACTAAGGGCCTGTTAACACTCAGTAAGCAGTGGTTAGGCACAGGAGCACACACAGGATTTGGTAATAGAGGGTCAAACTGAGGAGGCCTCAGGATGTCTCTAAGAAGGGAAAATGAGGGATCAAAACTGTTGTGGGATATTTTTACCTTGTGTGCAGGTAATATTGCTGTGACTGGTTTAGTAAAGATCTGAATGGCCAATAGTATAGGCGGGACTTCCAGGGAGAGAGAGGAAATAGGAAGAGGAATCTAAGCATACAGGAAAAGCTTGGAGACATGGAGAGGAAACGGGAGGTACAAGATGGAAAAGAGGAGATGCCACATGATAGGATGTAGATTAATATAAATGGGTTAATTTAAGTTATAAGAGCTAGTTAGGAACAAGCCTAAGCTATAGGCTGAGTTTTCATAATTAATAAGCAATCTCTGTGTCATTATTTGGGAGCTGCTGGCAGGACAGAGAAAGACTCCACACCCAGTATGCGAGGCCGACTCCACAGCTGTGCTTCAGTACTGTGGGCAGAGCTGTTTCTTACCCAGCAGTGATATCTCCTCCACCTTCTGGAGCACAGTCACCTTCAGAGTCTCTGCGTTAATTGTCAGAAAATGACCCTCTTCACACCCAACGTACAGGTCACTCGACGGAGTCCAGCAATGCATGGTCGGGTGGAGCAGAGGGTAGATATCATCTTTCGGCTGTGGGAGGGAAGAGCATTCACGTGTTAAGACAGCAGCCGTGGCCAAGGTCCACAGAGACAGCCAGCACCGCCACTGTCGCCAGACACCGGAGTGGCCAGAGGGAACGTGTTGGCCTTTCCTCCTCACCACCGGAGTCACTTCTCCTCTCTCCAGTTTTCTCTGCATATGTGACTTGACCAACACCTAAGGCCATCCTGCTACACTCAGAGCTCTCTCTTCGCAGACTCTGATGAAGTTTTGGTTAACACCCTATTGACTGTTTCTTAGTGGCCACCTTTGGCTCCAGTCCTTGGTTGGCTACAAACACTCCCTTTTCAGGAAGAACTGTCATAGTGCCCTGTCTTCTGGTCTTGCAAGGGTCACTAATGTCAGAGGTCATCTTGGGGCCTCCACTTGACTGGCTCTCAAAGGCAATGAGATGACCTTTGGCCTGACTCCGTGTGTGGTCATTCCATGTGCCTTGATTCCGCAGGAAAGGAAATGCACAGTCAGCAGATGTAAGCAGGAGTTGGACCAAGTTGAAAGCAAGTTGGGTTGTTTTCCTCTATAAAAGACTCGGGAGTGGATATCTCAGGGTTCGTGGACCCCACAGATTGAGTCATGTGTCCTTGCTTTCTTTTTCATAACCCTCAAAGGTGTAAAAGCTATTCTTAGATTTGGGTCACAAAGAGAGGCCATAATATGTTCAGGCGTGCCTTAGATGGTGATATTAACTGCCCCCCCCCCAGCCTTCAGCACTCTGCACAGCAAGGAGAGGCTGTCCCTGTCAGCAGCGCTAGACTCCAAGGCCTCCTCTTAGTAAGCCTTGAACAGTGCCAGATTGTAAATGGAGGATATTAGAATATGGCCTCCATCTTTCCTTCTCCCCTTTCCCCCTCTTCCGCCTTTCCTCTTTCTATCTCCATCTCTCCTCTTCTTCCCCTCTCTCCATCTCTCTCCCTTTTTCTCTCCCTCTCTCCATCGTTCCCTCTCTTTCTCTCCCTCTTTCCCCCATGTCTCCCCTCCCTCCCTCTTTCCTTTCTTTCTTTCTTCCTTTATTTTTCTCTTTCTTTCTTTTTTCTCCTTTTTTCTTTCTTTTTCTTTGTTTCTTTCTTTCTATCATCCTCTCTTTCTCTTTCTTTTTTGGCAGTGCTGGGGCCTCTTCCATGCTAAGCGAGCATTATTCTACCACTGAACCACATCCCTACCCAACTCCTTTCTATTTAACTATTGAAATGTACTAGTGTGTGTGTGTGTGTGCGCGCGCGCGCGCATGCGTGTGTGTGTGCGCGCGCACATACACTTATGTGCACAACTGCAAATGCATGTGTGTGTATCTCTCTGTGTGTGTTGAGCTTCCTGTAGCTCTACACAACTAAGAATTGTCACTTATTTTTCTTCTGGCATCCTTGTACCCACTGACATAAACTTTGTTAACAAGGTAGAGGCCAAATTCCTAGCATGCTTAGATTCTTTAAGAGTTCTCTTTTTACACAGTGGTGTCTGCCAGCAAAGCAGAGGCAGGCGGATCTCTGAGTTTGACTGAGGCCAGCCTGGTCTACAGAGTAAGTTCCAGGACAGCCAGGACTGCACAAAGAAGGCCTGTCTCGGAAAACCAAAGCAAACCAAGCCAAGATCAAGAAAGAGCTCCGTGTTTTATGCCCTACTTATGCAGGCGTTCATTCATCTAACCAGCTTCCATGGAGTGTTTGGCCCTTTCCAGACAGTGCTCCAAGCATCCATGGGCTGTAGTGGGTGACAGAGAAAACTCCCTTCCCTTACAGAAGTTACTGACCAGTGAGGGGAAGCACAATAAAAAAGAAGTTGCAAAGCTGAACGTGGAGAATGTGCTGAGACACACGATGGAGTCAAGCGGGGGCAGGAGCTAGAGTTGGGAAGTACTGGTACCATATGCTCCGCAGGTGTCCATTATGAGCTCCTTGCTGTGCTAGTCACCTTCCTAATAAATACCCAATTGTTTCATAATAGACAACACATTGCTCTTTTAATTGATGAAATATTTGTAGATTCAAGGCAGTGACAGCAGCAGTCCCACCAGATTTGCAACTGACTTAGATTGTTGATGTTACATCTTCCAACATATGCACGCCAGCCATCGGTCATGGGCAGTCAGCGCATCCAGTCTAGTTTCTTCTCAACGGGACCGTCATGTAGAGAAGAATCAGTGAGCAGCCGAATCAGAGAGTGATTGAGGCTGAGCCAGGCACGTGGGTTACAGGGAGCAGTGTTGATACAGCTCCCCTGGCCGAGTGAGGAGTGGACAGAAAAGGACCTTGAAATACCACCAAGGCAGTGGTCAGATGTATCGCGATGATATTTTACAGGGGGAGGTGGCTTTAATTGCATGATTGATCTAGTTCACGTCTTCACAGACTTGAACAGTTAGGAAATAAAAGCCGGAATAATTATCGCTTGCCCACCTCCCGACCCTGCTTTTAAAAAAGGCACCACTTGCCACCCCAAAGGGAGTAGACTGTCACCAATAAATGGCTTTTCTGTGGGATCTGACTGAGTGACATTCACTGAAGCAGGGTACTTCAACCCTCTCAGATGGCTCTGATGACTTCTGACAGACTAATCACAGGAAAGACTCTAGTTTGGCACAGCTAAGTGTAGGTAACGATTTATTTATTTATTTATTTATTTATTTATTTATTTATTTATTGATAGGATCTCACTGTGTAACCCAGGCTAGCCTGGAACTTTGATCCATCTGCTTCTGTCTCCCCAATGCTGACAAAGTACACCAGTGTCCAGCTTGTAAAATCTTAAAAAAAAAAATAATCTCCAAACTCTCCAAAATAAATGCCACCAGTCCGGCTCCCCTAATACCAGGGGATCTGTGTATGAAATGGAGGTGAGGATTAAGGCCTGGGAATTTTCCAGCTATAGAAAATTAATCTATAATTAGACATGTTTTTTTTCCTTTTTCATTTTTTTGGTAGGTTTGATTGTGTATTATTTTCTTTAATAATGTAGTTGTTTATTTAAGGTGGGGGCACATGGAATGTATGAGAAGATGTCATGATTCTTGGTCCTGCATCTCCAAAGAAACAGCTGTGTGGTAATTATGTCTAAAAACATTGACCAATCAGCCTCCTTTTCCAGTCCTCTGGGTCCACACTCCTGACATTCTGACCTTTTTAGGACCAAAATGGGAAACCAGAGTCCAACTTTGTACTGCATCACTAGTTGGGGGAAAAAATACCCCACAAATACGTTGAAGAACATTTATGTTTTTTTTTTTTTCCTCTCCCGAGACAGGGTTTCGCTGTAGCTATGAAGCCTGTCCTGGAACTAGTTCTTGTCAACCAGGCTGGCCTTGAACTCACAGGGATCCGCCTGTCTCTGCCTCCCCTCCCAAGTGCTGGCTTTAAAGGCATGTGCCACCACTGCCCAGCTTCAAAGAGATTCTTATTTACTGAATTCTGTTCCCCCCAAAAAAGGGGGGGGGGGGCTAGATGGAACAAAGAAAGCGAACCCTTGAGCTTTAATTCATTATGCTGAATCTGCTTTCTGCCCAAGTAACGTCTGCTTTTGATTTTCCCCACACACAATTGGATAAGTTTCTAACGCCCAGAATAACTTGCACAATGTGTATCAGGCCTATTTAAAGGCCTATGATGTGCCATCCCAGAGATAGCTACAAAAAAGAAAATGGGATTACTTAATGTCTGTAATCTTGTAAAAATCCCCGGCTTGCCAATTTTTGAGACACTTACGTAGATCAGGTCATCACTGATTACTTTGCTATTAGTACCCAGGTCACAAGAAATGACAACTTTGGAGCTGGAGAGATGGCTCAGCACTTAAGAGCACTCACTGGCTTCTCTTCCAGAGGACCTGGGTTCAGTTTCCAGCACACACGTGGCAGCTCACAACTGTCTGTAACTCCAGTTCCAGGGGATTTGGTGCCCTCTTTTGGCCTCCTTGAGCACTAGGCATGCACATGGTACAGACATATATACAGACAAAACATGACAGAAGTCAAAAGATGATAAGTCATAAGTCAAAAGATACGTTACTTTAGGGAAGAGGTTTTGCTTTTGTTTCCACAAGAAGTGAGAGTCTGTGTATTCATTCTTGGTTAAGAAAAGCAAGGTTTGATTGAGGAAGACCCCCTGAAAAATCTCCAATGGGAACAGATGATCCAATGTTTCAGAGCACCTCTGTTGCAGTTTCCTCTGAGTTCTACATCCAGAACAGCCTCAAGACGCTGGCTGAGATGATCAGGCCTCACAGAATACTCCAGTAAGGATTTGAACATAATCCTAAATTTTCTTTGGATCCCCATAAGATTATCTGCACCCCAAACAGCAGGAAATAGCCTAGAAAACCAAGTCCACATTCACAGAAAATGGATTATGGATGTTTGTTTTTGTTTAGTGTGTTGGTTATAAGTTGTTATGGATAATGGTCAGGAAAAAAGCTAAACAAAGGAAATTAGATTCAAGGTTCTTATTTTGAAAAGAAAAAAGGGGGATATAGATATGACAGGATAAAAAGGTAGATAACTGAGTCTACTCTGAAAATAAAAAAAGGAGGATATTGATATGATCCTGTTTTGAAAAGAAAAAAAGGCCAGGAAGTGATGGTGCACACCTCCCAGCACTTGGGAGGCAGAGGCAGGTGGATCTCTGTGAGTTGGAGGCCAGCCTGGTCTACAGAGCAAGTTCCAGGACTGTCTCCATAGCTATTGAGAAACCCTGTCTTGAGAAAATAAAAAAAAAAAAGAAAGAAAAAAGGGGGGATATAGAAATGATAGGATAAAAGGCAGATTATTGAATCTACTTTTAAAAGGCAACTACTAGTTTTAAATGATTTACATTGGATTGGACTTTTGCATATTGTACAGATTTTGTATATTGATACAAATTTGAGATTAATTTAGTTGAAACACACTGTACATACATTTCTACTCTTGTTCAAGGTGTTATACCTATATAACTCATTTAACAATGTAAAGCAATTTCTAGTCCTTGAAAATTATTATCACCAACTGTTTAAGATAATAAAGAAATGCAGGTTAGTAGTTACTCACCTAGTATAATTGAATTTGTAGTCACATTAGGTATGTTTTCAAGGTCAAACAAAGATATATTTTAGATAGACAAGTCATCTTCAAACACTTCAGAGATCTACAGAATACGGCATTTAAGATGTTTTAATAACATAGGTTTTCTTTTTTATGACAATAAGACATGTCTACTTCTGGCAGCACCAATCTACTTCAAAGAAGAAAATGCACATTGAAGAAACTACACATGGTGTTTACTTTCTTTGTAGCAAAAGTAAGTCACTGAGCAAGAAAACGCCCCTACCTTGACTGCTGCCAAGGCTGTCCTAATTATACAAACAGAACACAAAATATCCTGCTTCACAGAAAAGCCTGTTGGATATGCTAGGCCAAAGATGGATGCCCCATCATTACAGATAAACTTTGGGTCACTGTCCAGGCAAGCAGCTGTTTCTGTCATTACTCACGGTTTTTTAGAAGCTGCTTGCTTGCCCTTCCTGCTTACTCAGTTAATATTATTTCCTTCTCGGGTCTCTGAGGAAGTTAAAGACTAGATTGTTATTGTTATCATCTCCTTTGTTTATGAAACTGAGAAAAGAAATTCACTAAAGAATTGTAAAGTATATAAGGTTGAGAGATGTCAAAAGATGGTTTTGGATGGTAATGCAAGTTTTGATAGAAAGTAAATTAGGTACAAGACTTTGGACTCACTAAGATAGAATAGATATGGAATATTTTCTCTGAATTTCTCAAATGCAAATGGATGAGACATTGTTGATGTATTTATTGCCTGTATATATTGTACATAGTTATATATATTGTACTTGTGTATATAGTTTTTCTTATATAAAATTAATAGCCTATTAATTTTAGACAAAAGGGGAAATATAGTGGCATTTCAATTGTATTTTAATAAATAAAGTTTGCCTGGGGATCAGGAGAGTAAAACAAGCCACACTGTGAGCCTTACAGCCAGGCAGTGGTGACACACACCTTCAGTCCCAGTATTCACTCTAATTGCCATAGAAATAGGGTGGTGCAAGCCTTTAATTCCAGGACTAGAGGGGATTAGAAAATGGGAGAAAACAGCTCTCAGACACAGTCTCATTCTGAGATTTCTGGAGGCAGGATTGCTATTTCTCACTGAGGTAGAGTAAGAGCCAGTGTCTAGCTGCTTTGATTTTTATGGTCTTCAGGTTGAACCCCAATTTCTCTCCCTGAGTTTTTATTAATTGTGCTTCAATTAAAAATTCAAAATATTTAAGAAAACAAAGAAATGACATTCAAAGGAAGGAAGGGAATTGAAGCATTTCCTGTGCTTCCACTCACTGGACAGCCACTAATCAATGCTGCATCTATTTTCCTCACCGTATGTGTGTATAGAAGATGAAAGGCAAGCTACTGGGAGGTTAGATTCCGAGTTTAACTCTGTGGAATGTGCCGTCTGTATATGTAGAGTTTTAACACCGCGGCATTAAATGTCTACTTTCAGAAAATGGCGAGAACGCACAGCACAGAAGCCCCCAGGAAACGAAGCTGCTTACTTTGTTTATTAACCTTGTTTAACACAGCAGCTCCATGTCAGCCACTCAGATTTTTCCTTCTCTGTGTGTGTGCATGTGTCCATTGCACGTGTGTGAAGGTGCAGGTGTGTACTCTCAGAGGCTAGAGGGCAACAGAGGGTGTCTTATTTTCCTTCACCTTCCTGGATTTTCCCTGAAGCCAGAGCTACTGATGAGGCCCCCTATGCTGCACTGACAGGTGCACATGGTTGCACCCCGATGCTTGTCTGATACAGGTGTACACAGCTGCCCCCCTCCCCTGGATTGACAGGTGCACACAGCTGCCCCCCTCCCCTGGATTGACAGGTGCAGATGACTGCAAACCTGTGCTGGGCTGACAGGTGTACACAGCTGCACCCCTACCCTGGACTGACAGGTGCACACGGCTGCCCTCCTACCCTGGATTGACAGGTGCACACGGTTGCCCCCCTACCCTGGATCGACAGGTGCACACGGCTGCACCCCTACCCTGGATTGACAGGTGCACACGGCTGCACCCCTACCCTGGATTGACAGGTGCACACGGTTGCCCCCCTACCCTGGATCGACAGGTGCACACAGCTGCCCCCACCCCGGGACTCACATTTGAGCTTTACCCACTATGCCACGTCCATGGGCACTAGGCATTTAAAGAGGTGTTTCATAGCTTCTTCCAAAGGCAAAGGACAGTTTCCTGTACTTTAAATGTTTTATGCTGGACCCATAATTTAGTGCCAAGTGTGAAATATTAGGACTATACACATTTACTGAAAGTGGGAGAGGGGGAGGGGGGAGAGAGGGAGGGAGGGAGGAGGGGCTCTAGGCACCAAAAGTCTGACTGAATGTCTTGTTTTTTTATTTTGCTGCCCTCTTGTGGCTGAGAGGGGTGGCGCATTTTCCAAGGCTAGAAACAGGACCGAACAAGAATTAGCCATGCTTCCTCATTTACAAAAGTGAGCCTGGTGGTTGTGGTGGTGGTGGTGGTGGTGGTGGTGGTGGTGGTGGTGGTGCATGCTTTTAATCCCAGCACTCGGGAGGCAGAGGCAGGTGGATCTCTGTGAGTTTGAGGCCAGCCTGAGCTAGTTCCAGGACAGACTCTAAAGCTACAAAAAAACTCTGTCTGGAACCCCACCCCCCAGAAAGGGGGGGGACGGACATATTATGAACTTGTCTCTTGTCTGCCTGTCACAGACATTTTATGACAATCTCGTTTTTCCCTGTGAGTTACTTCTAACGCCCACCTTCATTCGTAGGACTGTTTCACTTGGGCGGCCATTGTCCTCTGCTTAGCTTCCCCGGCCATCAGTGGCCCACAGTAGTGGTGCTTCTCGTCTTCATCCCAAATGCCTTGTCTGTGACTTTCTCGCTCTGTGTCCCTCCTGACTGTCGCTCTGAACCGCATTTAGCATGTTTGCTCTCATCCATCCCACTCAGTATCTCAGACATGCCTCCCCCCAGGGCCTCCGGACACGCTGTCCCCTGCTCTAGAAATAGCCCTTCTGCTTGTAACAGGATGGATCCCGTGCTTCAAGTCTCGAGAAAGAAGCTGGACTGTGTGGCGATCCCTTCCGGGCCACCTCACCCCGCTGTACCAATTATCACCCTGTATATGTATATGTCTCTCTTTGCTTTTATTGTTAGTCTGTTCCTCAGACAGGATCATTCCTGCTTGGTCACCAGGGGTCCCACAGCCTGGAAGAGAGTCTACTAACCAACAAGAAGGAGCTTGATGTAAATGTGTGGAAAGCAAGCAAGGGGGAGGGGATGGGTGTGAATCTGTTGACAAATTCTCTCCTGTTTTAAAATTCCCCCACCATGTTCCTCTCTCTGGCATTTGCTTGTGCTCAGAGATCTGACTTCTAATATGTTGGGGGTGCACTTCTCCATCCCTGTTCTCATCCCTCAGACTTCTGCAGCCCCTCCCCTTTGCTCCCAGGTGCTACCTGTGAGAGCTACATTTTAACATTTGCATCTTCATCCCTGCCTCTTCCTCCCTGTCAGGAAGCCTACTTGCCAACTCCCACCCTGGGTCGCTACTTGGCTGCTTCCCAGTCCCTCAACCAAACTGGTTTCTGATTACCCAGGCACGTGGAGTCTTTGCTTCTTAGGAAATGCGAGTAACAACCAGCATAGTTCTCGCAATCAAATGAGACCTCCCTTCCAAGACTGCCACCTTGGAGCCAGCAAGAAAATTACCCTGAACGTCTCGGCCTCTTCGCCCACCAGCCCGGCAATGGCCGACAGTGGCAGAACGGGCCCGTAAATGAGATTCTTGCTCAGTGAGGTGGGAAACAGGAGGTCTGTTTCACTGGCGAGCGACCCGTCTTCCAGAGGTAGCTTGACCAACCTGGAGATAAAGGAGACATCGAAACAAATGGAGCAATGGAAACCAATTTCGGGTGGAGGCTCCGTGTTATCAGCGCGAGGTGGGGAAGGTGTTCTGCCACGGAGACATGCAAGAAGGTAAGGGCCAAGAAACAGGTTTCAAAATACCTGCAGTAAAGTGACAGGCTATGTGTAGTTAAAAATGAAGTGCATGGGGGATTATTAGGATGATCCCAAGTTACTGTGTGAGGCAGAAACTGTAAACTTCAATGTTTTGGGGGCTGGGCACACATCTGGGAGCTGAAATAAATATACATATATAGTCAGAATCCAGCTGCCACCTCGCAATGTCTGATGATAAAAATCCATCTTGTAGTTAATCCTATGTCTGTTTTCAGCCCATGATGTATTATCAAAGAGAGTTTAGAGAATTTATGGAATTAAATCAGAGGCTTCTTGGTTGTGGTCTAAGAGCGGTGACCTCCTTTGGAGAATGGTCACATAAACAGAGAATACTGCCTGGGTGTGGGACTGAGAGCATCTGGGCCCTGCCGGTCCTCTTAGGTGTCCCTTACTTCATTGGTATATGAAGAAGTCACAGCAGTCAATATTCAGAAACACAGTGGAACATTCGAGAGACTCTCAGGAAGAAAGAGTGTAATAAGTCAGGTGCCTATCCTGACGCGGCTCTGGTGGACATCACCTGCTCTGTTAGGAGACAGAGTGTGACCAATGACTGGAGACAGACTGTCTATTCTCTAGGCCCTTGTGAAAACAACTTTGAGGGAGGGAGAAAATGCGCTAATCACAACTCTTAGATGCCTCCAGTGTGAACATTTGGCTTTTTTTTTCTTTTCCAGTTCTTTTCTGACTCCACATGTTACCTAGGGTTGTTTTTCAAAAATTGCAGTTTCAAGAGTTTATCTCTATATACCTCCCCAGCATCCCTTGATCTTCACTGAAAATGGTCAACCCCGTGGTAGTGTGGGACTCTGAACTCTATGCACCAAACATCCGTCATCAGCTGTCACTATTTGGTCCAGGACGTCCTGAGACACATTTCTTTTCAAATGAGTAATTCCCGTGACTCTATGCTGTGGGCGCTGGCTCGAATATCATGGCTGACCGTATACTGCGCTCTGCATGCTTCCTACAGCCAACAAATGCTGATTTTAGAGTCTTTAGTAGAGTACCAAATAAATGGAAACAAAAGTCACTGGGGTCCTTTCTTAGATAATAGTAACATTTAAAAACATTCACTTGGCCGGGCGGTGGTGGCGCACACCTTTAATCCCAGCACTTGGGAGGCAGAGGCAGGAGAATCTCTGTGAGTTCGAGGCCAGCCTGGTCTACAAAGAGAGTTCCAGGACAGGCTCCAGAGCTACAGAGAAACCCTGTCTCGAAAAACCAAAAAACAAAAAAAACCCAAAAAAACCATTCACTTGAAGGCCACAGAACAGGTGAGTGACCCTTCTGCAGCTAAACTATCCCACTCCCTAGATTCTGTTCCACTGATCAGCCCTCCAACCTCATCACCAGCCCCGAGGCCAGGCCCTGCTTCCAACCATGAGGTACTTCCCAACAGAGACTCCCTGCAGTAACAAAGGCCAAGCTAACCCCAGAAAGTCAGCTCCCAACTTGATCAGAAGTCACACCAACTACCAGAAATCCCTGTCACAAAGACTAGAAAACCAAAGAGGAAACAGAAACCAAGGAACAATACACATATCAACAAAGAAAATCTCAGGAAGCAGGACCTAGATCTATAACGCCCAAATTCAGGTGCCTAAGTGCCAGTATAAGAATACAATCAACAACATCCAGGGAAATATGGCACCAACAGACTCCAGCTATCCTACTACAGTAAGGCCTGAATATTCCAGCTCAGCTGAACCACAAGAAAAAGACCTTAAAAACAACATTATGATATTGATAGAGGTCCTTAAAGAGAGAAAATAAAAACTCCGTTAAAGAAATTGAGGACAGCCGGGCGGTGGTGGCGCACGCCTTTAATCCCAGCACTCGGGAAGCAGAGGCAGGCGGATCTCTGGGAGTTCGAGGCCAGCCTGGTCTACAAGAGCTAGTTTCGGGACAGGCTCCAAAGCTACAGAGAAACCCTGTCTCGAAAATCAAAAAAAAAAAAAAAAAAAAAAAAAAAAAGAAATTGAGGACAAGACAACCAAAAATTTGGAGGAAACCAATAAATTCCTTAAAGAACACCAAGAAAAAAAGCAAATGGGTGACAGAAAACTATTCAACCTGAAAACTGAAATAAAAGCAGAAAAAAATAACTCACAAATTGAGGAACTTCTGGAACTGGAAAATCTGGGTAAGTGAACAGGAACTACAGACACAAGCATCGACAACAGAATACAACTCCTTCATCATGAAAGTCTTGGAGGGATCAGGGACACAAAGAAAATACCTAAACATAATAAAGACAATTTTCAGAAGCCAACAGCCAATATCAAATTAAATGAGAGAAGCCCAAAGCAATTCCACTAAAATCAGGAACAAGATAGGGCTGTCCATTCTCTCCGTATCTATTCAATAGAGTATTCAAAGTTCTAGCTGGAGCAATAAGTCAACTGAAGGAGATCAAGAGGATACAAATTGAAAAGGAAGAAGTCAAAGTATTGCTATTTGCAGATGATATGATAGTATACACAAGTGACCCCAAAATTCTACCAGAGCACTCCTCCAGCTGAGGAACACCTTCAGTAAAGTGGCTGGATACAAGATTAACATTAAAAAAAAAAGTATGGGGGCTGGAGAGATGGCTCAGCGGTTAAGAGCATTGCCTGCTCTTCCAAAGGTCCTGAGTTCAATTCCCAGCAACCACATGGTGGCTCACAACCATCTGTAATAAGGTCTGGTGCTCTCTTCTGGCCTGCAGGAATACATGTAGACAAAATATTATATGCATAATAAATAAATATTTTTAAAAAAGAAACTGTGCTCAGTTATCAGAGCACCATTAAAAAAAAGTAGCCCTCCTATATACAAATGACAAATGAGCTGAGAAAGAATTAAGGGAAACACCACCCTTTATTATAGCCATGAAAAATCTGAAATATCTTGGGGTAACTCTAGTTACACTCAAGCAAGTGAAAGAACTGTGTTATAAAAACTTCAAGTCTTTGAAGAAGGAAATTGAAGAAGATATGAGAAAATGGAAAGATCTCCTATGCTCATGGATCGGTAGGTTTCACATAATAAAAATGATATCCTATCAAAAACAATCTACAGATTTAATGCAATTCCCATTAAAATTTCAACAAAATTCTGATGTGGGATGTCCCTCTGTATGCTGTGAATATTTTTTTTTTTCGGTGCCTGTCCCGGAACTAGCTCTTGTAGACCAGGCTGGCCTCGAACTCCCAGAGATCTGCCTGCCTCTGCCTCCCGAGTGCTGGGATTAAAGGCGTGTGCCACCACCGCCCAGCTGTGAATATGTTTTGTTACCAATGGTTAATAAAGAAGCTGCTTTGGCCTATAGCAGGGCAGAATAGCCAAACTAAATATAAGGAGAAAGCCAAACTAAATATAGGGAGAAAGAAGGCAGAGTCAGGGAGATGCCATCAGCCTCCAGAGAAGCAAGATATGAGGTAACAAGCCACAATCCTTGTGGTTAAATATAGAATAATAGAAATAGGTTAATTTAAGTTGTAAGAGCTAGTTAATGATAAGCCTGAGCTAACAGGCCAAACAGTTTGTAATTAATAGTAAGCCTCAGAGTGGTCATTTTAAAAGTGGCTATGGGACTGGGCAGGAAAAGAAACCTCCAGTTATACAATTCTTTACAGATCTTGAAAGAACAGTACTCAACTTCAAAAGGAAAGACCAAACAAACAAGCAAACAAACAAACCAGAATTGCTAAAACAATGCTATACAACAAAAGAACTGGAGGTAACACTATTCTTGATTTTAAACTGTACTTCAGAGATATAGTAGTAAAAGCCACATGGTATTGGCATAAAAACAGACACACTGATCAATAGAGTTGAATTGGAGATCCAGATGTCAATCCACACACCTATGGACACTTGATTTTTGATAAAGAATCCAGAAATATACAATGGAAAAAAGAAAGCATCTTCAACAAATGGTGCTAGTCTAACTGGATATTGGTATGTAGAAGAATGTAAATAGATCCATAACTACCATCCTGTACAAAACTCAAGTACAAGGATCAAAGACTTCAATATAGAAACCAGAAACACTGAGCCGGATAGAAGAGAAAGTGGGGAACAGTGTAGTAGTGTATGTTATTTGTATTTTAATAAATAAATCTTTCCTGAAGACCAGAGGCAAATCTAAAGCCACTAGAGTTCAGGTAATGGTGGCTCACACCTTTAATCCCAGGATTTGGGGAAACAGAGGCAGAACTCTGTGAGTTCAAAGCTACCCTGGGCTACGCAAGATCCATGTAGAAACAAATTCAGTTGGTGGTGGCCTATAGCTTTAACTTTAGTACTAGGGTGTCATGCCTTTAATCCCAGCACTAGAGGGAAGATAAAATGGGAGGAGAGAGAGTCTTAAATGGCTGAGTCTGCAGTCAGCCAACCTTGGTAGAGGTAAGACTTCTCTAGTGGCTTGGCTGCTTTGCTTTTTTGGTTTTCAGGTTGAACCCCAATTCTGTCTTTAGGTTTTTATTATTCATGCTACAGAACAGCTTTGAACACATTGACACAGGAGACAACTTACTGAACAGAATATCAATAGCACAGGTACTAGGATAAACAATCAATAAATGGGATCTCATGAAACTGAAAAGCTTCTGTAAGGCAAAGGACACTGTCTAATAGGACAAAAAGGCAGATCACAAAATGGGAAAGATTTTCAACTTCACATCTGACAGGTGTGGATGGCTAATATCCAAAATATATAAAGAATTCAAGAAACTAGACATGAACAAACTAAATAATACAACTAAAAATGGGGTACATATCTCAACAGAAAATTCTCAACAGAAGAAACTCAAATGGCCAAGAAACACTTAAAGAAATATTTAACATCCTTAACCATCAGGGAAATACAAATCAAAGTGACTTTGAGATTACATCTCACACCTGTCAGAATGGATAAAGTCAAAAACAAAGGTGACAGCTTATGCTTGAGAGGATGTGGAGCAGTATGGAGGGCGGTCACTGACTCTTTTGCCTACTCATGGGACCCTTTTACTCCCTCTGTGTTGCCTCTTGAAGACTTGGTTTGATAGCATGTAGTTGGCATTATAGTGATATATTATGCCATGTTTGGTTGATGTCCCTGGAGGGCCTGCTCTTTTCTGAGGGGAGACAGAGGAGTGGTGGGGGAAGGCTGGAGGAAGGGAGGGGGGTAGAGAGGGGAGGGGGGAAACTGTGATAGGGATGTAATATATGAGAGATAAATTTAAAAATATATTAATTTGAGTAAATCAAATTTTGCAAAATTAAACACGCTGGAAAAAACTCTTAGGGGACTTGGGAAGTCAAAGAGAATCTGAAGTGTGAGCAGGCACTCCAAGCTTATTACAGATGCCGAGTACTGTTGTAATTTATAATAAGCTGTGTGTGTGTGTGGCCATGCTTGTGAGTATTGTTTGAAGCCACTTAATTTATCAAAGAGGCCAGGGACGGCTGTGAATGCAAATGAAGACCACGTGGTTGTGGAACAGCATGGACCCCCACCTCATCTTGAAGTGATGGTCCTGGTTACTTCTCTCAATGGTCCACACGCTCACTATGCTTGGACTTGACAAACACATCTGATGCCAGTTCATGGGGTTGAAGGACATCTGGCTCACGTCCATTCCGGGATTTGACTTCTTGCACAAGATGACACTGGATTCCCAGTTCCTTAGAGGGAAGCAGCATTCGAGGAAAAATTAGTTTGTTTTAATTTTATGTCTGGGAAAAATCTTATTATAAGACAACTCACATCAACTGAAGCATAATTTGTGGTATAATTTATATAGCCTATGACGCAAACCAAAAATTTTTAAATGATTATATTTAAATGAATCCTCTAAGAAATGAAATACTATGTATGTCTAATATTGCACGATTGTACCAGGTCCTCACTGATGACAGCAGATCATTTACTGGAGTTTTAAAAAATCTTTTTAAAATCAAGTACTTGATTTGCACATTTGAGAAAATAGCCTCAAATCCTGCCAGCTAGGTCCTTTGCTAGAAGGGTGGAAAACAGAAACACACCAAAATATGGAGGTTGCTTCAGCCTCGGGGCAAGCAGAGCAGGGATTAGAAAACAGACCTGGTGTTTCCTGAATTTGCCTTGCTCCCTGTGCCCCTGCCTTCAAGGCTTCCCATCCCAACCTAACCGCTTGCCCATCATAGCTAGAATCTTGCCGGAATCCCTGGCTCCCTCAATCCTTAGTCTTCTTTCCTCAGGCAGCTGGCAAACTTGTCAAGCCTGGGTGGATACAACCAGAAGCCCGAGTAATCAAGTCAGATGCAGTCATTAGGGTTGGTCCCTAATTTAAAAATTACTGAGGTCTTTCTAAAAGTGGAGACGTTGTGAGACAGACACATGGGGAGAACGCCCTGTGTGCTGAGCGTGAATAAAGGCAGAGAGCGGGGTGGTGTGTCTGCAGGCCAAGGAACATCAGAATTGCCATCAAGGCAGCAGTGGGAACTGCCCAGGCACAGAAGCCCAGGCACAGAGCAGATTCACTTACGGCCCTCAGAAGGCACCAAGCCACCCCGCAGCCAGAGCTTGGGATTCTGGTCTCCAGAACTTGAGACAATGAATTTCTGTTACTTAAGTCATCTGCTTTGTGGTGTTTGTTACAGCGATCTCCGAAGACAAATATGAGGGTCTATTTAAACACCCTTTCCCTTCCCAAGAGTTCTTCACTGATGCCCCCTCCACTCTTGGGTTAGATGTTCCTATGTACCTAAGATTACTGGAAGTTGTGAAATATTTCAGCCTCTTCGGGCTTAAACTCTGCCCCGCCACTTAACAAGTAGCTTGGGAATGAAAACACTTCAAACGCGGAGGAAGAGCAGTGTGCCGCTTGTTTCCAGTATGACGTCAAGAAGCATTTCCAATCCACTTCCCCTGACAAAAGTGAACTGCCCCTTGCTTTGACTCCCATCTGACACTCCAAAGAAATGAAACATTGACGTCCTTGTACACATTTCTTAGCAGACTCCATGTGATGAGGACACACATGGCGTTATAGGGTGGAGCATTTAACTATGAAACATCATTGGGTCACCTCGGAGCATAGCTCAGCCAAGTGCCGTGGCATAGAGACTTACAGAAACATAACTATTCTCATGTTGCGCGCAGAAGTATTTAACCGCCCCCTCTTCTTTAGTTCAGGCTCATGAACTGTTGCTGTCGCGGGTGTTTCAGTCCCTCCTTCTATTCATGTGTCCATGTGCTTTGGACTGTGAAGACAGTTGTCATGAAAGGAGACTTTAGATGGCAACTGTGTGACTAGATTGTGGTTTGTTTGATTGTTTATTTATTTTGTACTCTTTGCTCTTAGGGGACCCACCTCCCAGCTCCCAGATAAATACACGGAGGCTAATTCTTACTTATAAATGCCTGGCCTTAGCTTGGGGTTTGTTTCTAGCCAGTTTTTCTTAGCTTAAATTATCCCATCTACCCTCTGAGCTTTTACCTTTTTCTATTCTATGTCTTCCTTTACTTCTTACTCCATTGTTGGCTGTGCAGCTGGGTGGCTGGCCCCTCACATTCCCTCTTCTCCTCTTCTTGTTCCCTTTCTTCTCTCTCTTTTCCTATTTATTCCCTCTTCCTCCAGCCCCACTTGTCTCTCTCCTGCCTAGCTATTGGCTATTCAGCTCTTTATTAGATCAATCAGGTGTTTTAGACAGGCAAAGTAACACAGTTTTACAGAGTTAAACAAATGCAACGTTGATGTAGGAAGTCCTTCTGTATATGTGCTGCTTTTATTGGTCAATGAATAAAGAATCTGCATTGGCTTGTGATAGGGCAGAGTAGAGCTAAGCAGGGAAAGCTAAACTGAATGTTGGGAGAAAGAAGGCAGAGTCGAGAGAAGCCATGTAGCCCCACCAGAGACAGATGCCAGATGGAATCTTGATGGTAAGCCACAGCCATGTGGCAATACACAGATAAATAGAAATGGGTTAAATTAAGATGTAAGAGCCAGCCAATAAGAAGCTAGAGCTAATAGATCAAGCAGTGATTTAATTAATACAGTTTCTGTGTGGTTATTTCTGGTCTGAGAAGCTAGAAACAAGCAATTGGCCTCCACCAACACAACATAAAAGAATGCAACACAACTTCACATAATTAAACAAATATTTCATAGCACAAAAGACTGTAACACATCTTTAACTAATATTCCACGACACTAGATGGTATATCTGTCTCACAGAGTGGCAAAGACTGTTGTGATATATAGTGCTAGCAGATTTCCAAACCATGAAGCTGCATGAAAGCAGACAGAACAGAAGGAAATATGTGGTGATATTTCATTTGTATTTTAATAAATACAGCTTGCCTTGAAGATCAGAGAGTATAACAGTCACACTGTTCAATCATACAGACCAGGCAGTGGTGGCACACACTTTAATCCCAGTAGCCACACTAGTTAGCCATAGAGACCAGGTGGTAGTGGTGCATGCCTTTAATCCCAACACTAGAGAGGAATATAAAATGGGAGGAGACAGCTCTCACACACAGTCTCATTCTGTGATTCCTGAAGACAGTATCACTATTTCAGTCTGAGTTAGAGGTAAAAGTCAGTATCTGGCTGTTTTGCTTTTCTGATCTTCAGGTTGAACCCCAATATCTGTGTCTGGGTTTTTATTATTCATGCTACAGGACTATGTGGTCCCTGTGTATGAAATGTGCAGAAACAAATGAGTCCTAGTGACATAAACACACCAGAGGCTGATTGTGGGGAGGGCGGAGGGTGGGTTAAAAGTATGTATGGCAAGGAACAGTGACAAGGCTTTGGGAGGAAAAAGGAAAGAACAAGGAAACCGTGGGTAAGGAGTTCATTTGTCCTGATTATGGTGACAGCTTCAAGGGTGCTTGCACCAGCCCAAATATAAACTGTATAATTTATATGTGAACAGTTCAGTATACACCACCAGTTACACCTCAGTAAGGCTGGGAGTGGGAAGGAGAGAGGGGAGAGAGAGAGAGAGAGAGAGAGAGAGAGAGAGAGAGAGAGAGAGAGAGAGACAGAGAGAGAGAGAGAGACAGAGAGAGAGAGAGAGGCTAAGAATCAAACTCAGGGCATGAACCATGATTGAAAACATTCTACCAGGGAACTACATCACCAGTCTTTAGTAGTGTGCGCCCTCCCTTCCTCTTCTTTCTTCTCTTTCTTTCTTCTCCCTCTCCAAGGTTTTATACTTTAGAGCAGGAGCCCAGTTGGCCCAAAACTGTGTAGCCAAGGCTAGCCTCCTGTCTCACCCTCTCAGGTGCTGAAATGACAGATGCCAACTGACACACGAGGCTCAGCTTTTGGTGGCTCAGCCGTTCAGAGCACTGGAAGCTTCTTCAGGGGATCTAGGTTCGATTCTCAGAATCCAGGTACACATAAAATACCCACTAAAATAAACTAGTAGAGGAAAATAAAACGGCACGTGAGTTCAATTTGGCTCTCTGAAGAGGGAATCTTAGATGTTTTAGGTAGAAATGCTGGTGTCCAACACTAGCCTTAATCATCCCAGGAACACTTTGCCCTTCTCATTAAACAAAACGAAACAAACAAAAACCAAATCCCAACTCCCTGGAGAGGTTTCTGTCATAGATGAAAGAGAATGAATCTACAAAGTTGGTTACATGAAAAGGCCCAGAACAACACAGCTGGGTCTAACCTACAGGTGTCTCTGCCCAGCTAGCTGGTCAACGTGGTAGAATGTTCCACCCTGAACATACTTCGCTAGTAACACCATGAACTGCTAACTTTAAGATGAACTCAAGTACACAGACTATCCTAATTTCAACATAGGCAGAAAACATGCTAATAACCCAGAAGAACCATTTGCTTTAGGGAAAGATGAAACTTATACACCTTGAATCATTGCTTCACCTGGATAAGGAAATACTGCATGAGGAGGTTTGAAAGAAAATGGCTCCCAAAGGGAGTGGCATTATTAGGGGGTGTGGCCTTGTTGGAGTAGCTGTGGTCTTGTTGGAGGAAGTGTGTCTCTGTGGGGGCAGGCTTTGATGTCTCTTTTCTCAAGCTTCCCTCAGCATGACAGTCAACTTCCTGTGGCCTTCTGATCAAGACGTAGCCAGCACCATGTTTGCCTGCATGCCATCATGCTCCCTGTCATGACGATAATGGACTAAACCTCGGAAATGTAAGCCACCACCACAATTAAATGTTTTCTTTGCAAGAGTTGCCATGGCCATGATGTCTCTTTGTAGCGATAAAAAGCTACAAGACACTCCACGTCACTAAAAAGGGAAAGATGTAATTCAGGTCTAAGACACTGCACGTCACTAAAAAGGGAAAGATGTAATTCAGGTCTAAGACACTCCACGTGTCAGGGCAATTTTCATACCTGAGTAGAAAGATGATATTAAATCATGTGACTAGGATGTTCCTTCTTCCCAGCTTCCCTTGTCTGGGATTTTCGTGAGTGTTCCCTTTGGCTCCAGTGAAGCCGGGGGAAGATGACTGGGTGGGGTACTGACTTACCAGAGGGCCAGCTCAAACTCGGGAAGAGACGAGTAACTGGCCAGGTAGGTGCCGCAGTAGCTGAAGCAAAGCAAAGTGTAGTCCAGGAGGATGTTGCCTAAAATACAAAACCCATGACAAGAACTTGACTGTGGCATCCAGATGAACTCACAGCCTCACACAAAGTGTCCCTTTCCTAGTGATTTGCATGTTTGTCCTTGGTCACGAAGTGCGTGGCCTCCTGGCCACCTCAGATTGCGAACAGAAAGCTCAGGGCGAAGTTAAGAACCGTTTTCCATGCTTTTGTTGGAGATAGCTTTGTCTTGTTTTCTTTCAAACAGGGTCTTCTATGTCGTTGAAATTAGCTTCAAATTCATAATGCCCCTGCCTCCGTCTCCCAAGTGCGAGGATTATATAGACTTATTCTACCACATCCAGTAAAATCCATTTTTATTAAGACCATTAGGTCACTCACTGTCTTTAGACTGTGGTGTAGTACTGAGTGGGAAACTACACCACAGTGTCCCAGCCTGATGTGAAATGAATGACCCTTAATGTCTCATAAATGTGAGACATTGGGATTAAAACTCCAGAAGGGTTCTATCAGTTTATGCTCCCGCTGCCAGCAAGCAAGAGGCTACCGATTTCTCCACACTCTGACTGGCTCCAAAAACACTGGACTCCACTGACACAAACACAGCCCTGGATTTACACCACGCTACAACTCTCCCCTGGGCTGCCGCCGCCTATGTCATGTGATCACGCTTGTGTATGTGGCTGATCACGCCTGTAAGGCCACCTGGCTGGAGTCGCTTTCTCTCTTCCCTCTTCTACATGGGTGCTGCAGTTGAATCTGCTTAGTAAGGCTTATCAAGCAAGATCTTTTAATCTGCTGAGTCATCTTGCTGGCCCTAGGCCACACTTTTAAAAAAAACAAATTTGAGCCAGATCAGTTTAATATAATCGATCATTTCTGATTTGTGATCTGTCTGAGAAAGTGCCTTGTCATTCGCCCAGTCTTTCTCTAACTGCTTCCTAAACGGTGTGAGGATAGCCGGTTATTTCCCACCTATTTTCCTCATTCTGTTACTTGCATGCTAATTTTTGTGATCTCTCTGATGTCTTACTTTTGTTAGTAAATATGTCAGTCATTTTAAAATCCTTGACCTGAAATAGAGTATTCTACCATATTTTCTACTACTTCTCAAATGAGCTTGCTTCTGCTGAATCCTGTTTCCACAGGATATGTAATAACGAGCAGGATGTCTGTCTTGACATGTTAGTTCAAATAGTCAGTTCTTCTGACGTCACTGCTGAACAATCCACATCCCTGGGAGTGTGGGTTTCTTCACTATTGACGTCACTTTTCCGGATCTGGCCCTCTCCCCAGCTCCACTGATCTGGGTCCCGCAGGAACTGCACTGATCTGGGGTCCCGCAGGAACTGCACTGATCTGGGTCCCGCAGGAACTGCACTGATCTGGGGTCCCGCAGGAACTGCACTGATCTGGGTCCCGCAGGAACTGCACTGATCTGGGGTCCCGTAGGAACTCCACTGATCTGGGGTCCCGCAGGAACTGCACTGATCTGGGTCCCGCAGGAACTGCACTGATCTGGGGTCCCGTAGGCATACCACTCTCCTAATTCCCTAAGCTTTTCAATGTCACAAAGACCCTCTGCCTTGCTACCTCCTTCTTTTATTTGTTTCAGAAACACTTTGGAATTATTTAAGGACTCCCTACTCTCTAAAATGATGAGCCTATGAGTGACTTTCTGTGACAAATATTAGAAAATATTTATTTATAATAATAATGATTTCTGTCCTGGAATGTGTCCCCATGGAGTCATATACTTAAATATATATTGCATAACTATTTAATACATATTTAAGTCTGGGTCCCCGATATGTCTTTGAATTATTTCTAAGTATTTAATCTACTTGTGCAGGTGTTGATTCTGAAATCAGTATCCTTGCTAAGCATTCCCTTAAGTTCCAGCAGACTATTGTATAATTTCCTGCCCCACAGGTATTCACGTTTGTTAACTATTTTATTGTATTAGTTAGCTCTTCTGGTTGATACTGAATGACCCTGATGATGACGGGTATCTTTGATGATTTGTTTTTATTGTGAATTCTTCTAGGGATGTGCAATATGAATGCTGGTTTGAATTAATGTCTAATTGCTTGCCTAGGGCTGGAGACATAAACTTAAATGGAGGGCATCTTTTTGTTTGTTTGTTTTTGAGACAGGTTTTCTCTGTGTAGCAACCCTGGCTGTCCTGGAGCTCACTTTGTAGACTTGGCCAGCCTCAAGCTCACAGAGATCCACCTGCCTCTGCCTCCTGAGTGCTGACTTGAAAAGCATGCACTGCCTTGCTTGTCAAGCTGGGAGCATTTTAAACATGAAGTGTGGCTATAGTCCACACAAACAGTTCCTAATTTATGATTGGATTATGTCTTCCAGAGGTTGTGGGGATATACAGCAGGTGACAACTAGTACTCAGCAGATCAACCTACCAGACAAGTGACTCTCTATGGGGGAGCCCCAGTAGGCAAAGTCTGTGGGGTCATGCAAACCAGTTGCTCCTGTCTGTAATTTCTCTCATGTGCTACTTCATTTCTTCCTAAGAACTTCATTCCTTCCCTAATAACAGCTGTGGGTATTTCCCCATTGCTTGTGTGTTTAATCTCATGTAAATATTCCATCTATTGGGCACACATATAGCTGTGGATGGTCAGGAAGATGATTTCTGCTTAAATGTGTAATTTTGATGAATAGAAATAATACTAGGATATTTTTCATTACTCTGACATAGGAAAGTGATAGTATTCTCAGTCACAAAGACAGTTAACTTTAGATTTCAGAAAAAAATTCAAAACAAACTGCTTGCCCCTAGGGAGAAATATACAAGGTCAATTTCCCAGGTGTTTGTTGCTCATTCAAGGTCCGGCTTGGGGCAACTTTGGTAGACATACACCTCATGCAGGAATGGACTTTCTGCACATACTCCCTATCACTGAAGGTTCAGCCAACTAACTGTTATCATGAAGTCTTGAATTTCAATGTCATTTTCTGTCTGGTAACCTTCACCAACTTAGAACTATGTGCATGACCAAGTGTAGCTCACAGGACGGTCAGTGTGACCTCCCTAGCCTCAGAAAAACTGTGTGACTTATCTTGTGTTATGAGAGTGGGTTGGGTCCTGAAAACATAACACATAACTGTCCAGAGTGTGGCTGTGAGGAGAGGAAGCTGTGTTGAGCTATGTATGGAGCTGCTGGAAAAAGAGCCGCACAGGCTGTGAATGAGGGGTGTGTGCTGAAAAGGAGACGTGAGAAGATGTGCAAAGGTATGTAGTTACGTGGAGAAAGTGTGGAGAATGCATGTAGAATGTAACTGTGTGGAGACAAGGAAGATGAAGCTGTAGATGTCACTGTGTAGAGATATGTGGCCATGTAGGAGAGATGTATGTATATAAAGAGAGATATGTAACTGAATATGTAAAGAATGTAGCTGTGTGGAGGCAGAGGTTCTCAGAAGGGATTATTTAGGATGAAGTCAAAGAGAAAGTTACTGTCAGAAAGTGTCCGAGTTTCCTTATTTTACTCTCAGATAGAAAAGTCTAGCCCTTACCGCATTCGTGGATTTTTCTGCATCCCTTGGAGCTGACTGGAGGCTGGCACCCCAGTTAATAGCAGCCTTCATTAAGGTGTCTTAATCTGTGAAGAACACAGACCGATTTCTCTAGAAATAACACACAAACTACAGCGACCGTGCCTGACTTGACCCAAACACCTGTGTGACCCATGTGGTTCTGGAACCAAGGCTCCACTAGAGATAAGCTTTCTGATTGTTCTGCATGTGGACTTTTCATTGTTAGTTTGGGGCAAGGTCTCGTTTTTAGCTCAGGGTGGTTTTAGGCTCTGGATCCTTCTTCCTTAGTCTCCAAAAGTCTGGGTTACATGTGCGTGTAATCACAACACTCAGACTCAGGTTGTGTTAAATGGGGGCAGGTATCAGATAGAGATTCCTGGAGATATACAGCAAGCTCAATCCATGCAGGCCAGCTGTATCTGTGAATGATTTAACAGTAATACAAAAATAATAGGTAACCAATGGACAGGTGCTTGGTGTGTGTGTACACACACACACACACACACACACACACACACACACATTCCCTTAGCATCACCATAAACTTAACAGCAAACACCACATTTAGCCCTATTTTGTAGTTAAGAACACTGGGGTTTAGACGCATCTTTATTAGTTATACAAGCGCCAGTTCATGTTAGAACTCTAGTAAATCACCAGGAAAGAAGAAGAAACACTGTCCTGGAAAAGTCAGTTCTCTAACCCGGTGTTTCTCACAGTTTAAAACGCACACAAAACACCCGAGAAGGATTGTTAAAGCTAAGCTGTTGGTTTGGTAGGTCTGGGGTGGGAGCCGATCTGTGTGTTTTTGAGGGAGTGGCTGTTTCTGTCTAACTTGCCCAGGCTGGCCTCCTGCTCATGGGCTCCAACAAGCCTTCCTTCTCAGCCTTTAAGTTTCTGGGTGCACAGGCGTGTGTCAACATAGCAGGCTGTTTCTGCCCTTTGGAGTAGTTTCTGAGGTTGCAACGGTGTTAGCAGGAAGCACGGCACACTTTGAATCAGAAGGCCATTGCCAACTCAATGAAACCTGTGGTGATCAGCTCGACTCCTTCTATTTAAAACAACCCTTTCACAATATAAACCACCTTTATTCATAAAAACTAGATTTGCTCACAGGTTGTCAGGTGTATGCTACACCCTTCAATCCCAGCTCTCAGCGAGCAGAGGCAGGTGGCTTTCTGAGCTTGAGGCCAGCCTGGTCTACAGAACAAGTTCCAGGACAGCTAGGGCTACCCACAGAGAAACCCTGTCTCCACTGAGAAACATCAACAAAACTCCTTCAGTTCCAGGGGCGGGAGGGCGTTGCGGGGAGGGTCTCCCAGATACCTTTCAACTTGTTTTTTCTGGACAGTGCAGGAAAACTGTAGAGGTAGATGACAGGTTTTAATCTGCGGTCAGAGAAAGCCACCACTTCACCAGGAACGCTAGTTGCCACGACGCCCACAATCCCGTTGATACACTGGAGCACAGTCTTCTTCTTGGTTTCAAGGTTAATGAATATTACGTAGTTCCCAGAAGGGTAGCAGATGGTGTGGTCGTTGACGAAATGGACGTTCTGACTCGGGAATCCTTGCACCCATCTTTGAGAAAAGAGAGCTCGCCATCAGTGTAATACTTTTGTGTTTCCTTTTTAACACAGCAACTAAAAAAACATCGGCTCTGTTTTTAACCCCTTTTCTGTTCCCATCGCTTAGATAACCACACGTGTTCACTATGAAACCAATATGAGTCAATGAACAATAGAAATTTAAAGATCAGTAGGTCTTGGGCTGGTGAGATGCTCTGTAGGTGAAAGAGCTTGAAGAAAACAATGTAGCTGTGCTCTTTTCTGTTAGTTTAGTTAAAAGAGTGAAGCAACAACAACAAACAATCAAAACTCAACTAAGCAGGGACTGGAGAGATGGCTCAGTGGTTAAGAGCATTGGCTGCTCTTCCAGAGGAACTGGGTTCAATTCCCAGCACCCACATAGCAACTCACAACTGACATCCTCACAAGGAAATACATACAGGCAAAACACCAATGCTCATTAAAAAAACGTTTTTAAAAGTCAACTAGACAAATTAAAAAACAAAACAAAATGCTTTGAGTGGAACAGCACGCTATAGAAGAAACCACATCATATGCTTCGCAGTTTACACGTATGAAGAGTATATGTGCCCTGTTTCAGACTTTAGATACAGATAAACGCGGGAAACAAAAGGATATGAAACTATGCCAACGAAAGGCTTAGAACATACATGAAAGGCACATGGTAGGTGAAGTTTGTGCGGTAAGTACATAGTGAAAGGAACGTCTGAGATAAGGAAAATTTCATTTTATTTAGATATTATGGTGGCAAGAGAGTGAAGGACACAGGTTTCCTGAGAACCTCAGGAAAGGGAAGAGCACAGCAGTGAAGGAGTGGATCGCGAGCAGCACCCAGAACGTGGAAGAAAAGTCTTGTCATAGGGCTTTTTCAGATTTCCAAGGGCCAGCATTAAGGCACGTAAATCCGGAGGGGGGGGGAGGGGTAGGAATCGATCCGCCCTCAGCTGATGAAAATCGCCTAAGACGATGCAGGTGAAGGGGGTTAATATGCAGGAGCCATGGGTCTCAAAGTGCAGAAAATACCGAGGCGGGAAGAGGGCGCAGAAACAAAGGGAGGAGGAAAAGAAATCCTGGGCAAACAAGCGAGGGTCCCTGTAGCGGGAAACCAAGGGGCGATCATCCGGTGGGGGCACCAAGGGGGTCGCATAAAGGAAGCTGCCAGAGGTTGGGGAGGGGAGAAACAGAGCGGGTCTGCAGGGGGGCCCGAGGGGTGGGGGTTTGCGACAGATTTCCCTGCACCCCTCCCCGCGTGGCCGCTATGTCGCACCTCACCGACAGGGAGGCGTTGGTGAAGTGCGTGGAGGTATCTTCGCGCTCCCGGCCTTGCGCCATGGCCACTCTCGGGCCACTCCGGGCCGCGGCCGGCCGTTACTCCGGGGTCCTGCCAGGTCGGGCTTCGGCGCCCGCCGAGAAGCCACTGTTTACACCGGTATCCCGGAGACCGGGAGCCCCGCGCTCATTGGCTGGCGGGCCACGCCTATAGGGGGAAGCGAGCAGTGGGACCCTTGGACTTGCAGGCTGCGGAGGCTCTGCCCCGCCACAAAGAGTTTCTTGTTAAAAAACGGCTCTTGGTTTTGCATGCTGACCCGGCCACATTGATCCTAGCGACACGCCTGGAAGTATTTATTTCCCTCACTGACTGAGCCCACTTTCCACCCAGAGGAAAGTGAGAAGCAGGAACTTGCCTAAGTGCCAAGGTCTCAATGGTCCTTTAACATTTCACGTGTCACCTCTGATAGCACAAGTAGTCAAAAGTAATCAGGCCAATAACAGGCCATGCTCTTCTCCCCTCATCCCCTTCTCTGTCCTCCTCCCTCCCTTCCTGGGGCTTCGCCCTCGCCCTCCTTTCTTCAGGCTCTTTCTCTCTCACCAGGCCACTGTCAACCTAAAGCAAACAAAACAAAGCCCAAACAGAGGTTCTCTAAAGAAAATACTATGTATTCGGGAACGGCAGAGCATGGTCCCGGGAACAGTCACAATACAATTAAGTGTTCCAGCTCTGAAGAAAAGGGCTTCCCCAATGGAAGCGTTACAACTCTGAGAGAGTGGGCTTCTTCAGTGGAAGTACTACAGGTCGGCTAGAAATGGTAGCTTGGCAACCAGGAACCACGGAAAATCATACCGCACTACAAACCTCATCAAAGAGCTTTATTGGGAGGGGAAAGCCCAGGAGGGTGGCTGGCTCTGCTAGGGCGAGAAGCAGACCCCACTGAGTAGAAGGCAGGATTTATGTAGAGTTTCTTAGGGTTTGGGGTTTTCCAGGGTGGCCTGGAATTGGTGGGAATTTTGGGGCCTGATATTGGGGCAAGCTCAGGAATTGTTGGGATTCTTTTTCTTGGCCCTGGTCTTGGGCTTGGGATCAGATTGGGTTCCCAGGCAAGTCAGCATGTTCTTTCCTACCCGCTTGCCCTTACCGTAACAAATTACTGGTGTTTTCAGGTAGGTGAAGCAAGGGGAAGTTTTAAAGAGAAAAACCAGGAAGACTATATTAAATATTTGAAACGGTAAGCGACAGCAACGACATTTACCAACGGGAATGACGAGGTAGGACAGAAAGATGGGAAAGCATGCAGACATGGGAAAGGAAAGGGCCCTCTAGCTGGAGTCTAGCAACTGAGAATCAATCATTCTAACCCATTAGCACTCGCTTGGGGCCTTATTCCCATGCCAGCCGGAGACCTGAAATTTTCTAGAACTCTCATCAGATTTTGCCTTCACGGTTCAGGGATTGTCTAAATCAAACACTCTTGTGCAACCCTTGTGGCTCCTGGTCATACTTCATCATTTTAATCCCATTCGAGGAACCTCCTATAATCTCATATATCAAAAAAAGAAAAGAAGAGCCGTGGTTTTTAGCAGCCCTCTGAGATATAACTTGAGAGCTGGAAAATTCTATCTAAGGTCAATACTAAGACATGCAATTGGAACGCTCCTGAGAACCCCACACCGACACTGGGGCGTTTTATTCCTGCTGTGGGAGTCTTTCCTCTTAAGCTCTGTAGTTAAAAATCTATGTTAAACCTGTGCTAATAAACTCTCTTTGAGAAGCCCGCACCCAGGCTCGTTCCTTGAGTTCTTTCCTTCTTTCTGTTTTGAAACAGGGTCTCATTATAAGTTCCTGGCATGCCTCCAATTTATAGAGATCTGCCTGCTTCTGCCTTCTGAGCGCTGGAATTAAAGGCATCAGCCACCACACTAGGCTTTTTTTTTTCCTTAGCCAACTCCAAATCTGCTCCCAACTGGCTTGTCCTGTGATGGAGGAAGGTCATTGGCTAATAAAGGAACTGCCCTGGCCCATTTTATTGGTTAGAGGATAGGTGGGAGGAGTAAACAGAACAGAACGCTGGGAGAAAGAGGAAGTGAGCTCAGAGACTCCACAGCTCTCTCGGGAGCAGACGCCTCAGAGAGAGACGCCATGCTCCCGGCTCCTGGGCAGACACATGCCATGAAGCAAGCCACCAGGTTAGACATGCTGAACCTTTCCCGGTAAGACCGGTGCTCACAGATTATTAGAGATGGGTTGATCGGGATGTGAGAATTAGCCTGTAAGTGCTAGAGCTAAAGGGCCAAGCAGTGCTTAAAAGAATACAGTGTCTGTGTAATTATTTTGGGGCATAAGCTAGCCGAGCAGGCGGCCGGGGTGCTGGGAACGCAGCCCCGCCGCCCCTATTACCACATATGGCGCCCACGTGGACAACTGCTTCCACATAAAGCCTGAGACAGCTTGGGAAGTAATTCTAGAACAAAATGAAAGCATTGTGCCTGGTTTCTTGGTAGCAGCAATTTCTCGGTTCTACTCTGCTTGCTAGAGGCAAGCAAGCGCCTCATCTAAGAGAGGCTTCCTGACTCAGCTTTAGCTGCAAAGCCTGCAGCTCATTAAAAGGTCCTGCCACGAAACACTTAAACGGTGTTGACGAAAAGCTGAACACATGCTTTTCGGTTTTCAGCCATAACAGGAAAAAAGCTGCGCCGTTTAAAAATGCCGGCTTTCTGGGCCATCCTGCCAGGGCAAACTCTGACTATTTGAGGCAGGAGGGCCGGCTACTGAGAGAGGACTTGAGTGTTGTCTGTTGTAGCTCGCTTGCTGGCTACAGCCAGTACCTCAGCCATGAGGCTGGAAAGCTAAGGAATGGGCTTGATCCAGCCGGCAAAGCCACGCCTTTAATCCTACTGATATTGCTTGGTAAATTAAAGACTCGTGTGGTCAGAAAAAGAGAGATATACAGTAAAGAGAGATTCAAAGACAAAGAAAATTTCTAAATGGTTTACTGTGTGTTAAAAATTTATGCAGACTAAAAGTTGAAGTTCTTAAAGTAAAAAACATAAAAAAAGGAAGAGAGTTGTTGTGTGTGGTAGCACACGCCTTTAATCCCAGTGCCTAGAAGGCAGAGACAAACAGATCTCTGTGAGTTCAAGGTGTAGTAGTGTACACCTTCAATCCCGAATGCCTGGGAGGCAGAGACAGGCGGATCTCTGAGAGTTCAAAGACAGCCTGGTCTACAGAGTTACTTCAGGTCAAAGATACAGAGAACCTGTCTCAAAAAGCAAAGAGTTAAAAGTAAAAATAAACAAAATAGAGGTTAAAATAAAACGAACAAAGATGGAAAATACACAGAGAATCTTGATACTGTATGCTATTATGCTCTCTTTGAATTATTTGAATGCTGAGGAAGGAGCAACAGCTGCTAAAAGATATTTATTTATAAATGCTGCTGAACTAATCCAACGTAGATATTTTGAATTTGGATCTAAGGATATGATACTTTGGAAAGGAGTTTCTTATTTTGTTTTCACAGAGGATGAGACGCTGTTCATTTCTTCTATTCCAATTTGGTATGATGGACCACGCCCTCCTGAAGGATTGGTGTGAACGCCTTCAAAAAAGTGCTTCGCTCAACTGCCAACTGAGATGAAGCTAGCACACAGGTTATACCATGAAAGACCTAATTAACGACGCCCCCATTCAGCAGGAAGCAGTTTGGAGAGAAATAACTACGCCCATATTCCCAAATATTGTTTATAAATGTTCTTTTACATTTAAAGGGGGATATGATAGAGATATGAATAATTTACATTGATATGAATTTTGTTTTAGTGATTTAAGGTCAATTTTGTTATATGTATATGTGTTTCTGATCTTGATTAAGGAACTGTGATTGTGTAGTTCATTTAAAAATGTAATGTATAATTAGAAATATAGATTGTTAATAGATAATCATAATAGTCAAGTTTGTAGTCATGTTAGTTAAGATTTTCTAGATGTACATAGATATATTTTAGATAGGCATTCTTCATATTTTTCAAAGATTATAGAATATGGCATTTTAAATGTTTCAATAATTTAGGACTTTTCATGACAATGAGACACTCTGCTCCTGGCAGCACCAATCTACTTCAAGAGGAAGATGGGCATCAAAGAGGCACCTTATGGAGTTTGATAGCCATTTGGGCAAGAAACTGCTCTTGCCTGGACTATTGCATAAACTGGACACAGAGAACCCGCAGAGAGAGGACTACTGAACTTGCCTAAGGTGAGATGATCTTTCGGGGTTCCTGATTCATGAAAGAGTCTGCGAGACATTCTGCAGGACACAACAGATAGTGACTGAACTGACTTTGAATTTTCCTGCTTTATGGAAATGTCTGCTGGATACCATGGGCCTAAAGGCTGAAGATGGATGCCCCAACGGTACAAAAGAACTTTGGGTGACTGTCCAGGCAGCGAGATGTCTTTGTCATTTCTAGAGTTTGAAGTTTCTTAGTTCTTGTTTACGTAGGTAATATTATATCTTTCTGGAGTCTTTGATGGAGTTAAGAATAGTTAGTTATAGTTTTCCTTAGTTATGATAAAGATTATTGTAACGTTTTCTTGATAACTGTTTTGTTATATGTAATTTTGCTATGTTAAAGCCTTTTTTTTTTGTTTAAACAGAAAAAGGGGAAATGATGGAGGAAGGTCATTGGCTAATAAAGGAACTGCCCTGGCCCATTTTATTGGTTAGAGGATAGGTGGGAGGAGTAAACAGAACAGAACGCTGGGAGAAAGAGGAAGTGAGCTCAGAGACTCCACAGCTCTCTCGGGAGCAGACGCCTCAGAGAGAGACGCCATGCTCCCGGCTCCTGGGCAGACACATGCCATGAAGCAAGCCACCAGGTTAGACATGCTGAACCTTTCCCGGTAAGACCGGTGCTCACAGATTATTAGAGATGGGTTGATCGGGATGTGAGAATTAGCCTGTAAGTGCTAGAGCTAAAGGGCCAAGCAGTGCTTAAAAGAATACAGTGTCTGTGTAATTATTTTGGGGCATAAGCTAGCCGAGCAGGCGGCCGGGGTGCTGGGAACGCAGCCCCACCGCCTCTATTACCACAGTCCTGTAATTCCTGTGTGTGTATGTGGGGGTGTGTGCGTGCAATCCGTGAGCCTCTCTCTCTCTCTCTCTCTCTCTCTCTCTCTCTCTCTCTGTGTGTGTGTGTGTGTGTGTGTGTGTGTGTGTGTGTAAGCCTTGAATCCTGGTCTTTACCTGAATTAGGACACTCCTCCAATACCAATTATGTGAATTTCTCAGGCTAATTTCAGTGACAGGATGGAGGTGTGGAGCCATGCTTCTCTCCCTTTCTTCACAGACAATGCCAGTAAATGAGTTACTTCAGAAACATAAATGATCACCTTTGTGTCTTTCCATATGCTAGAATTTATTTTAGAACAATAAGCTCACAGGTTCCATCAATCCCCTGGCTTTAGTTAATCAAGTACTCCTAGTTTACAGCAGTAACTGTGGCCATTGGCAATCCCAGTTCCGTTCTAATTGCTAATATGAGCTCTCAAATTACACACCATTTTACACATATACACACAATACATGTTATAGAATGTGTGTGTTATAGAAGACTAAGAAAGAGTTAAAGAGTCTGAAGGTTCCAAAGGGGCCTCAGTGAAGGCAAGAGTGGAATCCATACAGATGCAAAGAGAAACACCACCGAGCTATAGAGAGAGCACCACCAGGGACGCCAGGCACCCAAGTGTTCTGACATGAGACTGACCCACAGAGCTCCAAGCAAGGCTCACTGGGCTCCTGCAAATGGCAATGGGTGGACCGGGGTGTTGCTGAGCTGAACCCCCACGGTTGTGATAATATGGGGTTATTCAGGGGGAAGCACAGCCTGAAAGCTACTGTCCTATGCAATTGCTGCAGTCTGAGGCTGAACACACATTAGAAGAACAGATGTCTGGCGGGAATGCTGTTGTGTGAGGGTCTCAGTGGCCCCTATGCAGGTGTGTGTGTGTGTGTGTGTGTGTGTGTGTGTGTGTGTGTGGTAGCTATTATCATGTGTACAAGACCCTCTCTTTGTAAACTCCTGGCTGGACTTGTTTTCTTTGCTTAAACTTCTACTAGTCGACCCAAGGCACTCTGATTGTCACAAATTACAGTTTTTCACTGCAAGAGGAGGTACCCCACCCTTCTAGAGGGCATTATTAAAGGCAAAACCAGAAAAGTTACATTAGTACGGTGTGGGATGACAGGGTCAGTCCTGATTGGCTTGTATCTAGGGACTTTTCAGAAATTTTATATTTGAACCTCGCCTATTGCTTGTCAAGTTTTTTTATCGGCTGACCTTCAGGTGGGGACATTCTGTGGTTCTCTGTACTTTCCAGAGGGCTACTCTGTTACTTTTGCCCCTAGCCATTCCTGAGGACTGGAATGTTTTACAGGAAATAGCTTATACAAGACTCAGTTGGAGGTGGAGGACAAAATGGAGGAACTTTGGTTCTTCACTCTGAATCTTGTAGTAAGTCTGAGGGACTAAAGATGCTGAGAAGCCCCAGGCTGGAGGAGGAAAAAGTACAAATTTGCTCTAACAGTTCACTTGGTACTGTAGTCTTGATCGACAGTCAATAGGCAGAGCTAAGTAGTAGGTTTTCTGTAGCCCAATAATAGGTTTCTCTGCCGAGGCAATAAGCCAGCTCTAGCTTCAGGGAAGGAGCTGCAGCAATGGCCAAGAAGAAGGAGTTGGGCTTTTGGGTGCCTTCTCTATGTTGGAGATTCTCTGAGAGGGTGGGGTTTGGAAAGAGAGAGAAACCATGCAGGAATGAGCTGGAGGTTCCACCCCAACAGTAAGCAGTGTCTATGCGGTGGTTTTAAGTGAAACAGACATAATGCGAGGTCTTCAGGTCTTTTAACCCATTCTACTGCTTATCAGGTAGCTGTGTAGGCTCTGGGAAAGAATCAGTGGTTTTAGCAAAAGTCTCAAGTTTCTGCAAAGTAGGGCAACTATTGCCGTACACAGCAAAGGTGTTATTTTAGAGAAAACCTCTAAAATTGGGGATCCAGTAAAGCGTGGCTTAGTGGCATGACCTTGAGAGAAGGTAGCGATTCTGCTCTGAGGAACCACCTGCCCTTGGACTTGGCTCTGAACACAGACTAAGGGCTTGAGGGGGGACAGGTTCCTTACTAACACTTTCTCCTCTTTGTTTGCCGTTTGTGTAACATCTGAAGCCATCTGGTTTAGTCCTAAGGAACTCATAGAGTAGAAACAGTCTGGCCTTGGGACCTAGTCTGTTATTTTGTGTCTGCTGCTGACAGCATGCCTCTACTGGGTAAAACTAGTTAAAGCCTGGGAGGTTTTTTTTTTTTTTTTTTTTTTTGTTCTTTTGCTGGGTTCGCTACCTGTCTCAGTTCATCTTAACATTCCACAAAAGTTTAACACATTCTACTTTTTCTCATGTGATCTGACTTTCTACCGATTGCTTTGTCCTCCGGGGTCTTTCATGTTTCTCTGTTCCTTTGGACTAGAGAACAGGGCTCTCCCACACATGTGCGTGCTCTGTGGCTTCTCTGCAGGGTGAGTTGAGAGTACTTGCTGTGTTGACAAAAGCTTGAGTCAACAGGAAGTCAGTGCTGAGGGAGTAGTGATTGTGCTTGGCTTCAGATCAAACATTGCGAAAAGAACCTTTGACTTTTGGGAGCTGGAGGCAGAAGGCCTGTGAGTGAAATCAGGGCTTGTCAGGGTGACACAGCAAGTCTGTCTCAAGCACAACAAAGTGGACGTTTGCATAATACCGGCACTACAGATGTGTGGTCCGGTTTCACAGCTGGTGCAAATGGGGAGCGTAGGTGCAGTTGCTGGAGCTTGAGCTTGTTCTTAGTTTTCAACTAAAACCCAGTTCTCCTGAAAGATACAAAGCATGCTAGGAGGAGGGCTGTGAGGGAAGCTGGCTGAATTAAATGTAAGGTCAAGTGGGAAGGGGAAATATCTGTCAGTTAAATTATAGCAGCATTGGAGGATTTTTACTTTGCGTTTATTAAAATCACTCTTTTTAACCCAGGCAAACTGTTTTCATAACACAGCTCCTTTAGAATAGATTCTTTTTTTCCTGTTTTAATCTGTTGAGTCTAAGAAAAGGAAATTGCATATGGCATAAATTGAAATATTGCTTGAGCCTGCTCATTTTGAACCCAGATTCCCTGAACTGTATTTCAGATCATGTCTGTCGTCTTCAGAACTGTTCCCTTCCAGTACTAACCACCCTCTGTGCCTAGAATAGCTTTTCATTCAAGGACACAGCAAACGTGCTCTCTACTTTCTGGGGATTTTATTCTAAGCCTTGGGCATCCGTCCTGCAGGTTCAAACAGCAGTACTGTTGCCTCCCAGCGCACCGCGATTTGAAGACAAATCCCTGCTTTTGGAGGGTTAAGCCGGGAGGAAATGTGTCTCTCAGAAAGGACATGAAATGGTAGCAGTTTTCGGAGAGTCCGGGACTAGACTGCAGTTGGGAAAACAGCTCTGTCCTTTTAAAGTGTATTGATTTTGAGCTAACATCTGAACTGTCTTAGTTAGGTCTTCATTGCTGTGAAGAGACATCAAGACCACCGAAGCTCTTACAAAGGAAACATTTAATTGTGGTGGCTCTTTACAGTTCAGAAGTTCAGTCCATCATGGTGAGGAGTGTGGAGACATGCAGACAGGCGTGGTGCTGGAGAAGTAGCCCAGTGTAAAGACCACACTTCCTCCAACAGGGCCACACCTCCTAATAGTGCCACTCCCTATGAGTTTGGGGGGGGGGCAAATACATTCAAACGACCACAGACTCTAAGTTTCTCAACCATGCGATGATGCTCACATTTATTCCCTCTCTCTCTCTCTCTCTCTCTCTCTCTCTCTCTCTAACAGGTGAACAGTGAACTAGATAATCTTTTAACATTCTGCAGCATTTTAATTTAATACTATATTTTGAATTTATTTATACTTGCATAAATAGCTCTACTTCATCTTTTAAACAGTTTCCTTTTAATAATGTAAGTTTTATATTTTACCCCCATGAACCAAAATGTTTTTTATTCATTTTTGGGGTTTAAATTATTCTTTGGTGACACCCTTGACCTGAGATTCTTTATCATAACTCCTAACCCTTGCACAGATGCAGCCAACCACTTTCCTTGGCTGTCCCTCTGTACCCATGTATCGGAGGCCCACCCATTCTCCTGGTTCCTTGTCTTCAGCCTTCATTGTGCTGCTTTGGTGCTCAGCACGAAGTTCCCCCACCAACTTGACATACGCAGGCCCATCCCTATTGGATGCAAGCACACAAAGATGGTCTTGGCGCTTGTCTAAGACAGCGTCACATATGACACATGCTAGGCTGTCGTGGATGAGGGCCATCTTCAGAACCTCTTGAAAAACAGCGTTAACATCCCTTACACCTCCAGCAGCAAAGCTTTCCTTGGCCATCGAGGTAGATTATGAGCCTTGGCGGTGACAGGGAAAAGATGCTTTTCTATTGTAAAGAATCAGTGTCTTAGCCATGCATGGTGGCACATGCCTTAATCCTAGCACTTTGGGGCGCAGAGACAAGTGGATCTCTGTTGATTCAAAGATTGGTCTACATAGTGAGTTCTAGGATAGACAGGACTATGAAGAGAGACACTTTCTCAAAAAGGGAAAAAATCACTTTCTTAAAATGTTTTTCAGAATAACATATAGTAAAATATTGTCGCTGTGAGGACCAACCTCCAGGAGCTCTGGGTTTGAGGGGGGTCTACAGAGTTGGCAGACCATCAACCAACTTGACTTTTCTATCTGAGAGAGTAAAACTTAATTCTCTGGGGCTGTCAAGGAGGGTTAAACTTAACTCTCTGGGGCCAGTGGAAAGGGGAGCTCTCTCTCTCTCTCTCCCTCTCTCTCTCAGGACATTTCTTTGTTTTTTTTCTCTCTCTCTCTTGTCTTTATTTTTCCTTTTCAGCTTTTATATTCCAGCAAAATCTTTCAAGCAATATAAAAGGTATAACATGGGTGCATTCTATTTTTCAAGTGAATGATTATAATGAATACAGATAAAAAAGCATGTTTCCCATTCCCCTCACATGATTAAACATCCCATATACTATAGATTATAACAAATTATTCCAACAAGCACATATGTTCCTATTCAAGAAACTGATAGTGTAAGCGAGCAAGGTATTTTTCTCAGCCAGTTCTTTTACTGGCAGCCTGCATTTTGCAGTTACAAAGAAATGACTTTATTGCTTATCTCAAAAGGTAATCTTATAAAGAACCTTAAAAGAATCACAAACCTAAACTTTATTTGTGAAAAAGAGCCATCTCTGTTTAAATCCTCAGGGAGCATAGTTTTTTTCATCAACAGGTTTTTAAATCTATATCTGTATCTATCTATCTCTCAACATTAAGATTAAAAGATGTTGAGCTAGTTGGGCTTCTGTGACTCAGCTGTTTCTCTTAATCCCTAACCTAAGATACAGTCTATACGGCTCCTTAAGGGAAACTCCTGTACTCTAGGTGTGTGGCACTTCCTCCTGTACCCTAGGTGTGTGGCACTTCCTCCTGTACCCTAGGTGTGTGGCACTTCCTCCTGTACCCTAGGTGTGTGACACTTCCTCCTGTACTCTAGGTGTGTGGCACTTCCTCCTGTACTCTAGGTGTGTGGCACTTCCTTGTTTTACTTTTTGTCCTCTGCAGCCTCTGCTTTATCAGGGGGCAGGGCGACACACATCTTGCTTTTACTTATATTAGGTTTCTCATTAAGCTAACCTCTATCATAATCCCTTACTAGATTTATTAAAGGTCATGAATCATCAAAAATCTTATTTAAACTAAACTATTATTGCATAAAACCATTGCTTCAGTTAAACAGTACAACTTAGGAGGAAATAATTTTCATAATAATCCACAGGTAAAATTCCCAGTAGAACAGGACATTTTCAAGAGATAATCACACTACATTAAGAGCAATGGGGATCTCCCCATGTCCATTCACACTGGATCAGATACCAGAGAAAAATGGCACTGGCGAACATGTAAGACATATGAACGGCAAGAGACATTCTGGGGCCGAGGCTCTCAGGGCCTTGCTGTCCAGGATTCACCCACCAGAGCTTTCCTTCCTGGTGGGCCGACCCCCTGAGGTCAATTGCCATTTGGTGCTCTCCTCTGACATGGCCACTGGTAATAAAAATATACAAAGTTCCCAAATGACTGCAGAGTTTGCTTGATCATGTCCCTGCCCCCACATGTCACTGTCTAGAAGATGTCTTCCAGCTGAACAAAAGTGGCCAAAATTCTTGAATCATCCCCTTACACAACATAAACTGGTCCTCCCCCTTTCGCTGTTGACCAAGGTTACTGTCCTGCCTGGTCCTGCAGTCATTTAGTCCCAAAGAAATACACAGAGGTCTACATTAATCATAAACTAGTTGGCCTATTAGCTCAGGCTTCTTTATTAATTCTTACATCTTAACCCATAATTCTTGTCTGTGTTAGCCACATGGCTTGGTACCTTTCATCAGCGAGGCATTCATATCTGTGTCCTCTACATCTGGGTGACAACTGAAGACTGAGCTTTCCACGTCCCAGAATTCTCCTGTTCTTCTCACCCTGCCTTTACTTTCTGACTGGTCGTCCTACCTATACTTCCTGCCTGGCTACTGGCCAATCAGCATTTTATTAAAATAATACAAGATAAAAGACCATTGACCCACAGCAATTCCCTTTTGGTAATGCATTACCAATTAGAGGGAAGTATCACCCAGAAGTCTGTAGATAGTTTTTTTTTGTTTTGTTTTTCGAGACAGGGTTTCTCTGTGGTTTTGGAGCCTGTCCTGGAACTAGCTCTTGTAGACCAGGATGGCCTCGAACTCACAGAGATCCACCTGCCTCTGCCTCCCGAGTGCTGGGATTAAAGGCATGCGCCACCACTGCCTGGCTGATAGGTTTTGTTTTTTTTTTTTTTTGCTTTTTAATTCTACCACATATACAGGTACTGCAATAACTGATGTGTGTTTCATTTTTGCATGTCTTAAAGTTAATACATAGTCATAATGTATCTCTTTCTGTGCCTTGCTTTTAGGGCTCAGTCGTGTTTCTGGGATGCACTTGAGTTGGGAGCTAGGTCTGCAGCTCATTGGTTTCCATTACATGAATAAACCACAGTTAATTCATTTTCCTCTCCTTTTAACTAAAGCTCCTTTCTCTCTATACCATTTGTTCCTGTTTAACTTCTTATTTTGAGGATATTTTTTATCTTCATTGACCAGACTCTGGCCTTCCTACCTTATTCACTCAACCAAAGTTTAGCCATTATCTTTCCATAGAATTCTTTGATGAAGTCCATCTTCCCTGCTAAAGACTGTCATAGAATTAATTAAACCAAACAGAAAGTTTATTAACTAGAGCCTTAGGCTAGATGCCCAACTCTAGGCTGAAGAAAACAGATGAAGGCAAATGTAAAAATGTTTGAAAATGTTTAACCAAAATGGCCATTTAGGTATTTCATCCCTCTTTCCCGATGCTGATGTGAGCTTTAGATTTAATCAGAGCAAGAGTTTGGGGAGTGGGTAAGAGGCATGCATGATTAATAGTGCTGGTCAGGCTATGATTTGGTTGAACCACAGCTCAGTCTGTTTCTACAAGATAACCTTGAAGGAGTCTTTATTGCTTGTATGGACAATCTGGTTCCCAAAGATGATGGCTCCTGTTTTAGGGTGTTTGTCACACGAGATGATCTGTCTGCAAGGCTCTCTTATTCTTCAATCACGGTGTCTTCAGGTTTACAGGAATGACTGGCACCAATCTGGAGCCTTTTCTCATATTTGAAATAGGGTGTTACAATAGCTAATGGTCAGCTACTTCAGTTATTCTTAACTTAAAAAAACAAATGTTTTTATTTAAATATCAACTGTAAGGCAGTTAAGGTGACCTCTAACAATCTGAACTTAACCCTGTCAACACAGATTATATATTTAAAAGTATGAAATTAGCCATCATTTTTTTGAAAAGTCACAGAAGGATGCTGTATCAAGTGTCCACATCTGAACCATGAATTTGAGCATTATTTTAATATTCAATTAATTTTCAAGTTAAAAATGTCTTGTCATGAGGGTTTTAAATTTTTCATCTTTTTGCAGTACATTTAATTTAGTTAATCTTTCCAGGCTAATTATCTTCACAGCTACAAAATATATAGTCCTGTGCCATTTTAACTGTGGTCAGCAGCGATAGACACCCAGATGCCCCAATATGTTCTCAGCTGCTAGGACTTACACACCATCTCTACTATAATGCGGTCCAATAGTCTTGTACAATGGTTTGCTGTAACAATATTTTTTTTTATCGTTGTTTCTTTGAAGAGTTCATGTTTGCTCTCTGCTTATTAGACTGGCCAGATGGGAAGCCCCACCCGCTAGGGTACTGCCATTCCTTGAGTGGAATCTTTAGCTATATCTGCTGGTCAACCCACTTTGGTATTTTCTTCCATAGTTTTAGTGGACACAAGACAAACCAAGACCAAAAGTGGTGCAAGCTCCAAGGACATTCTCTGCTTCTCCAGTAATAGAGCTGGAAACAAACTCCAGACATAGTATTCCCTAAATAGCACCAGAGTTACTGGCTTTCAACCATTCGCTGTGGGAATCCTGGTGCTCAGACTCCGCCCTACTTCCTGACTCTTAAGTGAACCGCTCACCCACCCTCTGATCCCCTCTTTTTTCTTTTTTCCTAGGGACCCAAGAAGCTAAATTTCCTCAGTCCACTGTGCTTAAGTCAGCTTGTACTCTTTCTAGGACTTTCAAACAAATGCTTTAACGGATGGAATTCTGAAAGCACAACCAGCATTCTGAGACTACTGATATCCAGATGTGTGGTCCTTTTGGTGGGCTAAAATGTGCTTCTGTGGGTGAGTAGGGATGATGGCTCCTATGTAAGCTAGTCCTGACAGAAAAAGGGAAAGTCTGTCCAGGATGCTAGACCACCTCCAGGGAGTTGTAGGTAACAGCAGGAGCCTTTGAGGTGACCCAGGCCACAGGACCCAAGTCTTGGAAATCTTGGGGCAGAGCAAGAGTTGAGAGTAGAGCCCGACAGTTCCTAGAGTTCAGGGTCCCAGCAGCCCAGAGGCCGGTACTATTTGGACTACCGGGGCATTGGTGGCCAAGGAGCGGGTATGGGAAGTAGGGAGGTCGGGGCCTTAGTCCTGTGTGAAGGCAGATAGGAGACCACTTTCTGCCTGGAGGAATGGGGTGTCTCTCAACGTCTCAGCTCTGGCGAATCTCCAGGCGGCCAGGGCGTGATGCAAGGGACCATAGATCCGCTTTTTTAAGTGCTGAGCTGTGTGTGGGCGGGGCTAGATCCGGGTTAGTGGGCGCGGTCTGGGCGGGGCTGAGCGCTGGCACTTAAGGCAAGCCAAGGCTAGGCCATGTGCTTCCGGAGTCGCCTGCTAACAA